AGACCCGACGGGCACCACGTCCAATCTCGTGACCATCACACGGGATTTATGCCGTGTAAAAACGTCCCTACGGCTCCAGAGTCAAGATGGGGATCTCGCAACACAAATCCAGAAGGTTTGGGAGTCACGCATGACAAGTTCGTCTCTGTATTGCAAAATGCGGCTTAGCAAGCACATCCACATCACAACCCATCTCCTTATGCTTTTTGCAGCATTTTACAAATTCGAAAACAGGATTGGAAATGCCTCCCGTTGGGGTGCGCATTACAAATGTTCCTTTCATGGCAAATCTGCATGACAAGAACTCTGGGGTGGGGACGTTCCTACACAGGATAGGACCTGCCGTATTTCAATATCACCGCGAGCACCGCGAAGTTATCGTATGTGTTTGATGATTTGATCCTGATTGGCGAACCGGCCATGAAAGATCCGAACGTGAAGATCCCGATTACCGTGCCGGATAACACGGTTTTGACGCTCTATCGCTGGAACGCGGAGATCATCCAAGATATCGATTTTAACGAGACGATTTCGCGCTTCTCCGTGTCCGAGCACGGCATGCAGCCGGTGTCCAGTTTGAACAAGTACCTCCTCCCTTTGACCGTGAACCAAGACATCTACGCCTTGCTCGGCAACGGAACCGACGTCGCCGACACGTCCGCGGCTACGCCGGCGTCTGAGACTACGGTGTCCTTACAAAGTACCAGTAGCTCATCTTCAACCAGCGGGACGAGCAGTAGCGGAACAGGAACAAATACCACGTCGGTTTTACTTCTGCGGCAGCTCGTCACCGTTTCGGATGACGATGTAAACTGCACGAATCAAACGATTTACAGCGACGATTTAGTGAATTCGAGTTCCGGGCCAAATTCCACGGACATCCAGGTATGTAGTCAACAGGTGAGTGGAGATGAAAGCAGCTCCGGTAGCGGAGCTGCGACCACAGGAAGTGGCACAGGCATTCTGAAAATCGCCTCCGGCGTGTCCCAGATCCACGGGACGGCCGGGTACAAAAATGACACGGTGCTGATCACAACGAGGTACGGCTTGATTGTTTTTCAAATTTCCAAGGGAAAGAACTCACCTTTGATCCCTTTCTCCATTACCAGCTTCGAGGACTCCATCCCCACTCCGACGTTCGTGGTTCTCCGGTCGCAGGTCCGAGGCGGTTACATCGCACCGCTGGCGCTCGGGCCGGATCCGAAGGAAATGGTGTGCATCTTAGGGGTATGCATTGCAAATATCCCTGGATGTCTGGGAGATTGCGAGGTTTGTCATGCTAGTCTAGCATGACTCTGGCCTCTGTGTTGCGTGGCCGCAAAGAGCTCCTCTTGTTTGTGATTCAAAAACGCAGTTTCTCATGCGGCGTACGCAATTCAGAACCACGAAAAAACTATGTCATGCTTGGCAGCGCATTAAAGTATGCTCGCTATTCCCTTCCTTGCATCAGAAGTTTCCAGACATCCAGGGATATTTGCATTCCATAAGAGGCGCCGTGCATGTCGCCCTTCAGTTGGTCCATCCAGACATATATCCTGTGCAAAAGTATCGTACTCGTAGTAATTGCAGTCATGCATTACAAATGTTTTTCCTAAGGTGCATCCGCATGACAAATTTTATTTCTCATGCTGAGAAAATTTGTAATGCATTTATACGAGTGCGATGCTTTTGCATTTCATAACTTACGTTACCTACGCGACCTGTGACGTCAAGAAAAAGCCGCAGCTGGTTCCCTCCATCCCGGCGCCGATTGAGCCGGGGGAGGAGTTTTTCCTACAGCGAATGCCGGGGAAGTACCAAATGTGCTGGTGTATCCGGCGTAAAAACGTCCCCACCGCCGAGTCAAGATGGGAACTTCGCTACACAAAGCCATGAGTTTTGGCTGTTGCGCATGACAAGTTGGAATGCGCAGTGTAGTCCTGTTTAGGTAGTGCAGCTGCATCAGAAATCGGCCACCTCATCCTGAATCTAGCATGACAATAAACTCCCAGTTTGCAATAGAAAATGCTTCTAATGGGACTGCGCACGAGAAACATTTTACTCTTACAGGTTTGCATGACAACTGACAAGTACGGGGTAAGGACGTTTTCACACAGGATATGGTGGTCCCGATATTTGGATCCTTATCCTTTATCCCCAAATTTCGTCGGCAACAACTCAGTTGTGTCCTTCTACGACGCCACAGCCCTGGTCAATGTCGGCCGGGCGGTGGTGCAAGGCCCGGAGTTCGCGGTGACCAAATGCGTGCTCGGACGGGACTGCAGTTTACACCTCGTCGGTCAGGGCATGGGCTTCGGGGTAGGACAAGTGGACGGGGTGATCCGGATTTTGCCCGCCGGCGTGGAGAGCTGTGACCAGGTCGCGACCGGCCTACTCGCGACTGCGGTCAGCAATGTGTCCGACATCCACGCGTCGCAGGCGATTGGCGGCGTGCACGGCCAGGGCACGCTGGTGTACTCTCTGGGCAACGTGATCGAGGGGACCCCGGCGGTGTACGGGCTGTGCTGGAAGGTGAAAAACGTGGAGCGCGCGGAATTCGTCCGGATGGGGACCTGGGCGCTGGCCGGGCCGTACTCCTTGAACGCGACGGTGACGTGTGCGCAGGGAGTTTCCTGTATCGTCCGCCTTACCGGTGTGGAGTTTGAAATGGGCAACCGAGTGGGGATCAGCCGTACCCAGTGCGCCATGGGGTTCGTGGACTACGATATCGTGAGAAAAAAGTGTTACAGTTACACACTCTGATGGAAGACAAGCAAGACAGACAACCTCTGTCATGCAGGAAATGCTTGCCAGCCTCATTTCATTCGTTCTTTCCCTTATAGTGTGCGGATTAGAAGTTTTCTTCGCCATGCAGAGCAACTCTGTGATGCTGAAATTGCAACACATGTGTCACTGTAACACTTTTTTCCTGCGATATACGATGCGCGGAATTTGATCTACCTGCCCGGGAAGAACCCACTCGGGCCGACGGAGGAATACCGCGGATTTGAGGTTTTATACGAGAAGTACGACTTTGGCGAGATATCCGTCGGGGAAGCCGGGACCTTTTACCTGTGTTGGGGGAAAGCGGGGGATCTGCTGAACGTGAGACTCGGACAGATTCTCATCACCGGCGTCAACTGGGAAATCCACTACTGCTGGCTCGGATTCCAGTGCGACATTATTGTCCGCGGTGTGGGCTTGCGCGCGGCGAACGCGCTGCAAGTGCTGAAGAACAACACCGGGGACTGCACGCAACCGGAGGACCATATGGAAGTGTCAGAATCGAAATTGACAAAACCAAAAAATTTGCGATGCACAAAATCTATGTTAGTTCGAGCCTCAGTTTCCAAGTGGCGCATGACAAATTTCGGGGGCACCCACGTCCAGCCTGTCATGCTGTTTGGACAAAGAAGACTGCTCCTGTCGTGCTACTCTGGCAGCACATTGCATACCCCTAAAGAGGCTTACAATCGGCCTCATTTGCCTGCTCCCCAATACAGGCCTTCGGTGCCCTGCATTTTATGCATCACAAAATTTTCGATTTTGTCGATTTCGATCCTGACACATCCATAGACCAGAAACAGTTGGTTTCTGATAAGGAAATCTCCTCGATTTTCAACCCGCGAATGGACAGCAAGCCGCATTCCGCTACGTCTCGGCTCTACGAGATGGGTTTCATCGATCGCGCAGACGTGATTGACTACAAAATCTGTTTCGCGGAGAACCAATTTGTCGCGGCGGGGGAGGTCCGGCGGTTTTTCATCGAGGCCGGGATTCTCTCGCTCTCCGGGCCCGACCAGGATGGTGTGGTCAGCAGCTGCATCATGGGCGAAGAGTGCGTCGCGGGCGCGAAGGGGGTGAATTTGAGGCAGGACAACATCGGACAATTGGTGTTTGGCGAGCAGTGCCCGAACACGCAGGGTATCGCGTTTAATCCGATCACCTGGACGGGAATTCGGTCCGGGACAACCAACGAAGTGTACGATGTCAACGTCTTCAACGCTACGTCGACAAATAACAGTAGTCCGGACGGCTACGCACCGCGGATCTTCTTCGATTTGGGCGCGATTGTGGGGGCGCACCCAGCCAGAATGAGCTACTTCCTCTGTTGGGGACAAGAGTACGGCGCAATGCCGTTCTTGCGGTATAGAAAATTATTGCATTTACTTTTTCTTGTGGCTTGTTTCTTGCGCGACAACTTGTGTGTCTACTGCATGTTGACAAAAAACCAACTCCAACAGTGCCGGGCGTGTGGACCTAACTGGCCCTGGGAACCTAGCCGTTCACTCTTCCATCTCCGGGTCGACCCGGTGCATTATCTATCCCATGAAAAAAGTGTTTCGCTGTGATGATTTTGCAAGATCTGCATCGCAAGTTTGATACACATGACACTGAAAATTTGTCATGCGCACTTCCCAAAGGGGAACACGCTTGAAAATCCGATGCCTTGCAGATGTAGCAAGACAAATAGTTCTGTATTCCATTTTCTGCATCACAAGTTCACAGTGAAGCAGTTTTTTCTTGCGATATTATCGGCCGCGAGTGTATCGTCCTCCTCCGAAACACCCAAGTTGCCGCGACCAACTACATTCGCGCTTTGAAAGAAAACGTGGACTGCAGCGACACCGACCCGAAAAACCTCGTGCAGGCGAAGAACTTGCAGAACCCGTTCCCCGTGGACCAGGACAATTTTGATTTGTACTCCATCGGTTTCCCAGTCATAAATTCCACGGCAGCCACGGCCGCCGGTCTGGGCTACCGGCTCTGCTGGGGCCACCAGCCGATTCTGTACGATGTGGCCGCGAATACGGGGGACTTGGTGGTGCCGGTTTCCAGTGCAACCAACAACGAGTTCCTTCTGTCGAAAATGCGCGTCCCGGTGGGGTATCTGAATTTCCCCGGACCTTTGCCTAGGGACATTACCTGCTACTTCTTCCGCCTGTGCCGCTTTCAGCTCCCCGGCGCCTCCGCCGCGGACTACACCTGGCTAGACCGGGTCGCGGTCATAGACCTCCGGACGAGAAACAACCGGCTGTGCGGGGAACTTCCCGCCGGGGTGGCGAAATACGACAAAGTATCAAAGGCAAAAATGTCTGGGTCTGGTGGAACAAAGCCACTTGTCATGCTAAATCTGAATCATGTAAAAATTAAAATCTGTGTTGCATCTGCATGATTACCAAAAGCTGTCCACTTTTGACCTAATCGAGAGGCAGTTTCTCATGCAGGATAGGCATGATAGAACTCGCACAGAATCTGTCATGCTATGTCCTGCATACCAGACCTCATGGGTCATGGAAAACCTGCATGACAAGTCTGGCATTCTTCCAGACCCAGACACTTTTGCATTTGATACAACGTCCGCGACACTCTACCCTGGGCATTTCGGAGCCGGGTTTACTTGGCCGATGGCAGGTGGGTCCGGTCCGATGTGCTGTCTGGGGACGAGTGGCTGGAGCATTCTTGGAACGTGGAAGACGCGCAGAACGACAAAGACCCGTTATCCTGTGTAAAAACATCCCCACCCCACCAGAGTTGTCATGCAATTCTGCATGCCAAAAAAGTTTCTCATGCGGAGCGGTATGAGAAGCATTTTTTATTCGTGTTTTGGAATTTGCAATGCTAGAAACAGCAAGGTAGGCTCGATCTGTGATGCTTCTGAACTAGCTAAACAGGATAATTACACTACGAGGACAAACGTGTCATGCCAAACAACCAAAGCTTGTTGATTTGTCTAGCAGATTTCCCATCTTGTTGACGCTGGTGTGGGGACGTTTTCAATCAGGATACCCTTATAACACGTGGAATTTTGGAATCCCGAAGTTAGGCGACGCGGACCGATACACGCTGTGTTGGGGGGAAAACCCCTCGTACTCCGACCCAGTCTACACCTGGTACAGCCACCACTACATGAACGTCGGTTGGTTTTCCATGGAATTAACGGCGCAGTGTGTGTTGGGCGATCCGTGCTTCGTCGAAACCTGGTTTTTCACGAAAAACACGACGTTGATGCTATGCATTTTTGCACAACAAGTATCGTACTAATACTAATTGCAGATATGCATGACACATCTGCTTCGCAAGGTAAACCCGTATGAGAAAGAACTCCATTTTTCATGCTGAGCCAATTTGTAATGCAATCTGTACTACTTACGATGCTTTTGCAATGCATAGATGCTTATCGATGACGACAACACCGCTTTGTGCGGCGTCATCGGGGAAAAACTCCTGGTCGGGGTGGATACCAATAACAACAACCAGCAAATTTTCGTCTCCAACACTCTGAGCCCGATCGTGACCAAGTCGCAGTCTTTGCTCGCAAGACCTTCGATGTTCGAGTTGCGGAACCGGACCGATCCGAATTTCGGCTTGGAAGAGGAGAAACAGATCTGGAGTTACGATCTACCCAGGTTCGAGAAATTCCCGTCGCACCACTACAAATTTTGCGAGGTGCTGGAACTGGACAATAACGATTTCGAGCCGTGTCGCGAGTTCTGGTACATCTTTTCCGGCACGAGGAACCGGACCTTGACGAACGAAACAATTGCGGATTTTTATCCGAACAGGACTTTAGCCATCGGGCAGTATTTGGTCGAGGAGGTGACGGAATCGAATGTTAATGTGACTTACAACCCTTGTGGGGTTTATCCGGAGGAAATCCGGCAGAAAGTGATTTCTCCGAAGACGAACGGGACCAGCAACTTACCCCCGGATTTCTTCGTGTCCAGCTCTAGCATCATCACAACGGAGTCCGATTTCATGTTCGACACCGCGACGGAAGACGCTGCAAACGCAAGGCCGACGATCCGAACCGGCACTTTCTTCAACGAGAACAAGCAGTTCGTGGAAGCAAAAGAGCCAATTGCGAGCTTGGTGGTCTCTGGGCCGTATTTTCAGCGGAAAACTTGCCAACTCGGGGCGAATATCCTGTGCAAAAGTATCGTACTCGTACAAATGGAAGTCTTGCATTACAAATCTTGCTTCCAAGGCAAATCTGCATTACAAATTTTCTTTCTCATGCTGAGGAAATTTGTAATGCATTTATACGACGAGTGCGATACTTTTGCAGTTCATAGCGAATTGCACACTGTTTTTGGACGGCGTGGGTAACCGGGAGAATGACTTCATATTTTTATCCAAGAACGCCAGCGTCTGCTCCGTGCCCACAACGATCAGTAACTTGCTGAATTACACCTCAGATTTGAACAAACTAAGTTCTTCGGACTTGAAACTGAAGATCGAGAAAGCGGCGATGGACGCGGGGTTGTTCTTGACCAGTCCGATCGGCGAGGGATTTTTGTCCGCCTTACCGTATGATCCGGACCAAAATAACCAGCAACAAAAATTCCAGAACACCACCATTCCGCCGATCATCCGGGGGTTACATACAGTGGTACTACCAGACTTACAGCAGTCCGATGTCCTGTTTTTCGACGAGAAAAACCGGTACGGGAAAAAGAAACGCGCGGTCTACGAACTGGGTATCGCGACCAAAGTCTCCCCCGGGTCGGTGTATGGACTTTGCGGGTTCAACGATTTGGTGATCGGAGAACTGGTGTTCACCGGCCCGGATATTGCCGATGGGGATACGAGAAACTGCACATTGGGGATGCCGTGCGTGATCAAAGTCGAGGGGGCGAGCTTCACGTCGGACAACATGATGCTGTTATCCCCCACGGAAACCTGTACGGAAGAGGCAAGTAAGAAATTAGAGTTCAACGTAACCGCCGTCCCGAGTCGACTCGTGGACTCCACCCCCGGGTTGAGTCACGTCCACTTAAACGACTTGATTTTTGACGCGATCGTCCGAGGGGAGTTAAACGGAACCGGGAATTCTGCCGCGGACTACTTCACCCAGTTAGACTCCATGTACCCAGCTGTGACGATTCAGCACCACATGAAAGCGACGCACTTAAGTGGAGCCGGCACATCCGCATCCGCTGTGATTGTGCAGCCGCAAACTGGCACAGGAAACACAACCGGTCTGGCGAGCACCGCCGCCTACCCCACCGGGGCAACGAGTATCGCGGAGTTTTTGGTGCGACAGAACTCGACCGCAGTTTCGAATGTGACGGAGAACGAAAGATTGAGTCAGCAGATCCAGTATTTACACGAGAGGGCACTGTATGGCCCTTGGGACCAGCTATTAAACCCGGCGGGCGTAACCTCCCTCATGCTCGACAGCAGTACGCAGAAAGGCGTGGAGATCTTTGACTTGAACGTGCCCTATTTCCCCCATTCCGGGCGCTTTTCCTTGTGCTGGGGCTACAACATCTTCCGGGGGTTGTTCCCAGTGGAACAAGGCGCGTTGCAGCAGGTGGGGGCCGACGCAACATCGGCAGCGGCGATGGCGGTAGCGAAGTCTAGTAGTACTTCAACTTCGAGCAGCAACGAAACAACGAGAATCACCTACACGGCCGGTTTCCTCAACCCGCCGCACAACACCATTGAGGCGAGGTACGAATTCGAGCAATTCCGCCTGAAAATCGCGGAAATGTTCCTCTACGGGCCGCTCCAAGTCGGGACGAATCACGCAAGATTTCAGAACCTAACCGGCGACTCTGCGATATCACAAGAAAAAAGTCTTACAGTTACACATTTGTTGGAGTTTCTGCATCACAAAGTTGCTCGACATGGCAAAAAAAAACCTGTGATGCTCAGACTATATATAAGGAAAAACACGAATGAAATCAGGTTGGCAAGCATTTCCTGCATGACAGAGCTTCTCTCGCTTGCTTGTCTCCCATCAGAGTGTGTAACTGTAACACTTTTTTCCCACGATATGCGAGAATCAGAAACTACTGGTTCGAGGCGGGGATTGACATCAGCTTTTCCATATCAAGTGCAAAAATGTCTGGGTCTGGAAGATTTCTAGATTTGTCATGCATATTTTCCATGAGCCATGATGTCCGTGATGCATGCCGTAGCATCACAGATTTTTAGAGGGCTTCGTGATACCTCTACCGCATGAAAAATGCCCTCTCCACGTAGGACAAACCCGACCCCTCTTGCTGGTCATGCAATACAAATTTGTTTAGATGAATCCACAGACAGCATCACAAGTTGTGACCTTCCAGACCCAGACATTTTTGCAGTTCATATTCCATGTTTGGCGGTGTGAATAACGGGACCGTGTTCTGCTACTTGGCGTTGGAATGTAAGATTGAGGTTGATGGAGTCGTATCCTGTGCAAAAGTATCGTACTCGTAGTAATCGCAGTCATGCATTACAAATTTCTTTCTCAAGTTAAATCCGCATTACAAATTTTATTTCTCATGCTGAGGAAATTTTTCATGCGATTTATACTAGTACGATGCTTTTGCATTTCATAAGTCGGGTTGAAAGAATTGAACAACCACGGGTTACTACTCGTCCACAAGGATGAATTCTGCTACTCCACGAAAAAACAGCCGATTGAAATCAACAACATCCGGAACCCGACAAACGCCATGACGTACCTCGGCGCGGAGAATGACCCGGCGCCCGTATGAACTGCAAAAACATCATACTAGTAAAAATTGCAATACAAAGTAGCTCAGCATTAAAAATTGAATCTGTAAATGCGGATTTGCCTTTAACAAAAAGATTTGTAATGCATGAAATCAATTAGTACGAGTACGATACTTTTGCACAGGATAGCCCGGCACGAATAGCTATTTGGCGAACTCGGTGACTGTGCAGCGGTACCGCTACAATTTCGACCGGTTGGCCGTATGAGAGTGCACAACTCCCCCTCCCCCTCCTTTGTCATGCAAACTACCAAACTCTTCACACTCTGTCTGTAGGCACTGTCTGCATGACAAAGCTTTGCACCTGAAGCAGTACTACAGTGCGGGTGCAAATTTGTCATGCGGAGGCCACATTTCTGCCGTTGCTTGTATTGCTGTTTATGCCATGCAAATGAGGGGGAGGGAGGGTTGTGCACTCTCATAGGCCGGTGCCGCGCCGCAGAAGAAGGGCCCGTATCGGATCTGCTGGGGGTACACCGGGCCGCGGAAAAACAACGACAACGACATGGCTCCGTTTGTGGAGGACAGAGTCAATTATGGTGTGGAAGTCGGAACTTTACTCGTTTTCGGCCCGATGTTCCGGCAATTCGACTGTGTTGCGGGGACGGATATCAACTGCAAATGTGTCTGGGTCTGGAAGATTGCAAGACTTGTCATGCTAGTCCGGCATGACTCTGCACTCTGTATTGCGTGGCTACAAACAGCCTCTCTCGCCTGTCATGCAAAAACGCAGTTTCTTATGCGGAATACGCAGCACAGAACCAGAAGCACGAAAAAACTTGTCATGCTCGGCTGCGCATTACGGTTACTTATTGTTCTCTGACTGGCAACATCACAAGTTTCCAGACCCAGACACATTTGCAATGCATAACGGAGTGCAAGGTCTTGGTCGAAGGGACGGGTTTGTCGGCGGACAAGAACCGGATCTTCCTCGTGTCTGGGGGGACTTGTTTATCCGTGGTGAACTTTCTGTACGAATTCTACGTGTTCAAGTCGAAAGCGGTCATTCCATTGTTAGAAGACGTGGAAACCGGGGATGTTGTGCAATATTTCCGACAGTCAACTGATATCAACCAAGAACCCTACACGGAGGAATTTCTCTCGTCCGTCGACGTGAAGCAAGCTAATTTGGCCGATTTGAACATCACCCGGGTCGCGAATTACCGGCCGAATTCCATTTTAGTCGGGCCGATCTCGGTCACTATGCACTGCAAAAGTCTCGTACTCGTATAAATGTATTACAAATTTCCTCAGCATGAGAAATAAATATTTGTATAGCGGATTTACCTTAAGAAAAAGACTTGCAATGCATGACTGCAATACGAGCGCGATACTTTTGGACAGGATAGTCACCCCCGGGTTGCAAATGGCGTCAACTCTAAACGAGTACAGCATGTCGGCTTTGGCCGTTCGCGGGTCGGACAACTTCCAGGCCTGCTATCTCGCGGATCCGTCAAGCTCTTTGAACGCGATCAATTTCGGGGTTCTCCGGATCATCGGCCCCAGACCGGCGGCGAGGACGTATACCTGCGTGTTGGGATCGCCGTGCATTTTAGGCGTGACCGGATTGCAGCTGAAACGAGGGGTAAACCACTTAGCCATCAACCGGTCGCCGCAGTGCAAGCCGGCGACGGTGTTGACGATGCCGACGAGGGCATTCGTGAATCCGAGCTTGAGCGGCTTCGACGTGGGCCTGGCGATCCGAGAGAAGTATCTAGATTCGTGGGATGACGCGCAGTACTGGTTTCATGGGGACGAGGATTTCTACAATGGGACAACAGCTGGAACAGCAGGAACAGCCAGAACCGCCGGCGGAACAACTACAAAACAATCCAACCCGAAAGACAGTACGGCGATTCACTACCACCATTTCGGCATGCCGATCGGCCCCTCTGCGGAGTACGCGGGCAGCTACTACTTCTGCTGGCGCGACAGCCCGGGGAAGGAGTACACCATGGTCGGGAGCATCGACTTGGTCGCGCCGACCTTACTGAGTCGAAAGACCTCGTTCAATTGTTTTCTGGGGAAGGAGTGCAAGGTGGACATGAGCTTGAATGGGTTTGACGAGAAGAAAAAGTCGGTCTTCCGTTGGACTTTTCCGAAGCAATACGGTTACAGTATCGCGGTGAACGGCGCGCCTGGCGCGGATATGAGTACGAAGGAAGCTGAGGATTGCTTCTTGCCGGAGTTTGAAGGGTTGGAGGTTTTAACAAAAACGAACACGAGTGACACAACCTCGGTGGATTTTGTTCCGAGAAGCGATTACTTTGAGGGCATGCAGGCGGAGTTGGTGTTTGATTGGGATAGGGTGATTTCCAGCGGAAGTGGGGGTTCTGACGATGATATTACCTCGACGGACGATAGCAGTGCGACTGCGATGAACGATACAATGAACGGAACTTCTGGAGGAAACAGTAGTACTACTGCAATTATGCCGACTGCAATGGGAATCGTAGTACTAGCCCCTACAACTGCACCCGACTCTGGTGCTTCAAATTCCGCGGCAACGACAAACGACGCCCAAGTCCACGTATCCTTCGGCTTCCCGCGCAACGCCCGCCCGGGCCGGTATTTGCTCTGCTGGTCTAAATCTAGCCGCGGGCAGCGAGTGAAGGTCGCGGAGATCTTTTTACGAGGTCCGAACGAGCAGGTGAGTGGCTGCACTCTCGGGGTCTCCTGTGGAATTTCTTTGTCAAGCCCGGTCAAGGAAACGTTCTCCATTGCGGACTCTCTCCGGCTGATCACGACGAGTGGGCCGTTGCAGTCCTTGAATTTGCAGGTGATTAACGACAAAATTCGGTCATTAGGCCTGACGTTTGATGAGAGCAATGGCACTACAAGTACAATTGTTGCAGCCGTTTTTGGGGGGGTGCTTGCAACGGCCAACGCAACAGACAACGGGAACTCCACGAATACTAGTAACGCAAACGCGTTGTCCACGAACCAAAGTGCAACTACAGAGGCCAGTAACCAGACCAACACAACAGTTATCTCCACCGCGACGTCGACCATCAGTCTCGAAGACCGCATCCGGCGGGGGTTTTTCCAAACCGCAGCGGATTTGTGCAATGTGGATGAGAGTTTCCTCCAAGCCCAGCTCTCTTCCGTTCTCACGATGTCGACGGTTTATCTACCAGTGAGCAACTATTCCGCACATGATCCGAGTTTCGAGGCGATTGCGACGCAAGAAGACTACGCGAGGGTAAGTTCGCTCGGGTCGAAACTCGCCTACACGATTCAGGATTTTAAGCAAACTTACATCGCCGGACCCTGGCAGCTGTGTTGGAAGGCGATAGAGAATGCGGAGAGTTTATTGCTAGGTCAGAACGCGAGTACTACTTCTACGGCGAGCACGAATAACGCGACATCAACTACCATCGGAACAACAGCGACAAGTGCAGGCAACGAAACAACAGGGCAGGGCTCCGAACAAATTTCCTGGGTCCCGTTTGGAAAGTTGGACGTGATTGGCCCGACAAAGGAGTTGTTCAATTGTAACCTCGGCGCCCGGTGTCCGATCAATCTTTCTGGTTACGGAGACTTTGCGAGTGTGACGCAGTTGATTATCGCGAGGAAAAAAACTACTTCCAGTACAACGGCGGGGACGAGCAGAAGAAAACAAAGGCGACAGTTGCAGCAACAAACAACACCGCAAGTTGTATCCGATGAAAACGCCTGTTCTGGTCCAGACTGGGAGATCATTTACCAAATTCCCATGACAGAATTAATCGCGATGACTATCCTGAGTAAAAACGTACCCACACCAGAGTTGTAATGCAGATTTGCAAAGACAGGAAGACTTGCAATGCGCATCCCCATGAGAGCCATTTCCAGTCGTGTTTTGGAATTTGTGATGCTGTGAACAGGATGAGCAGATGAATCTGTGACGCGGCTGCACTTGCTAACCAGCACTACACTGCGGAGTGCAATTTGTCATGCGTGACTCACAAAACTTAAACTCCTAGGGCTGTGTTGCAAAATCTCCATCCTGACTCTGGTGTGGGGACGTTTTTACTCAGGATAATGACCGGCGGAGTGCTCTCCATCGACACCATTTTTGCAAATTTGCCCACGGCGGTTGCGTATCCTGTGCAAGAAAAGTATCGTACTCGTAGTAATTGCAGTCATGCATTACAAATCTCGTTCCCAAGGCAAATCAGCATGACAAATTCCATTTTTCATGCTGAGCGAATTTGTATTGCAAATACTACTAGTAAGATACTTTTGCAATTCATATTGCGGATGCGAGTACACTCAGCTTGTGTTGGCGCAGCTCGTCGAGTGGTGGTAGTGCCAGTACGAACAACGGTACGAGAAACCCGTTTTTGGTTGATGCGAAGCAGGGTAGTTCCTCTTCTTCCACCGTAGTTGGTGACTACATCCGGATCGGGCAATTCATCGTGTCCGGCCCGCAAATACCCGGCCACAACGCACCAAAAGTGCATTTCTACTGCGAGTTAGGGGACAGACACTGCGACATCGAACTCCCGTACGTCGGGGTGGAAAGCAATCTGAAATCGAGTCTCCGGGTCAGCTATCTACAACTCCAGCCGATTTCCGGCGGCCAGACGCACCCGGATGCCGCTTTGGTCGCGCAAACCGCAGCCAGCTCGACTAGTTCCGCGTGTATTGACGAGCAAAGGATTGGATCGAGTATTCGGTTGAAAAACGCGTTCGCGGGGAGTTATGCAAGAAAAAAACTTCTGTGTAAGTGTAACTCTGTAATGCAGAACATGCAACAGAGTTACATCTGTTATGCCAGAAAGCCACGAGGCCTCTTTTCATGTGTGTTTTCCCTTACAAGCCATGCATGACAGGTTTTCTCTGTCATGTAGAGCAAACTTGTGATGCTGTCAGCCAAAGAAAGTTACACTAACACAGTTTTTTTCTTGGATAGAAGTAGTCGGTTTTTCAATACGACGAACAACAAATTCTCGTTAGGGGAAATCAAAATCAGCGAACCAGTCGGGTGGACCGGAACTTACAGGATGTGCTGGCGCTCGGAATTCACGGACGAAACTGCAGTAGCAGCAAGAAGGATGAGAGCGCTGTCTTACCACGAGGCTGGAGGTGCTACATCAATGTCGGGTACCACCTCCATGCAGATGGAAGGTACTAGCAGTGCTAGTGCTGGTACTATGGATCACAGCGCGCACCACAGTACTAGCGCGACTTCGGCTCCGAGTAGTCTGCCCAGTTCCCAAAGTGTTGACCCCGCGGCCGCGGCCAGCACAGCGACTATTTCGAACGACCCACAGAACCAAGCGCGTTGGAAGGCCCAGTTCGACGGGGTGCCGCAGTACGTGTTCCAAACCACTTCGGACGGTTCGAGCTCCGGGACAGTCTTTATCCAGTGCAAAACAAGTATCGCACTCCCACTCGTGCTGATCGCAGTCATGCAAGACAAATTTCTTTTTCAAGCTAAATCAGCATGAGAAATTTCACTTGTCATGCTGAGCGAATTTGTATTGCAGTACTATGAGTACGATACTTTTGCAGTTGATAGTGTACGACATCGGGCAAGTCACTTTCTTCGGTCCGCTGGAAACGCACGTGTATTGCGCTTTGGGGGAAGACTGTACGGCGGCGAATTTAAGTGGGACGTATTTGCGGACAATTATGTCGAACGGAACGATTATGTCGAACGGAACGGATGACGATAGTACCACACCACTGCAAAACCGCTCCGTTAGCATCGTCGTTTTGGACTCCGCCGCCAGTACGGGCGCGAGCGAGTGCCGGGAGAGCTACGGACTGCTTGGAAAAACAGAACAATCTTCTCTGATCTCCTCCATGGAGCAGATTTTACCGGTTTTCAACGGACCTAATTTCGCAAATCCGGTGGACTCAGGTTCGAGTTCTGCAAGCAGTACAACTTCGGAACAAACTCAGCAAGCAATCAACTCCGCCCAAATGACGTTCGAATTCGGAACCCCCTACCGGGGCATAGTCGGCGAATACGCGCTGTGTTGGCGGAATCGAGAGGTTTTCGGAAAATTCCACCTCACGGGGCCGCTGTTCGGCGGCGCCAGGCCGTCCAGCTGCCCGATTGGTGTGACGGATTGCCGGATCAGGCTGGAAGGGCACAGATTTTCGGAAACGAATCATTTGAAGATGGTGGAAGTTGTTGAGGGGGTTCCCGTTGTGACAACAGGAAGTAGTTCTTTAAACTTCCTTCCCGCGAACCCCGTCCAAGTGCAACCAGACTTGAGGAACCGACTCTACAGCTTCGGCCCGATAGGTACGACAAATGACCAGATCGCAACCCCCGGCGTTTACTCGCTCTATTGGGGGGAGACAGCGGTAAAACAAGAAATTTCCACGGATGTTTTGGTGTTGCAAGGCCCGAAAGTGAAGTCTTTGACCGCAGCGGATGGAGACACGGGGTTTGTGTGCAAATTGGGGGAGTCGTGCAAAGTCGAGTTGAGCGGCGTGGCGCTGCAGAGCTTCAACCGGTTGAAAATCTTGAATTTCGACCGTCTGAAACCGTTTCGGGTGATGGTGAACAATAATGCGGGATCAGCTTTAGCCGGTGGTCAAGAAGGTACTGTAAATGGCAGCAACGGAACTACGAATGGTACTACAAGTGTGATGTCCACAGCCACATCCTACTCCTACCAGTGGGCGCCAACCATCGCGTTGATGAACGACGAGGATGACACGGGTGGTATGGGATATGGATTGCAAAAATGTCGGGGTCTGGAAGATTGCGACTTGTCATGCTAAATCCGAAGCATGCAGAAATCTGTGTTGCATGAGTGCCAAAAGCTGTCCACTTTCGACCAAGTTTGGGGGGAGTTTCTCATGCAGGATAGGCATGGAAGAGACTATGGAGCGTAGGTGTACTACCGCTACCGGGATATTGCATGTACTACCGGGCTAGTCAAGGTACCCCAATTTTGAAAAGTCAAGGTCAGCGCTACAAAAAAGTCAAGGTCGGGAAATCCGATGAAACAGGCGGACACTCTCCTTCTGCCCCCCTATCTGGTGCGCTTCTGTAGTTTTTTCGTGGTAGTCGTGGACATTGGGAAGGGGGTGGCGCAGGACAAATGACAAAAATGCAACCACTAAGAAAAGCATTTCATGCAAAACCCCAGATGGAGGTGCAGCAAGAGCGCAACTCCATTTGAGTTTTTGCATGACAGACTTGTCCTTGTGGCTGCATTGTCATTTTTGCTTGGAGTTTAGCAGAGCTATTCTGACTACCCGGCTTTCCTTTTGCTCGATGGTTGGAGCAATGTGCACCGGCCTTAAGGGTGGATTCGAGCTGTCAGCGCGCAACTGTTCAGCATGAAGCGAGCAGTCCGCTGCAGCTGAACCCCCGGACGAGGCTCCGAAGGCGTCCCCCCCGCCCCATGCCTGGGCCCCACGCATGGGGCGGGGTGGACGCCTTCGGAGCCTCGTCCGGGGGTTCAGCTGCAGCGGGCTGCTCGGAGTTGGTCATGAACAAGATGGCGAGCAAAAGCCTGGCCGATTTTGCTCATGCTCATTGTCCCCAATGCGGGGACAATGAGCAAAATCGACCGGGCTTTTTCGTGCCATCTTTTTCATGACCAACTCCGCGCCAGCAGCTCCCCGCTGGCTGGCGGACCACCCGGACGGGGCTCCGAAGGCGTCCCTCCCGCCTCCGCCCGGGGCCCACGAGCGGCCGGAAGCTGCCCCGGGGGGGGCCCCCCCCGGTTCCGGCGACTTGCGCGCTGACAGCTCGAGTCCACCCTTAAGGCCGGTGCACATTGCTCCATTGAGCAAAAGGAAAACCGGGTAGTCAGAATAACTCTGCTAAAAACTGCACTCGGGCAAAAAAATCGCTTTTTGGCGAATTTTTTGCCCGGATGCAGTTTTTAGCTTCGTTTTACCTTCACTTTCCCATTTTTCGGAAAAAAGCGACTACAATGCGGGTCAGCGTTTAGCTTTTGGCGAGCCGGCTTTCCTTTCTTTGCAACCTCCAAAAGTGGACCGAAATGGGGCCCGTACCATGCGGCCTCCGCTTTTTTCGCCTTGGCATTTTCCGGCGCCCCTTTTTGGGCGGTCCAAATCGACGGAAATAGTCGCGCTGGACGCCTCGGCAGGGCGTCTGCCAAGAGCGGCGCTCGACTCAAGAGATTGAGGAGCCCGCCGAGCAGTTGCGCGCCCGCAGCGTCAAGAGCTGCGGCGCTCCTCGACCCTCCCAACCGGAGAAAATCGGGTGGCCAACCGTGTCTGAAGACGAGCCGGCGGCTTCCTGGTTGGCGCCTCAGCGCTCGCCCCAAGAGGCTGGGGAGACAGAGCAGAGGCCAGAGGCGCGAGAGCGGAGCTCTTCCCAAGAGATTGAGGCCAAAAAATAGTCACTTTTTTCATTCCACTACCGGAATAAGAAACGTTGATTTTCAACGTGTTCAGACCCGAATCGGAGTTGAATCCGAGCTGCCGCGTTTGTGAGTTATTATCCCGGTAGTCGAAAAACTTCTAAACCACCATAGCATGGGGGAAACGCGTTGCACTACCGTACGAAAAGACGACGCACTACCGGGATAACCGACGACCAAAATTCGTCGGACCGGCACCACGGTAGTGCGTCGCTTTTCCCTTATCGGTTTTGTACGGTAGTGAAAGGCATATTCCCAATGGTATGGTGGATTTTAAGGCTTTGTACTACCGATCTACTTTTTCAATGCACTACCTGGATATTAATTCCCGCAGATTCCGGTAGTGGCTGACTTTTACCCATTATTTTTCGTGCGGTAGTGCAAACCCGAACACCCATGCTACGGTGGTTTTCAGATCTTTGCACTACCTGGATATTAAATGCGTTCTCAATGAAAAAACAAAAAAAAACTGTCCCGAAACTGCTCCCGAGGTCGCGAAATTTGTCGCGATCCGAGTGGAGTCCATGATTATTATCTCGGTAGTACTATCAAAAACGGCGCTCCCGAAACCTCTTTCGCATGGCCGACACAGCACGTCGATTTGAAAAGCAGTAGCTGTTGTTCGAGTGGGCCAACGAGGTGCAGCCGAGAGGAGCCGCCCCGCCTTCTTCTGCAGTGCGAGGAGCAGAACCAGAGCCATCGGGTGTTGAAGGAGAGCTCCTCGTTGAAGGAGAGCTCCTCCTTCAAATAGCCTCCACGATCGACGAGGCGGATGAGAAAGAAGAAGATGAGCCCGGACGAGGTCTACAGTTGAAGTGTCGGCCTTCTGAGCGGCCGAAGCAACCACCTCCAGTGGAGGTGGTGGCGCTCCAGCAGCGCCGCGCCCCATGTCGACGCCTAGTCCGTCCCGGAGGCTATGAGGCCGGGCGGCGGTTCCTCGCCCTTCGGCCCGCGCTGGCGGTGATCTGCGAAGCACAGCGCGAGCCAAAAGGCGACAAAACCGAACCCGTTCGGCCTGGCTCTGCCTCAAGATTGGCCGGGCGGCGGCTCCCTGCCCTTCGGCCCGCGCTGGCGGTGATCTGCGAAGCACAACAGGAGCCAAAACCGACCAAAGCCGAACCCGTTCGGCCTGGCTCTGCCTCCCAAGATTGGCCGGGCGGCGGTTCCCAGCCCTGGCTTCGTCCGGCGCTGGCGGTGATCTGCGAAGCACAACAGGAGCCAAAAGGCGACAAAACCGAACCCGTTCGGCCTCGGTCTGCCTCATTCAAGAGGAGCCGGGCGGCGGTTCCCAGCCTTTCGGCCCGCGCTGGCGGTGATCTGCGAAGCACAACAGTAGCCAAAACGCGACAAAACCGAACCCGTTCGGCCTGGCTCCGCCTCAAGATTGGCCGGGCGGCGGTTCCCAGCCTTTCGGCCCGCGCTGGCGGTGATCTGCGAAGCACAACAGGAGCCAAAACGCGACAAAACCGAACCCGTTCGGCCTGGCTCTGCCTCAAGATTGGCCGCCCGGGCGGCGGCTCCTAGCCCTCCGGCCCGCGCTGGCGGTGCCTTGCGAAGCACAACAGGGGCCGGCTCCTAGCCCTTCGGCCCGCGCTGCGTGAGCACTACGTTTGCCCGCGCTGCAGCCCTTTCTAATTTCTACAAGTTCTACAAAAGGCCTAACCCCATCGAGAGGCATAGGGCGCTACGAGTCAGAAGCCCTGTAGCCAGTGCCCCGGGAGTTCCTGGATAGCCGGGGGATCGCTTGGAGCCCGCGCGGCGCCGTCGATCCCCGTTGGTCCCCCTGTACTTGGTCCTCGCTCGCTCGCAAATGCTGCAGCTGCCGCTTGTTTTCCCCCGGCCCCTCCGAATATGGCGCTGCTGAGAAGGCGAAGGCAGGGCTGCTGAGAAGTAGTTCGCCGGCACCAGCGGGGTGCCCGAAGAGGTCCCATTAAGATCCTGGAAAGATCACCCTCGACACTCCAGGGGGAGGGGTCGGAAAGATTCGGAGCGCCCGCCCCTCTGTAGCCTCTGCGACAACTTGCAGACAAACGGGAAGCATAGACCGCTCGTGTAACGCGCGTTACACGATGGTATGATAGATGTGAGAAAGGAGTAGACGCCCACGGGCGGCGCCGCAGGTGCTAGCCCGCTGGGAGTGACGAATGCCCACACCCAACAAGGGCGAGCGAGTGGTCGCGCGGTTGTGAAAGCCCGCCAGCGCGGGCCGAAAGGCTGAGAACCGCCGCCCGGCCAATCTTGAGACGGAGCCAGGCCGAACGGGTTCGGTTTTGTCGCCTTTTGGCCCGTGCTGCCTGTTTCATCGGATTTCCCGACCTTGACTTTTTTGTAGCGCTGACCTTGACTTTTCAAAATTGGGGTACCTTGACTAACCCGGTAGTGCATGCAATATCCCGGTAGCGGTAGTACACCTACGTTCCATAGAGACCTCACAGACACTGTCATGCTAGGTCCCGCATTCCAGACCTGATGGGTCATGGAAAACCTGCATGACAAGCTTACACTCTTCCAGACCCAGACATTTTTGCATTTGATATAGGAAGCAGTACTACGACCGGGAATGCAAGCTCGAGCATGGCAAATGGAACATCTTCTAATAGCACTGTGCAATACATCCCCGATCCGAATTTCACGATCAAGGAACTCGTTTCCGAAGCGGTGGAGCTCCAGCTCGACAATTTTCTCGGTTTCCCGAACAACCCGCAGTACCCAGAATCCGTCTTCCGGGAAAAGGAAGTTTTCGACTTGGGCCGCCCGTTCGCAAATGCGAGTCGAGATTACCGGATGTACTGGCACGTGGATAACTCCTTGAATGAGATGGCGGGAATGTTAGATGAGAAGATCAAGTACGAGTGGGTTATCGTTGGGAGTTTCCAACTTCTCGGGCCGGTGATCCCGAACGAAACGGTCAAGTTATTGATGAAACGGTATGAGCTGGAAGCGGCGGGGTTCTTTTTCGAGAAAGGGATGGAGACAGGATCGGGCACTTCTGCTGGAACAACTGCCGACGCCAGTGCTGTGGCGAATGCAAGCAACGCGACAGATGTGGATGTGAATGGAACCAGTAATAGCAGCAATCAATCGACGAGCGCTCTGCGTGCTTCTTCATTAGCGGGGCTGGAGGAGGAAGAAGCCGTCGACTCTGCCATAAATGCCACAGATTCATCATCATCAGTATCATCCGCAGCTGCTTCAGTCGACGCCACGAAAACAACGGTGACAGACGACCCGACACTCAATCACTTCGAATTCCACAGCTGTTTCATCGGCAAAACCTGCTCCATTGCGGTCCCGTTTGTCGGAAAGGAACAAGACTTCACGAAGGAAACAAACTTCTTCAAAATTCGGAAAAAGTGCAATCTAAACGACACCTTACTCTTTTTGCAGCAGGAAGAGCAGAAGAGCAAAGCATTAAGAGAGCAAAACCGCCTGTACGACAGAAGCTTCACCGATGCAGCGAACGACCCCCTTCCCTACTCCGCGGGAAGACGTCTTCGTAGACTCTCACACAACACGCCAACAACCACTCCCGCTCCTCTCCCGACCCCGTACGGCATCAATTTCGAGCCGAATTTCCTGCCGTATGGGTACAAACCCACGTTAGCGGATTTGAACCAGCAGAACTACAATTTGTTCGAAAACCTGGACGAAACGGGGTACATTTCCTACCTCCCGACGGATTATCTACTCGCCAGTAGAAACATCACCGCGGGAATTCAATTCCAAAACCCGAACTTCCCCTTCGACAGTACTTGGTCCAGGCCGGATTTGCTTGTGGAGTCTGTCCGCTTGCCACAAGTGGTGGATCTGAAATTAGCAGGCGGGTTTGCGGGGAAGTCGAGTGCTGGATTGCTGTTAACGGAGGAGAAAACGATGATACCGCCGACGGTCGTGGATAGTGGGGAGTTGTTTTATGGGAACGCTTTGTTGGAGCAACTGTCGTCCACCTCTGCGGGTCTTGGGGCGATGCAAAACACTACAACAGCATCAGCAAATTCTTCCTCTGAAGGTTCTTACAGTACGGATCTCCTTTTGAATTCTATCGAAGTGGAGTCCAACAGTTTTATCCTCGAAGAGTACCTATCAAGTGCAAAAATGTCGGGGCCTGGAAAAGTGTAGACTTGTCATGCAGATTTTCCATGACCCATGGCCATGAGGTCTGGAATGCGGGACTTGGCATGACAGACCCTGCGAGGTCTCTGCCATGCCTATCCTGCAAGAGAACTCCCTTCCAACTTGGTCAAAAGTGTGCCGCTTTTGGCACTCATGAAACACAGATTTTTGCATGCTTCAGATTTACCATGACAAGTTCCATCCTCCCAGACCCAGACATTTTTGCATTTGATAGTACCAGAACAAAACTTTGTTCAAATTCGATTTCGGATTGTCCACTTCTCTGCCGACGTTCACGAATTACGAATTGTGTTGGTCGGACAACGAGGTCTTACTCAGTCCCATGAAGTTCTATGGCCCGCTGGATCAGAATTTGGGGCTAGTGCAGAAGTGCGGGTATTCGTTTACGTCTTCCTCGTCTTCTACTTCTTCGAGTTCATCTGCGTGTGCACTACAATTCGCCGGTGATTTCTTCCAGAAGCACGCGGTGCCATCGAAGGCAGTGACAGCGGTTGGTGGCAACGATACGAATTCCACTGGCGGCACGGGTCTTGTCGACGAATTCTCTACTTCCGAGGATAGCATGACAAATTCGTCGAATGAAACTACTGCACCCGACACGTCAAAGAATCTGATCCGCATTGTAGACGACTACGACTGCAATAGCCCGCACATTTTGTACAATGGGAACTTGGTCGAGTTTGTGAAAGACGAGAAAGCAACAGCTGGTACATCGGACGACAGTAGCGTTGATGCGGGTGAAGACCCTTCAGCAACCTCTGGCGCTGTTACTATCCAGGACGTGCGGCCAGACAACGAGCGACAGTATTCTGGTTTAAATACGACGGACTCGAACCCGACGCACGCGATGCTCAGCATCTACAACAGCGGACAGTTGAATCGGTTGAATAGTTTGAACCCGTACATGACCTTTCCGCCGAACGAGATTTTAGCAGGACAAAGCGATATGATCGCGCAGTTCACGCTGCCAGAAACCGCTTTGAACTCCATGCCCAAGTTCCACAGGAGAGACAATTTGACGGTGTGCTGGAAAAGCAGCGAGGAAGATGCTGATGCTTCTAGTTCTACCAGCGAAACAAGAACCAGCAACAACCAGCTCTATCCTTGGGTCCGGGCCGGATTCATGTCTTTCGATACGGATTTTCACTGCAATTTGGGAAGTGTTTGTCAGTTGCAAGGTTTGGAAGCAATCGTTCTAAAAGCAGTGGAAGAGGCAAAGTTGGCGACGGAGAGCAGCAGTAGTACCAGCACAGGTTCATCCAACAGTAGTACGGGAAGCAACGACAGCAGTACCACAAATTCAACCAAAACTGCTGCTGACAAAAACATTCTCTACCACCCAATTATCACAATCGCGGAAGACCAGAGCAACAACTGCGCTCAGAGTTCGAATTCGAGTCGGGTGAAGATTTTATCCGGTTTTGAAGACGTGAAAACTTTAAGTTCAGAAGTGACGAAGATGCTCGGAGACGAAGTCGGAGGTGGAAGCAGTTCTAGCACAACGACGACCAGAGAAGCTTTGGAAGAAGAAATTCTAACGAATTCATCGCATCAGACCCTTTTATATGGTATTCAAAAATGTCTGGGTCTGGAAGATTCTAAACCTGTGATGCTGTCTCTGGATTCGAAAAAATTTTGTATTGCCTGACCACTAAGAGTAAGAGGAGGAGACTTTGTGCTCCGCGGAGATGGCATTTGTCATGCGGAATAGGCATGAGCAAGCGCTTGAAAAATATGTGATGCTAGGCCATGCATCACAGGCATTATGGACCATGTACCTGGAGGGCGCAAGCCTCATACCATACCATACCATACCATACCATGCAAAATATGCATCACAGATCTCACATTCTTCCAGACCCAGACATTTTTACACTTGATATTTTACAGCTTGCCCATCGGAGATCTTCCACGGAGAAATACGACAGCAACTACGGGAAAGTGCCACTCGTCGTGTTGCCTTTCTCCATCGGAGTGTACGGAATTTGCGTCAGCGTGCTGGCGATGAGAGTCGTGGAGGATGTAGATGGGAAAATAAATCAGACCGGAACATCAACTGCAACATCAAGTAACGCAACAGCCCCTCTCACTTTCAACACGACAACCGCCCTGCAACAGTCCATCCGCGCTTTCTTGACCGTCGATGGGCCGAATTACAGGCACAATGCCGACGCGAACACGACAACAGCGAAGGCGGATAACAACACTTTCCTGAAGCTGACGACCGAGCACGTGCCTAACTCGCAACTGAATTTCGCAAACGTGTTCACCGGTCAGTACGACTACTTGCGGCTGCGGGACAGCACTGTGGGGAAGAAGAACACGTCACTTGAAGCGGCGATTTTTGAACACGACCCGGCCATGGTATACGACAGCAGCTCTACAGATTTTTCTAGCAACATAGCGGTATCTTCTGCGTCGGAAACCACAATCTCGCAGCGGTACGCGTCCATGAATTATTTTCTAGGCTTAGACCAGGAGCTGTCGAGTCAAAAGTTAGGAATCAACATTGCGGAATTTTTGGACACGGGCTCGAGGGAGATTGAAACCGTGAACAACATGGGGGCGTATTTACTCTATCCGGGAGCGGAACAAGTGAGTGCTGCAACAACCAGCCTGACCTATCATCAAGCGCAACGGCAGTTGCTGGTCGGCGATTTCTTTTCGGTCGGGGGGAACGACACGCTAGGTATGTGTGTGTGTGTCTGTATGTTGTAGTAGTTCTGCTAGTATCTTCGCAAAGTGCAAACGTTCATGTCCTGAACCAAATGCAAAGTCAACCTTGTGTGTGTAGACAGAGATTTCTCCACTTGCGAAAAGAAAATCGATCCAGTACTTACAATTTATCATCAGGCATCACCGAGGCCGGCACCGTGTTCGACGACCCCAGCGGCGCGGCAGTTTCCACCTCCGCCAAGCTTGTGACGCGAAAAACCACCAGGCTCCCGTTTTCGGAAGAGGAAAAAACCCAAGCAGCGGGGTCGTTTATCAAACTCCCGGTGATGATCGGTGTAACGTCTTCCGTGTTTGAAAACACGACGCAGTACGAGCGGGCTGTTGTGGACCCGACGATGATCATGAAGCAATTCGCCGTGGATGTCGCGAACATGAGTGTTTTGTATGAAAGTTTCGGCTTCAACAACTACACCGTGCCAACAACTTCTGCCGCAAACGATTTGTTAGACGAGCCCATTCGGGAGGCTGGGAAAATCGTGCCGACGGTGCTACAGAAGGGAGAGGGACGAGGACCGCCTTCAGGACAACAGATAGACGGAATAGTAGGACCAGGCCCTGGCGTGGGAACAAAATCGATCGAGTTTGTAACATACGGAGACGTTGGTGTTGGAGAAACGGCAGATACAACATCGTTGCAATCGATTGTGGTGAAGGAAACCAGCAGTGCTTCCGACAAGAACACGGCTGAAAAATCAACCTCTGCTGACCCGACTACTCGCAGCGTCGAATTCTTCTCACCCTTCGACAGTGCGAAGTATCAAATGCAAATATGTCTGGGTCTGGAAGGATGCGAACTTGTGATGCGCATTTCACAACACAGACAAATCGCTCATGCATAGGCAGCAAAGGGCGCCCATTTCCTGTCACCAAAATGGGGGATTTGTCATGCGGAATAAGCAATGCCGAAGCTTCTCGAAATCTGTGATGCTAGGGCTTCCATGACAGACATTTTGTGTCATGCAAAAACAGCATGACAAAAATCTGCATTCTTCCAGATCCAGACATTTTTGCAGTTGACACGACGCTGCCCTTGACAATTTGTCAACTCGGCGAGGTCTGCGGTGCGTTTTTGGAATCCGACACCAGTTTGAACGCGCTCATGGCAGCTTCATCGGCAACATCGTCTTCTTCTGCGAAAACAATGCAGAAAACCATCGAAACCACCATCGCAAACGGGCACGAGGTGGCGCGGAATGTGATAAATCTGTTCAATTACAATCTGTCCACTTTCCTCACGAACGACAATTTCACAAGCGTCGACAAAACCTCTCTATCAAATGCAAAAATGTCTGGGCCTGGAAGATTCTGAGACTTGGCATGCTAGTCTGGCATGACTCTGAACTCTGTGTTGCATGGCCGCGAAGAGCTCCTCCTCCCTGTCATGCAAAAGCGCAGTGTTTCATGCGGATTACGCAACTCAGATCCATGAAAAAAACTTGTCATGCTTGGCAGCGCATCATAGTGAGTTCACTATTCCCTTTCTTGCATCACAAGTTTCCAGACCCAGACACTTTTGCTGGTTTTGCAATTCATACTCTCTGCCCGGGTACGAGATTGTGACCAGCACGGCACTGAAAATATGCGATGCGAGGTACGAGCTGGGGTTGAACAGTCTGCTGAATTCCAGCATAGAAATATCAAACAGCAAAAACAACTACAATTACCCGAATTACGACGAGCGATATTTAAATCCCGGGTACTACCACCCGAGAAACTTCGCCGCTCATTCCAACCTGAATCTCACCGTGAATGAGAACTCAACGGAAGAAGAGATCCTCGCTTTCTTGCAATACGAAGCCGACTTGGCGGTGTACGAGCAGTTTCAACAAATAAATCAGCAAAGTCCAAATGATATCAAACTCCCCCCCTACCCACTAGTGGATTCCGATTCCCACCTATCGTACGAAAAAAGTGTTTCACTGTGAGGATTTTGCAGGTTTTGCATCACAAGTTTGTTCTACATGACAGAAAAAATTTGCCATGCAAGGCTCCTAAGGGAAAACACAGCTAAAAGTCCACTGTCTTGCATGTGTAGCAAGACAAACACTTGTGAGATACATTTTCTGCATTACAAGTTTACAGTGAAACAGTTTTTTCTGGCGATACCACCTGAAGCCGATCGGGGTGTTACGGGAACTGTATCTCGCGGACAGCGACGTGACGTACCGAAATTTCGACTCGTATGGTGTTCTCAAACGTTACATTCTCAACTGTTACATGATTTGTCATGCAAAATGATCATCAAGATCTGATCCACACGATCAAGCTGCTTCGCATGACAAATTTGCGAATGGCTAAACAGAACCCAAATCTGTTCGGAATTTGTAATGCTACAGATGCAACCTCCCCCCTTTCACTTTTCCCATTCTTGCATCACAAATCCATGTAACAGCTGAGAATGTAACAGTTGAGAACGCCATAACTCGGAGGAGGAGCGGCAGCGGACTTTGGACATGGAGTCTAGATTACCGAGCAACTATTTCCTGACCAGAGTCGTCGCGAACCGGTTGAATGATGTTTTGAAACTACGGGCGAACTTTGGGATCATTTCACGGGCGGATGTGAACCAATTGTTTTCTCTTTGTTGGATCACGGAAAATACGGTGATGGAGAGTCAGGACGACATGGCTGATAGCGCTGTTGTTGCTGACTTGGTGGATGAGAAGATGAAGCTGATTTCAGCTTCCGCCGCTGCTGGCGGAGGTAGTGCCGCGTTGGATGTGAATTCTACGGGAAACGACACGGACGTAGTAGCAGGAGGAACCTCTTCTTCTAGCGCCGTAGCAGCTGATGCTGACGACTTCGACGATTCGAATTCGACAAACGCGTCTTCCAATGCAACGAACGCAAGCAGTCTGACCGGAAGCAGCAGTTCCAGAACTTCTACAGCGTTGGTCGCAGGAACAGGAGTATTAGACCCCGCTGCCATATCGAAACCCCCACCAAAGATCTTCTACTCGCACCGCACAATCATGGAGATCGGGAAAGTGCGTTTCCAGGGACCAAGGACGGATTTAGGGCCGTATTTCTGCGTTATGGGAAAAGCGTGTTCGATAGAGTTGTCCGGGGCGATGAGCCGGCCGTTTCAATTGCGGATCTACAAAAAGCAACTGGCGGACAAAACTTTGAAGCCCTTGATCCACTGCAGCGCATTGAGCGTGAAGAACTTGGTGTTGCAGCTGGCAATCAAGGAGCTGGTGAGTATGAACGGCGGAGGAGGAACTGGAGCGGGGGGAATTAATGGAACCAATTCATCCGCCAACAGCACCGCATCGCCGGCCTCTACTCTCGCAGTTACGAGCCTATTAGACGATGAAATCGCATCCCCAACGAGAACGAACTCCACAGCCCTATGGCGTTCTCAAACGTTACATTCTCAACTGTTACATGATTTGATGTCATGCAAAATCACAATATAGAACTGATACGATCAAGCTGCTCCGCATGACAAATTCTCGAAGAGCCAAACAGGCTGAGAATCTGTGGCAAATCTGTCATGCTAGACGCGCAAGGTCACCCCTTTGACTTTTGCCATTCTTGCATCACAAATTCATGTAACAGTTGAGAATGTAACAGGTGAGAACGCCATAAGCCCTCGCAGCGAAGGCGGCTCTTCTCACCGGCCCGTTCAGGAATTTCTTCGCCTCGAAAATTACCTACGAAATACCGCGAGAACTCCTATCCAACTACGACCTTTTCGACCCGACGGACTCTTTCGCGTATGAAGTTTGTTTCGGCCCGCATGTTCTCGTTAACGAACTGAAGATCGTCGGTCCGTACCCGTTCAGGAAAGAAACGAATTTGAAGCAATCCGAGATCCAGCCGGTGAACAGTTTGATTACCGCTCTGTCGGCGCGGTTGGGGCTCCGGTACGGCGGACCGACGACGGCGACGGATGGACCGAGTTTGGAGCAGTTAGAGGATAAAAACAAGAACGGGCCGCCGTTGTTGCAGCACTTACTCCCCTACCCAAATCCCGTGCAGGACTACTACCCGGTTAACTCTGGCACGGCAGCTGTACCAGCTGTCACCTCAACAATTGTGAACACTTTTGACGGCGGATTGTCCTCATTAGAACTGGAGAAATCTCAACTTTTAACCCAAAGGCAACTCTTGCAATCCCTGGACCAATACTGGTTCCAACAAACGCAGACGAACATGCCGATAGATTTACAGGAATACGGGAGCAGAAACAGCATCAATGCCTCCTTCTTCGCCAACTCGTCGCGCGCCCTGCCGAATGAGGAAACGCTGCGGAACATCCAGTTGTCGGATCCGAAATTGACCCAGTACAAGCCACAGGTATTTGTTGGTGAGAAGGTTTGTTTGCACCGGGAGGAGTGTATTCAGTACGAGGAATTGAAGAACTGGCTGCTGGGGACGATGTATCGGAAAGTTTGCAGGGTGAAAAACGGGACAGCTGAGGATCTAGGAATGGCGAACAGCACAACAGATGGCTCGAATAGTAGTACCACAGTGGATGAAAATACGAACGCGACCGTAGCGACGACGAATACCACAAACGATTTTGAACAAACAAACTGCACGGTAGAAATTTCTGGGTTTTTCGGTTACAGTGATGGTAACGGTGTTGTACAAAGCGGCAGTACAACCGTGTCTCATCTCGGGCAAAGCAGTTCGGAATTAGGCTTCGTCCGGAACGGGACCTGCACAAATTTTGTCCCACTCGCGACCACACAACTCGCGGAGCAACAATTCGTGATTGAGTGGACTGATAAACCGGGGGAGTTTGGAGAGACGGAAAAACTGTGTTGGCGCAGCGATAGCGAGGCGGCGCCGATCTACGTGGGGGATGTGCTGTTTACGTAAGTAGGTAGAAAGAAGACTTGGACTTGCGGGTAGCCGCAAAGTCACGGTTGTGATAGAAAATATTTCTAGCTGTTTTTTTTTTCGAACGGCGAGCGACACTGCTGTCGCTGCGCTGTATATTGGTTCTTACTTTAACACTACTTATTTTGAAATTATCTTGTCAACTTGCGTTCACTACGATAATCACGCTCATTAATAACAAAAACTGGAGACAAAAGCGTATCAGGAAGCCAGTGCTGCGACGATGCTGCAAACAGATAAAGATGATATACGGATACGAAAACTCACTTTTTGGTTTGAAAAAGAAAATCCTGGGCTCTGATTTGTACAAAATTTGATTGGAGATGGAGGATTACTAGTTCTACTTGCTTTCATACTGTATTGCTATGCTATCTTTGGTAGTTTCTTTTGCTTGGACTCATTTTGGAAAGGCGCCGGGTTTCTACGCTTCGCCCGTGTCTACATGCCAATGGCCTTCTGCTGCAACCTGTGAGTGCTCATTGGTATTGGTTTCGTTATCTGTCAAACCTTAAAGTAAAAATACTTGTCCAATATCTTGCTCATCTTCATTTCTTCTCGTTGTATCCTAAGAGTGAAATAGAAAGACCTCAAGTTTCATCTTTTGCCTTCTCTGTGGGAAAAGTCGACAAAGAAAAATTGTCTAAAGTGATGTCTCGGCAAGGTTTGTCCAATCATAATTTCACCCTGCTGGACCGGGGAAAATTGCGTGTTCCAGGTAGTGCGAAGTGGCCTGGACTCTCTGAGGGCGGGCGGTCTGTTACGAGGAGCCTTAGTTTGAGCTCTTCAAAAGGGAGAGCAGAAATCTGACAACTGGCGCCGAACCTGGACGCCTCGAGTTGCTTCCAGAGCTGCCCCCGAGCGAAGGAGAACAATAAGTTTATTGATGTGCTTGACACAGTTGAGGAATGCAAACGAATAGCCAACGTAGGCAGGAGGCAGGCGCGGGCCCCCCGGTTCTCGATGTGCCGGCGTAGAGTGTGCGGCGGGGGGCGTGACCGTTTAGGGCCGGGGAGGCCCTCTATCGTGTCTCGGTGGAGCTGGTGAAGCGGAAAAGCACCGGAGAAGAACTCCGCGTGGAGAGCGGAGCCGGTACGGAGCGCGGTCGGGCCTCCCCGTGAGCTCGCCCCAGGGCCGGCGCTCCTTGTGAGGGAGGCTGCCGCCGGGCCGCTTGGAAGGAGCGGCCCTGCCGCCTCGCCGCCTCGCGGGGGGCCGGGGACGGAGGCCCCCAGGGTCTACCCGGATGCATGTAGTTTGGCCGCAGCGGTCCAGGACTGCCCAGGGGCCGGGGGCGAATCTTGGGCGCCGGGCCTGGGCGGCCGCGCGCACCTTCGCCCGCCGGACCTGGACAAGGACAAGAACTCCCGGGATATGGAGCGGCCCGCGTTCGTCTGGCTTCGAGGATCAATCCAGGGATGCGTCGTTCGCTACAACAAGCATAGGAACGAACGCCGGAGCGCTATGGCGATCGATCCGGTAGCACAAGGCGCGCGGCGCGGGGAAAAAATAGAAAGGCCGGGCCCCCCGGGGGCCGGTCGGTTTGGCCTTTTTTGTTTGCTTGGGGGAGGAGAAAGGCCAGCAAGGCGCTTTTTTTTTTGAATGGCCGGCCCGCCCCTGACCAAATGGGCCCGGCCTCGGGCCCGGCCACCGACCTATGGGCCCCCCCTCGAAGCGTGCGCCGGGCCCGGCCTTGGCTAGCTATTCATTCGGTCGGACGGCGGCGCCCCGGTCCTTGGCGCGCGGGCCCTAGGCCCCACTGTGGCCGGTTGCGTTGGCGCGGCCGGCCTGCCTGTGTTCGTTGGATGGCGACGATTCCGGCACGCCCCGGTGAGGCCGCACCGGCCCGCGGTGGGTCACCCATTGCACCACTTATGAGGCTGCTCTGCAACGCCGTGGATGGTGTGTCGTTGGTTTTTCTGTAGATCTATTTGATGCAAATTGCGAGGGCTTAGTAGGTTGGTAGAGAGTGTTGCCCTTCAGTGATCTGTTTGTCTTTTGTTCAAAGGAAAAGGGGCAAGAGCGTATTTGAGAGCGCTCCGCCTCTCCCGCTCCTATTAATCAATGGTCTTGCAAGTCCGGGGAAAAACTTATTTAATAACAAGGGCTGCGTCATCAAGTTTAACGTCTATTTGTGTATTGGAACCCGGTGCGAAGTCCGAATCTCAGAAACGAAAATGCGTTTGACCTCCTCGAGAACTCGAACTCGCGCCGCCCTCCTCGCGGCGCTCGGGCCGCTGTCCTCCTGCTTCACGAATTTTCCCTCTCTACTTCTCGTCACCGCCAAAGCAGAGGACGAAAACACCGCGATATGGGAGTTGAAGGTCAACCACTTGGTGGACCAAGCCGTGGATGATAAACAGCCGAAGACGATCAAGATCAAGCTGCACAAGGAGTGGTCCCCGGCCGGGTTCCAGCGCCTCATCGACATGACCACCGCGGACTACTTCAAGGACCTACGATTTTTCCGGACCATCCGCGGCTTCATGACCCAGTTTGGGATCTCCGGCGACCCGGCGGTCAGCGCGGAGTGGCAGGCCAAGCCGGCGTTACCCATCGAAGACGTGAAAAAATCGAACCAGCGGGGCTATCTGACCTTCGCCATGGACGGCCGGAAACACCGGACCACGCAGCTGTTCATCAATTTGGTCGACAACACGTTTCTCGACTCCCAGGGATTTGCCCCGGTGGGCGAAGTCATCGAGGGCATGGAGCACGTGGACAAATTGTATTCGGAATACGGGGAGGGCGCACCAAGCGGCGACGGTCCCCGACAGGATCTGGTCCAGACGCAGGGAAACGTATTTTGTTTTCGTACACATGATGTTATTTTTCTATAATACGATTTGATGTTTTGGTTTTCGTAGTGTGGATGCTTTTGTTCGATCATGCTAATGCTATGATGCATTACGTGCTGCATGACAGATAGAACAGTTTTTGAATGAATTTTGATTTTCACAACAGAGATACCTGGACGACAAGTTTCCCTTACTGTCTCACTTGGAAAGCGCGTCCATCCAGCTGGGCAGCGGCACTATCACAGGTGACAAAAACTCCCAAGATGTGCTTATGATCAAGGGCACCAGCACCACAGCTCTGCATTTTGTATGACAAGTTCTAGCGCCTCCCTGCGAATTAAAGTTTGGAAATTTATGCAGGAGTAGATTTCTTTTTCCAGTCGGTCCTACATACTGGGTGCTCGTGGGGCCATGCAAATACTTAACTAGCGGTGACTGGGAGCCGTTGTCAGACTTGATAGCCTCTGTTAGTGCGGCTCCGGTTATCACACAGAAAAAAGCAGGCAGGTCACATTTGTAATGCAAAACTAAATACACAAAAAAAAATCTGCATTGCGTATCCTAATCAGCATGCTATGGGCCCGCCCATGACAAATTTTTCTGTGTATTTATTTTTGCATTACAAATGTACCCTGCCAGCTTTTTTCTCTGGGATACCAGTGCCAAAAGCGAGCCCCCCCAGTTTTATCCAGGAAATTTACATGCCACTTGACCATATGGACGATACGCAAATGAAAAAGATAGTACACAAATCTCTCCGGCGCACTTGCTGCGCCATGGCATGACAAAAATTCGCGGCTACATCAAAAATGTTCGTGATCTTTAATCTCCTAGTCAAAACACAGTTGTAGCCACATCGGGACGAGGTTTTCGCCTGGATAAGCCTGCAGCCTGCGATGGAAAGTGGCAACATTGCCCCGGCGGACGCGAAAAAAGAACAAACGTCCACTAGCAACTCCTGGATCCCGTCCCTGTGGTCGCTGCTCGCGCTCTATTGTGAGGAAAAATCTCCCCTTCCCATATCGACAAGGAAACTTGTGATGCTGATTTGTGGTCACAAATTCAGCTTTGTCATGCTAGAAGGGAAAAGATGCGGACTGAAGTTCTGGGTGGCGTAGGAAAGCCTTGCGTCTACTTCAGCAGCACAGGAGGCAGCTGGAGGTGGGACACGGCATCACAGATTGCCTGCAAACGAGGCCACAGCTGCGGCTCTTGGCCTTCTAGCAATATAAATCGATTTGTGTACTCAAATACAGCATCACAGGTTTCGTATACGATATGGGGACGGGGGATGTTTCCTTTCAATACGCTCTGCTTCGTCGCCGGGCTTCTGTTCATTTTCCGCAAGCGGCTCTTCGGCGACGCAAACAACCGCAGCAGCTACGCCAAATCGGGCGTGGGCTATTCCCCGAGCACGGGCGCCGCAAGAACGAACTCGGCCCGGGAGAGGGACTTTGCGCTGTGATGAAAAACTAGTGAAATGCTGATGAGAAGTTTTTGGATAGACAGAAGTACACCACCTCCGGACGAGATTAAGGCTAGAAGCTGGTTTAGTGTCCTCACTTTTTTCACAAAAAGAAAGAAAGCATGGCAGCATCATGATGAATGTGTCGTGCTAGCTTCTTGTAAAGTAGCAACGCCTTCCACCACCAAACTTTTTTGAAGAATCCACACCGGCCAATGTGATACATAGGACAGTGACTCGCGAGAAGTAGAAGAACCGAAGGTGTACTTCACGCGCACTACAACTGCTAGGTGTGTTTGTTTGAAACTTGTGATAGTGCATCTGCCGCAACTTGCACAGTCTGGCTGCTAGAAAGCCACCATTTAAATTCTCACAACCTCAATACTTTTTCAGGTAATGGGCAGCCGTGGCTTGGGCACGAGAACGAGACTCGAAAAAGGGAGGTTAGGAAAAATGAATTGCCGCCTTTTTCCCAACCACCCTTTTCAAAATGAAAAGGGCGGCGAGGAAAAAAAAATGTGCCGCTTTTCCAGGCTGAACCTGGGAAAGCGGCCGGATTTTTTTTCCTACCCGCCTTTTTCATTTTGAAAAGGGCGGTTAGCAAAAGTGCGCGAATTCATTTTTCCTAACCTCCCTTTTTGAAATGCAAACAGAGGTTAGCCCATTGAAATTTTTCCTGACCGCCCTTTTCAAAATGAAAACCTTGGTTAGGAAAAGTGCGCGAATTCATTTTTCCTAACCTCCCTTTTTGAAATGCAAACAGAGGTTAGCCCATTGAAATTTTTCCTGACCGCCCTTTTCAAAATGAAAACCTTGGTTAGGAAAAGTGCGCGAATTCATTTTTCCTAACCTCCCTTTTTGAAATGCAAACAGAGGTTAGCCCATTGAAATTTTTCCTGACCGCCCTTTTCAAAATGAAAACCTTGGTTAGGAAAAGTGCGCGAATTCATTTTTCCTAACCTAGGTTTTTGAAATGCAAACCTAGGTTAGCCCACTGAAATTTTTGGGCAGAAGCTAACTCCCCTTTTTGAAATGCAAAGGAAGGTTAGCTACCCGAAAGTTTTGCCCAGGGACCGGGCTAGCCTCTCTTTTTGAAATGCAAAGGGAGGTTAGCCCCTCGAAAACTTTGCCCAGGGACCGGGCTAGCCTCCCTTTTTGAAATGCAAAGGGAGGTTAGCTACTCGAAAACTTTGCCCAGGGACCGGGCTAGCCTCCCTTTTTGAAATGCAAAGGGAGGTTAGCCACCCGAAATTTTTGTCCCAGGACCGGGCTAGATTTCCTGTACAAAATCAATGCAAAGGGCGGTTAGCCCCTCGGAATTTTTGCGAAAGAACCGCGCTAGCTCCCTTTTTAGAAACGCAGAGGTCAGATAGCCCCCCGATGCTTCTGTGTCGCCGGCATTGGGGTTAGCATGCAAGGGTCTTTACAGTGCAGGCAGAGGCTAGTCTGCCTGGCAAATTCTTTGTGCTCCGCGCGGCATGGTTTCGGTTCGATTAGTGCTTAGCCCATACGACGTCACGCGCGTCAGGCTCTGTCGTCAAGCGTCCGGGCGTCAAATGTTGTCTCGTGACCTCTGACCTTATTTGAGGGCCGCTTATTACGCGACGTAGAGTACTTCACGCGCACTACAACTGCTAGGTGTGTTTGTGTAGCAGGATTGGAGATGGATTTAGGACTGGGTAACTAGACTGAGGTGCCGCCCATGCTGTTTGGTCTGATGGATGTTTACGCGCGCAAGCGGTCTCGACGAATTGGTTGGACATACTGTGTGGCTCAGCCGCACTCGTTGTCGTGTCGGTTTCGACCCTCACGCGGCGACAGCTGCCTGTCTGGCAACCTGTCACCGCCTCTTCGTGGCCTTCGCCACCGGTCGTTTGTGCTCGACCCTGCTTCCTTTCGCTGTGCGACTGGGGGTGGGTCTCGGGTACAAAACGACCGTCCCACCTCGGGGGAGAGGTCAACTTCTCTTGTCCTGGATGACAAAGTTACCACCTCTTGGTACACCATCGGTTCATCCGCGATGAACCTGTGCCCATCGGCACTGTGGCTGCGTCTTCGCGCCACGCTGCACCTCACGCAGCGCTGCACCTCACGCAGCACCGTCGCGTTGTTGCGACCATGTGTCCCTCACGACACGCGATTGTGGTGCGCGAGCACCCCTTCGCACCCAGTGCTGCCTCTGCAGCACGCGTTCTTACGCTGCCAGCTCCCCCAAGGGGGACCGAGCAGCGTGCGGTTGGACACCGCAAGGCGTGTGTGTTATGCTCCACCGGTGCGCAGGCAAGATGACCTGCGCACGCGTCGGTGTCGGCACTCACACTTCATGCCTAGGGGGCGCTGCTCTGGCAGCCGCCGCGCCCCCGCCGCCTCGCACCTCCCCGTCTGGTCCAGATCGGGTTGTGTGAGTGCATAGGCCCGTGCGTCGTGCGACCTCGTAGGTGAAGGTCGGGCGCTACGGGCCTCCCGCCCGCACATCCACGTGCGGCGCGGGTGGCGTCGTGGATCCAGCGCACCGCTCGTGCGCCTGTGATCCTGACGTCCTCCCGGGGGGTGCGCGTAGCGCTCCCCGTCCTTCTCTCGTGCCTTCCGTGGTACCGGCGTGCTCCTCCACCACGGTGTGGTGTGGCACGCCCTCCCCCCCTCCTCCCTCTGCACCGCACGTGCGGGCCGCGACTGCAACGACCTGTTGCACCCGCATGTCCAGGTGTACTTCACGCGCACTACAACTGCTAGGTGTGTTTGTGTAGCAGGATTGGAGATGGATTTACACCAGATTCACCTGCGTGCGCAGTGTCTGTTCCAGCGATGATGCCTCAGAGAACACACTGTGATTACCTACTCCTGTTGTGCCACACGTGATTCTCATTCTACTTCCAGCTGATCATGATCCGTGAAGCACTGAAAATAAATAGATCACGTGATATTCAGAACTACAAGCAACAGCAAATCATGCTAAATATGAAAGATCCGAATCGCAATCGCAAATAGAAGTAGTCACTTGCAAGTTAGTCACATCAGTTGTGGAATTCTAGGCCCGAGGATTGAGGTTTCAAAATCCGAGCAGGAGTCATCCGGCCACTAAGAACATCAAAATGAAGACGAGCCCGCGGCGTCCTGCTTCCATGCGCGCCGTTGCTCTTCTTGCCTCCAGCACCATATTGTTTCCAGCAGTCGCCTCTGCGTATCAGTTCAACAGGAAACTGCAGGTCAGCACGAAAATAAAAGCAGTACAACAGGGGACTGATGCTGATACCACTTCTGCTGGTCCACAGCAAACTACTACTATCCTGTGCAAAAGTATCGTACTCGTATTGCAGTCATGCATTACAAATCTTCTCCTTAATCTAAATCAGCATTACAAATTTTATTTCTCATGCTGAGGAAATTTGTATTTATAGTTATACGAGTGCGATACTTTTGCAATCCATAACTACCCCACCATTGCAGCAGCCGTACGAGAACCTGGAGAAAAAGAACCTGATAGTTCCGGATCCGGAAAGATTAAACGCCCTCTCCCAGTCCTCCTCCCCGTCCACTTTCGAACATACCCCGTTTCCCGCCTTGTTCGCCGTCGACACAACCACGAGTCGTGGGAGCAACTGCAGAGGCCAGCAAGATCATGTGGACGCAAAAATACTCGTCCCGGGTGCCTTATGCGGAGCGGTCGGTTTGGAAAATGTAGTGGGCCAGCATATCATTAAAAATTCGGAAACCCGATCACCCCCCGGCGAGTTGAATGACGGCGGGCTTTCCGAAATTGACATCGACTTGAGCGACGAGGAGCCGCAATTACCCGTCGGCCGGTCGGCAACGCTGCACCATGGAGCTTCTTCAGCAGAAGTAGGGGAAATAGATCCGTTGTCCGTGCGCCGCGTCAGCTCCCTGCCGATCATGGCGCGGCAGACAAGCAGTGCCGCGGGGTATGATGCAGACGAAACCGCGGACGCATTGGCGAGCTTCGCACTCGAGATACTGGAGGGGGATAAGGGCAAGAAATCCACCACCTCCGCGGGAAATGCAAACGGAGCGGCTTCTGATGAGCCAGGAGCTGCTAGCGCAAGCGAGAACAATGACGCGGAAATGAACACGGAGCAAGCAGATGCTCCGCCCAGGCGCTGCTCCTGTTTGTTCTCCAAGGCGGACTCCTGGTGGAAGGCGTGCTTCCGCTCGAAGTGAGGACATTTTGAGAATCTATGAAGTTTGATCATGGGCAACCTAATGAGTTTAGTTAGGAGAACCTGTTCAATTTCAGCCCTATCATACATTGTTTCCTGCCCGATACGACCAATCAATGCACATCGAGTTTGTTGTTGTAAGTAGAGAAAAACTTAAACTTCCTTTTTGATAGGATACACATTCCCGCCACATTCTGCGAAACGTTTCCAACTTTGAATTTATTGAAGTCATCAACAGAGACTAAAGCGGCAGAAGCTCCGACCGCACGGCAGAACAACAGCCACACCGAGACGATTTTTCGCCATGATGTGGGTTTTTTTCAAAGCCCAGCTTTTTTTCAAAACCCGGGCCGAGAGGGATTGATGAGCAGGAAGAGGAATAAGGAAGTTCGAGTTCCACGTGCTGTGGAGTGGTGCTGTTGCAGCACCCGCCGCCTAGCAAGAGAGACGAGAGACACTGGCGCAGGTAGGTTTTTTTTTTTCTAAATGCGATCTCGCACGTGCTTCTGAGTCACCGCAGTACTAGAGATCATGCGCGGATCCTGTTCCGACGTTTGATTGCTACCTACAAGAAGCATCGGCTTCATCCCCATGGTATCCTCCTCTTCTTCTTCCTCCACCCCGCCCGCCGGCGGGTCCGCCGGTTCTTCCGCCGAGCCACCCGAAAACCCGCTCGCCCCCGGCACGGAGTTCGGCGACATCCTGCAGCACGCGTGCAAGATTATGCATTGCAAAAATGTCTGGGCCTGGAAGGTTGGAACATGTGATGCTAAACCTGAATCACGCAAAAATCTGTGTTGCATGATTTTGATTACCAAACGCTGTCCACTCTTGATCAAGTTGAGAGTGAGCTTCTCATGCAGGATAGGCATGATAGTGATCTCACGGAATCTGTCGTGCTAGGTCCTCCATTACAGATCGTATGGGTCATGGAAAACCTGCATGACACGTCGCGCAAAGTCCCAGACGCAGACACTTTTGCATTTGATAAAGATCAAGGGCGAGCAAATGACGGAGAAGCGGAAACGCTTCGAATCGCTCCCGCTCTACCTGTATCAAATGCAAAAATGTCTGGGTCTGGAAGATTGCGAGATTTGTCATGCTTGTCTGGCATGACCAAAAAGTTTGTGATGCGTGTCCAAGAAGAGCAAGAGACCCTTTTGCCTGTCATGCAACAACGCAGTTTGTCACGCGAAAAACGCAACACAAAGAAGCGCAGATATTTCTCATGCTTGCCTGTGCATTACAGGGCGTTCACTATTCCCAACGCAGCATTACAAGTTTCCAGACCCAGACATTTTTACAGTTGGTAACCTGCAGCACACGCTATTTTTCGGGGAACGGAAGGAGATGCGGGAAATGCGTATTACAATGAAAAACGCACCCACCCCCGAACTTGGGAGCATTTGTATTGCAAACCTTTCCAAGTGAAACATTCGCCGTCTTGCATCTATCAGCATCACAGGTTTCCAATGGTGAATAGCAAAAATTTGTATTGCCAAAGACCCCAGCAAGAGCGGCGCTTGTCATGCAAGCGATGCGATGCACGCCTAGACTCTGCATCAGAAAGATTCATACTCCTTTCATGCATGACAAAAAGTTTTCATTTGGAAACTTCGCATCACAGATTTTTGCTTTTGCAACTTCAGGGGTGGGGGGCACTTTTCACTGTAATAATGCGGTTGCTGTCTTTCCAAGACCGGATGAAGGAAGCGATGGCGATGAAGCAGAAGGGGAACGAGTTGTTTTCGCAAAACAACTGTGCCGACGCAGTGCATGAGTACGAAAAAGCCGCGGGCTTGTTTGCGTGGGTGGAGAGCAGAGATCCGGCGTGGAAAAACAGCCAAAGAGGCATTGACGACGATGTTTTGGTCGTGGTGATCGCGGGGGAAGAGGAAGAGGAGAAATTGAATTCGGGGAAAGCGAGTAGCAGCAGACGCGAAGTTTTCCTCCGGTCGGACGAGTACTTCGAGTTGGTTTCGACGTCGTGTAAGAATCGAAACGAAGAAGGTAATATTTTTGCTGTTTCGCATGACAAACTCCAGCCGACGTCAAGGTCTATGTTCCACACCGGCGCGAATGCGGACAGTGGCCGGGTGAGTGGTGGTAGTCTCGGTGTGAAGCGCAGTGTTGGCGGAGCATCTTCGTCAACTGCTAATCAAAACAACCTCGGCCCACGGGAAACGAGCGGAGGAAGTAGCAGCAGTAGCAGTGCATGCCCTTCTTCTTCGGTTCTAAACTCGGCGACATCCTCTTCGCAGGGCAGCCCGACTACTACTACCGCATCGGAGTTCCGCGAAACCTGCGCTCTCAACATCGCCGCCTGCTATTTGAAATCCGGGCAGTACTACGACTGCAGGCTGGTCTGCACCGCGATTTTGCAGCAGATGAACCCGAGTTGCGTGAAAGCGCTGTACCGGCGGGCGCAGTGCCACGTGGCCAGTCCGGGGTCAGGCAGTGTGGAGATCGACTGTGCAATCGCAGATTTGGGGCGGGCGCTAGAATTACAGCCGGGGTCGAAAGAAGTATGTATTTGTTTTTGACAATGTGAATGTCACGTTGTTTCTGTCACGCGTTCTTTGCATGTCAGCACCCCTAGAACGGCTTTTACATATGCAACCTGAGCATGACAAACTCACATCAAATCCTCAGATCCGTGCCCTGTACCAGCGTTGCCGTGAGGAGAAGAAAGAAATGGACCGGAAGAGCAAGCAAACCTTCAAAGGAAAACTCTTTTCCGCCTCTGCAGCAGACTCGTACGCGGTGAACCGCAATGAAAATAGTACATCTTCGTCCACCAACTTCGACCCGTTACTGCAGAAAGCGCGCGACCGTGCGTTTCAGCAGCAAACAGGAGCAGGCGGGAACAAGGGGGATCCTATGACGCAGAAGATCCACGACGCCATGCTTCTTCGGGATTTGTACCAGCGAAACGGGAAGTTTGAGGAGGCGAGAAAACTGGACCAGGAGATTGAACAGGCGAAGCGGGCGATGAAACAGGCAATTGATTACGCGAACCCGACCCAGGAGATGATCGAAGAAGCCAAGCAGTACGGGCTAGATCTGCTCGATCCGGTTGTGCAACGGGAGTTACTCGCGGTGCAGGAACGAAGCAGACGGGGAGAGGAGATTCTAGATGAAGAAGACTCCGATACTGTTGGTGGTCAAAGTAAGAATCTCTCTGGTGGAATGGGAGCAAATGCAAGTACTAACCCGGATTCCAACTGGTGGCGGTACTTCATTTTCTTCCTTATCCTCGGCTTCGGCTGGCGGTTTTACGCAACGGGGATCTACTCGAAGGTGTTTGAGTTGCTCTTTTATGGCAAAGTGGACTTCTTTGGGGAAGACGGTGGGAATTACAGGGCAAATAATTTTCCTGGATCTACTTCGGGTGGACCGCCGCCGCGCCATGGCCATGACGCGTGGGTAGAGGATGATTTGTAGAGACAATTGATTCTGTGGGTGCGACGCTTGCGAGCGTGCTGATGAGTTCTTTGACATCGCCGGCCACTTTGGCTGTGCCAAGAATTGAAAGTGAATGAAATGAAATTGGTCTTCGTCTTGGTGCTCTTTGGTTTGATTTTGCACCCGAACCTACCTGTACCTCTTTGAGCAAGCATGTGGCCGCAGTGGCATGTGGACGCGAAGTTTTCACTTCCGGAGGAGTTCCGTCGTAATATCATTTGACTGAGTCTAAGTGATGTTCCCTGTGTGGTACAAATTCAAGTGGATCCGAATGATCGCGCAGTGACGAACCTGTTGTGGCCGATCGTACAAAAATTGCGCGACATTATCGTGGACGGACCATAACGAAAATAGCAGTGGCGGCAGTGGCTGCCTTGACATCGCGCGGGGTTCGGGCTCCACGAACTCGGGCCCCCGGGGGCCGCTTCGTTGGGGCTGTGGACCCTGCAGCAGGAGCGGGGACGTCGCTCCGAGGTCGCCCCTGCCATCGTTCGGGCAACGATCTTGCCGCAGATTGAGGGCGCCAGGTGGTACGGGAACGGCCGGCCCGGGATCGGGTGGCCAGTTTTTCGCCGCAAAGGCGGCGCCGCCACCCCGCTTGCCGCCCGCCGTACTCCTGTGCCCCGGCGGGCCACCGATTCCGCGAGTAGCTACGCAGCGCGGGCAAGGCGGCGCAGCGGCGTTGGGCGCGCGCCCACGCACCTGCCGGCGGCCCGCGTTTGGATGGGCACGGAAGGAGGTTGCAGCGGGTATCGGCTTGGGTGATAAAACGCCGGGCGCGCCCCGATTTGGCTTCCTTGGGTGACCGCCTTCGCAAGCAGAATGTGCGTGGCGCGAAGGTGTGCACGATTCTGGCGCGCAAAGTATAGAGCCGCCGCCCCGCCCGGTGTCGGTGGCCCGCATCCTTGACGTAGTTGTGCCGCCTGATCGGCGAGGCCATGAAGATCGGGGAAAAACTGCTCGCCACCAAGGTGGGCGGGCGTGCCGTGGGCCGCGGGCGGGCGGGTTCTTGGTGAACCCGGGGGGGGGGGCGCTCGGAAGGTATCAGCGCCGCCCGGCCGCCCTGCGGGCGTTTTGGTTTGGCCTGAGGCCTGTGCCTTGGTTGCTTGCGCGTGCCCGCCCCTTTTTGGGGCGCGCCCGCGCGTCGGGCGGGGTGGCTTTGGGTGGGGTTGGGTGCGCCAGCGGAAGAACTGCGCGTCGTGAAAGAGCGAGCCCGCGGGGCGGAGGGGGTCGGTGAAGGCGCCCGGCCGCGAAGCGACGAATCAACTAACAGCACCAATGGGGGCCCGGCCGTGTCGGTTTGTTTTGCCAGCTTGCCAGGGCGGGGGGGCGCGGCCGTCTGGCCGCGTGGTGGCTTGGTTGGTCCGCGCGCCCCCTTTCGTTCTGCCGCTGCCCCGCCTGCGCCCGCGCCACGGCGGGCGGAAGGGCTAGGCTTTTGGGGTGTGGCGCTTGTCCCCTTCGGCGGAGGGGGCAGCCGCGTGTTTTGCCAGCCTGCCGGCCCCGCGCAAGGGAGGGCTACTATGGTGCCCTTCGCCGATCCGCCCCGCCCCGCCCCCCCCCCTCCGCCCAGGAACCGGGTGCGTGCGCCTTTTTGTCGCCCCTGCCTGCGCAGTTTGTTGGGCGTATCGGCAGCCTCCGGTGGTGTGCCGTTCCCGCGCGCTGCCGCCGGGGGGCAGTGCCGCCCTAATGGAGAGGGTCTCACGCCGCAGTGTGCAGCGTTAGTTCCTTTCTTGGTGCTTATTTGTTGGGACGCTTTACTATGTTCGTCGGCAATTTTGTCCGCCCCAGAAAAATCTTCTCCCAAGCTGGCTCAGCTGGCGACTGAGGGTTAATGCCTGTGATTTTTTCCGTCCGTAGAATCTTTTGAAGAAGGCAAGCTGTTCTACGATCGAAAGCTTTCGCTTGTGACTTGGCTTTGCAATGGTTGCCTCGTAAGCAATCCGCTCACTTCATCAAGTACTTCTAAAAGATTAGGCTGTTTATCAAAGCGAGTTTCAAAAACCATTTTCCAACAACCCCCGACACCATGCCCCGCGAAGTGATAACCGTTCAGGTTGGCCAATGCGGCAACCAAATCGGGTGCCGGTTTTGGGACCTGGCGCTGCAGGAACACCTGGACCACATATTTCAACAGCAGCAACACGGGCCATCAAGCTCGCTAACCAACAAGCACACCCCCGCCGGACCAAGTAACCCCTCCCACCCACAGTACCACTTTGACGACGCCCTGTCCTCTTTCTTCCGCAACATCGACCGACGGAACGACCGGGACATCGACCCGAAAGTCACGACTGAGATCAAAACGCTGAAGGCGCGAGCGGTCCTCGTCGACATGGAGGACGGTGTGGTGAATTCGCTTCTGAAAGGCCCCCTCGGCGACATTTTCGACCGCAAGCAGATTGTCACCGACGTCTCCGGCAGTGGAAACAACTGGGCCCACGGGTATTATCACTATGGGAAGCAAATGTATCACAACAAGATCGAAAAGGCGGTGCGGAACGCGGTGGAGAAGTGCGACAGCCTGCAGTGCTTTCTCTTACTCCAATCCGTCGGTGGCGGCACGGGATCCGGGGTCGGGACGTACACCCTGGAGAACATTCTGGCGGATAACTACCCCGAGTACTACCGATTCGTGTCCTGCGTTACGCCCTCGCTGCAAACGGATGACGTGATCACGAGTCCGTACAACAGTCTGCTATCAAAAGTAAAAATGTCTGGGTCTGAAAACTTGTGATGCTGGGTGGCGTCTCATGATGAGGCTACAGATGCTGGCTCAGCATGACAAGTTCATGAGCTCTTAGGTGTTGCCTATTCTGCATGACAAACTGCGCTTCTGCATCACAGAAAAGCGGAGCTCTTGGGTAACGTGCGTGACAGATTTAAGAGTCATGCCAGACAGGCATGACAAACATGAATTCTTCGAGACCCAGACATTTTTACAGTTGATATCTGCTGGCACTGAACAAAATGATCGACAACGCGCACTGCGTGTTACCCGTGAATAACGACAGTTTGATCCATCTCGTCGACCGAATCAACTCCGCGTGTAAGAGCAAGACTGGAGCTGGATCATCATCAACATCTGTTGAACAATCTTCCGCCGCATCTTCGAACACCGCGGCGACTTTGCTTTCCGCCTCTGGCAACTCAGCGTTTTGTTCCAACGCGGTTCTTACCGCTAGAACCGCACCAGGTTCATCTTCTGTGCTAAGTACAAGAACGCCGGTCAGTGACTTCGACCAGACAGTTCTTGGTCGAGGACCACATCAAGGAACTGGATCTGTTGCTCCTCAAACTACGAAGCCCTCTGGCCCCCCCTTCGGGGACATGAACCTCTTGGTTGCGCAGATGCTGAACCACTTGACGGCCTCGATGCGGTACAGCGGATCGTTAAACCTGGATTTGAACGAAATCACGACGAACCTCGTCCCCTACCCGAAAATGCACTTTTTGAATTCCTCTTTATCCCCTCTGACAGTCTCCAAGGACCGGAAGTTGCTGCCTCGCTCCTTCTATCAACTGCAAATATGTCTGGGTATGAAAGCGTGGGGGCTTGTCATGCACATTTTGCATGAACCGTGAGATCTGTGATGCTGGTGCTACCATCACATATTTTTTGAGAGCTTCTTGATCTTGATGCTAATTACGCAATGAGAAATGCCCTCTCCGCGTGCCAAGAGCTCACTCCTCTTGCTGCTCGTGCAACACAGATATTTTTAGAGTCCGCAGACAGCAATACAAGTTCAACTCTTCCAGACCCAGACACATTTGGATTCGATGCCGTCGACCAAATGTTCGCGGACGTGGCGCTGACGGCGGACCATTCCCTCTTATGGATTGCAAAAATGTCTGGGTCTGGAAACTTGTAATGCTAAAAGCGAATGGGAGACGCACTGCAATACGCAGCTATGCATGACAAATCTTTTGGCTCCCATGTCTTACGTATTCCGCATGGCAAACTGCGTTTTTGCATGACAGGTAAGAGGGCCTTTTCGTGCCTATGCGCCACAGATTCTCGAGTCGTGCCAGACAAGCATGACAAACTTGCATTCTTCCAGACCCACACATTTTTACATTTGATGCCTCTGCTGGAATTACAACAGCCAAAACACGGTGGTGGAGCACCACAACAGCAGTCTAGGGTTCGTACCATCAGCGGATCATGTAGTCGGAGGTTGTTCTTTCGCGAGTGGAGGGGTCGTGGACCCTGGTGCTTTTCAGTACGTGAACCCGAAGAGCCACGTCACGCTTGCACAGGCGTTTCTCGTCCGCAGCTCGGACTGCGGCATTCAGGACGTGACCAGGAACGTGACGAGAGTGAAGCAAAAGCTGAAGTTCCTCCCTTTTAACGAAGACGCGATCAAGATCGGACTCTGCAGCAACGTGCCGACCACGAACTCGACGCACTACAATGCGAGTAGCGCGGCGGCGTCCGGGGGGGCGGCGGCGTTCACCACCACCGCCTCGGCGTACAAGCACAGTTGCCTCGGACTGGCCAACAACTGCGGCATCGTCCCCGGGCTGCTGCAGTCGATTGTGCGGAAGTTTGAGCGCCTGTACAAGCGGCGCGCCCACGTGCACCACTACACGGATTTCATGGATTCGGAGGACCCCTTGCTGGAATTTGACGCCGCGCTGGAGAACGTCCGCTCCGTCATGGGGGACTACCTCCACGTGGACAAAAACGCGAGCCCGCCACTGAGCTGCTTCGGCGGGGGGCGTAGGGGTAGGAGAGCTGGCCGGGGCGGAGGTGCAGCTGGGGGAGGCCGTGGTACGAAGGATTTTAGAATGCAGCGGAAAATGAAACTGTACGATAGAAGTGGCACTACAACGGAGGAGGAAATGCAGGGGACGAGGAGCGATGGCCGGATGGAGGTTGAGCAAGGAGGTGATAATTGTGACTATGAAAATCTAGATTTTCGCTGCAAAGTGTGGCCTTCGGTATTGTTTCAACCGTCGAGATACACAATGAGTCGCGCATTGCAGTGGCTACCAAAACCTGCTGTCTGATCCATGTTTGGTAGTTGCACAAGCTTTATGTCCTTGTGAGACAGAAATAAAATGATCATGACGAAAATAGAAATGAATTTTACGAACAGTTTCCTGTTCCAGTTCCAAGCGTGCTCTGCGCAAAAAAAAAACCTTTGCCAAGGTAACAAAGTGCGTCGTTTCATCTTGCGACCGGAGCGCTGTTCCACTTGTGTTCCAAATCTGGCGAGGCTGTTTCGGCTGCTGTTTGTGTGTATGAGGAAGCTGGTTGACCACTAACGCTGAGCAACTGGAGACGCGGGGCGGCCACACAGATACGGCGCACAAGTGCGGGGCGCTCTTTGGTAGAATTGCCGCGCCTGATATTTGTCGGGGTGAGCGTTCGCCGCCGGGGGCGGGGCTGCAGTTGGAACGTTGCGGCCCCCTGCGGATGGGCGCCCCTTGGGGCGCTTTGGGGGGGTCGAGGAGGTGGGGCCCGCCCGGCGGGCCCGTCTTGCGTATCCGCCGGGGGCCTTCGCGCCGGCGGGCCTTAGGAAGGAAACGGGGGGCCCGGGCCACCACTCGCCAAGGCACGCAGGTGACGGGGGACCGGCCGACGCCAGCGGCTTCCATCCATCGCAACCGCGCCGGAGGGTGAACGAAGGCAGGGGGCGGCGCCCCCCCGCTTTCCTTCGTTCCCTTTGCCCGCCCGCTTTGTTTCTATCGGCGCGCCCCGGCGGCGGGCCCCGCGCCGGCCGGGGCTGCCCGCCGGGCCGGCGAGCGGTGCGAGAGTGGCCTTCGCGGGCCCTCGACGCTGTACAAAGCAGCGGCAAGCTCCGCCGCGCCGCGGCCCCCCCCGCAAACTCAATGCGGGGCTTGCAAAGGCAACGCAGAAGGCTTGGAATGCCCCGGGCCCTTGGTTCCCCCCCCCCCGTCTGGCGTCGGCCGCCTTTGTTTGTGTGCGCGGGCGGGAGTGTTGTCTGTGGGCGCACGCAGCCGGCGGCGGCGCGTCATTTTCCCGCGCAAAGCGGGCGCGCCCCTCGTGGGCCGGCAGGCAGAGGGCGCCGCCCCCTTGTGTTTTCATTGATTCTTGCCGGCCGCCCGATGGTTTGCTTGCTTGGCAGGTTGGGCCCCCCCCGGCCAGCCGGTGTGCGCGGGCCTGGTTGGCCGGGCTTGTGGTGGGCCCGCATTGCTCCCGCGCCTTGGTTCGCGCGCGTCCGTCGGTCTATGTCTGTGTCATCTATATTTCCGGGCACGCTGAACAGGGCGCGCGAGTGCCGTGTTACTTCCTTAGAGGCGTGCGCGCAGCCCTTTTCTCGGATGGAGTGCCGACCCGCATAAATATGCTCGGCCCGTGCGTTGCGGCCCCAGATTGATTGGACTTCTGCCCCCGCTGGTCGGCGGGGCGGAGCGATGTGTGGACCGAGCAGAGCATGCGGCGGCGGCGCCGTTTTTTCTCTCTGTCAGTAGTTTGGCGGGCATGGGCCTTCGCAAACTGGAGCTCGCTGCACCTTAATGCTTCTCCCTGCGGCTGCCGCTGCGACGGACTGCGGGTCGCCCGATTTTGATGGTTGTGCGTTGTTCCCCGTCCCAATTGAGTACGGGCAAAGAAAAAGAAATAAGGCGGCGCCACTTCACTTTGTGCGCTTGCAAGTCAATGATCTAATAAGTCCACTTGCTTGCGCACAGCCACAAGAAAAATACTGCTCGCTGCTCCTTATCTGGAAAGAAGGGGCTCAGATGCTTGTAGTAAAGATTGCAGCGACAACGCCAACTCTAGGACATACCACATCAGAATGAATAAATAAAGTTAAAGTGTAGTACGCAAGTCATGACTATACTGTGATCTTCCGGCCCGCGTGCTGCGAGTCCGACCGCAGTTTTACCTGCGAAACTGAGTTGAGTTGGGTTCTGAAGGAAACACAGAGAAGAAGTAGAATCGCTTTAATAAACCAAATGACCTTCCCCGCACTTTATTCTCTGTTTCGCCCCCCGTATCCATGAAAGCCCCGGCGACGCCAAAATTTGCGATTGTCTCTCCGAGTGCTTTGCGGGGGTTCTCAGCTGCGGCAGAACTCGCGCAGGGCCGCTGGTTTCCTGCTTCTCGATGATGGTATCCTCCGGAAGCACGGCCCCCATGTCCTCCTCGGCGGCGGCGGCGGCCGGGAGCAGTTCTTTCTCCGCTGCAAACAAGATGATGACCTTTTACAACGAGTCGGAGGCGCTGAGCAGCACGACCAGCCAAAACCGGCCTGGCTCCAAAAACATCGACTCGCTGCTGCGGTTCTTCCAGTCAGACTACTTCAAAAGCGAAATCTTCTACCTGATGCACTACCTGTACCACGACGAGCGGCCGGGGATCCAGGACTACTTGGTCAACCAACTGTACGAGAAATCCGACGTCGAGGTGGATTTCTACCTCTGTCAACTCGTGCAGATCTGCATCACGAGGCTGTCCGCGAAGGAGACCACCAAATCTGCGCAGTCGCTCTCCAAGTTTCTCGTGTGGAAAGCGAAATCGTCCGTGCATTTCGCGTTGAAAATCCACTGGCTGGCCATCTTATCCTCTGCAAAAGTATTGCGCTCGTACATTAGCATGACAAAAATACTTTCTATTACCGTGTCTAGCATGACAAAGTCCTCGCTACACAGGTAAATTGGTGTTGCGATTGCCGCTAGTGCGATACTTTTGTATTGCATACATCTCGGTCTTCGAGGAGCGGGAACAGACCAAAGCTCTGAAAATCGCCGGAGACACCCTTATCGATCAGGTTTGTAGGATTAGCATGAATGTGGAATGTAGAATTAGCATGACAAACCCAAATGGAATGTAGAATTAGCACGACAAATAAGACAAACTCTACTACTAGGTGGAGCGCGCCGTCGTGAATGCTCACTTGGACACGTTCAAGAAGGGACCGACTGCTATTTCACGCAAAATTGTTGTTGTGCCAGTGCCTGCCATTCCCATTGCTGTGTCCGGGCGCAAGTCGATTTTGTATCATGATCAGCATGTTGATGTTTGTAAGTACCTAGAAGTACTACTTGTACTAGATCTAGATGAGGGACCGGACGACGGGGGTAGATCATAGTGCTCATACTGTAAGTATGCCTTTAGGTACGTATGCAACATCACGAATGCGCATGGAAGGTGGCAACGGCGCATCAGCTATAAGTTTTTCCAACCGATACCACCCTCCTCCAGCGCCACCTCGATTCGAAAGACTTCCTCCGAAACCCTTTCTGACAACCTTAACGCAGCACCAGGAGCTCCTGCTGCTGGTACTTCTATCCTCACCTACCTCCGTTCCTTGAAGCGCGACGCGCGAGGCGGGTTTTTAGAGCTGGACGAAGCGGCGCCAAATGTGTACGCTGGCGACCAACTGTCGGATAGCATACCCAGGATTGAAGAGCAACCCAAGATTCTCACGGTACTTGAAAATTTGATCAAGGGTCTTGTCTGAGGATAGCAGCACCCCACTTCTTCATATTAGTGTGGGTAAAAACCATGGAAAATGAAACTGTGATTTTTGACGATCAAAAGTTAATACAACAAGCATACTAGGAAACCGCTCGTCACTACATGTCTACCAACAAAAAAAGGTAAACTACTGGAACACGCAATTGGCTTTTTCGACTTTCCTGCTCTCCCTATCTGACTACGTGATTCGGTATCGTGGAGAAAATGACTGGTGATGGATTTTTCTTTTTGCTGATTTGTCATGCCCGCCAGCAACAGGAAGAGGAACAGCATGCTCATTGCAGGCATTATGAATGTGTTTTAGTTTTTGCGTATGTTGTAGTTGACAAAAGCGCCAAATTGGAATTTCCATCCCTTCCCTGTGTTCCCGTTATACCCGGTGCGAAGACCGCGACTTGGCGATCCAAAAGCCGCTAAATCTCCTGAACGTGTGGCTTCTGGAGCGCAGGTGCTTCGTATGACAGTGCACAACTCCCCCTCGTCCCCCTCATTTGTCATGCAAAATACCGAATCCAACCTCTGTGTGTTGGCACTGTTTGCATGACAAGTTCTGGTAGCCCAAATAGCACTACAATCCATTAGAAATTTGTCATGCAAAACCGGCACTCTTGCTGATGCCTGTATTGCCGCTTATGCAATACAAATGAGGGTGAGGGGCGGGAGTTGTGCACTTTCATACTTCGCCGCGACGGCGCTATCGGAGTTTCAAATGATCGGACTGCACGTTCCTTTGCACGGCTGGGACACTAGGTTGCAGCTGTTGAAGGTAAGATAATGCATTTAAGTACTTCTATCCACCATCGTATTCGTGGTATGGCTAAGCCTAAGGTCCTACTTGTTCTTCTCCTTGAGAGGTTCTTCGAATAAAAAAAGGTAGGGCCGCTCTGTTGATGTTCTTAATCTGAAGAGCGAAGGAGCCACAGCCACCAACATGACGGAGAAAAAATCAGTATCAAAATAGGTCCATGCCCACGATTGCCGAGTTTTTTCCACGAAAACCCGCGCTCCTTTTCTGCTCATTTGCGAGTTTGGCGACTTAGATGAAGAGCTTGACGACGAGGAGACGAAACTATGAAAGTGCACAACTCCCCCTCCCCCTCATTTGTCATGCAAAATTTCAAATCCACCCTTTGCCTGTTAGTACTGTTTGCAAGACAGGTTCCGGAATCCGCAACAGCACTACAATCCCCTAGGAATTTGGCATGCAAAAGCTGCATCTTTGCCAGCGCTTGTGTTGCTGTTCATGCAACACAAATGAGGGGGAGGGGGGGTTATGCACTGTCATAGAAACAGCACATCAGCGGGCGGGACCTGGTCTACCAGGAGATGCAGACGCTGTTTGACGACTTCAGTTCGGATACCATGGAAAAGCTCTTGCAAAAAATCTCGTTGCCGGAATGGGTAGCGAAGGTCTACCAGCGGGATGACACTCCCGAGGCGGACGAGGTAGATTACGTTTCCGATACGGAGCTGGAGATACTAAATCCTGGATTTACTTCTTCCTTCGGAGGAGCCCCCGGTGCGATGAGCCACGAATCTTCCACGGAACTACTACAATTGACCTCCGACGAAGTCGTGGGAGGAGCTGGTACTGCTGCTGCGACGAAGATGAACCCGCTCGGGGCCCAAGCGGGAACTAGTAATATCAAGCCAACATCGTCCGCGGCGGCGGCGAGTACTACGAGTGGCCCAACTACATCAGCAGCAGCGACAGCGCAAACGGCTGCGATGAAGGTGGTTCTTGCCGCTGCGGCGGAGGAGGCGTCGATCGGGGACGATATTTACGATGAAGATTTGACGTCCTCGGAGTTGCTGGCACTACAGCATCAGCCACAGGGGCAGAATCAAATAGCCAGCAACGAAGGCGGAGTTACGTCGACTGTTGGCAACAGCACTGACGGTACAATGCAGGAAGGAGTTGGTGCGAAGTTTGATGCTGTGGATACCGCTTTGGGGGATGATAATGCGGGCACTGAAGCTGCACCTCTTCCGGGAGTACAACCAGAGCCATCCTCTTTAGGAAGTCAACAAGCAAATGACATCACAACTGTTCTCCAAGTCGGCACTGCGCCTGCGTCCAGCTCTTCTTCCGTTGTTCCCGTGGCAGCACCGTCTTTGGGAGGCGCAGTCACTGCTAGTAGCGCAGATGGAGCTGCAGGAGCAAAGACCGCGACAAGCGCCACAGGTACTACAGAACAAGAGACAGGACAAGTAGTAATGGCCCACACGCTCTCGGCACCCCCTGGGAAAAACGCCGGAGATAGAAATGCAGCCGGCGGAGCTCCCAGCGAAGTAGATCCACCGCAAGGCCAGAACCACGACAGGATAGGCGGCGTAAATGCACAAGCGTCCCCCGCTGCGGATGATGAAACGTCTCCCATGGCAGGCGGCGCCAGAAATAAGAACCTGCAAGGCGGGGGCTCCGCGGCGTCCAATTCGCTGCCAAGTAAGCCGAGCGGACTTATGAACAATAATATCGGTGCAACAAGAACTTCTGGTACAACTACATCAACTAGCAAAAACATTTTGTCCCCGCAGCAGCAAGACCCGCACTACTTCGAACCACCCCTGCGCGCCTCGAAATCCCTGCCCGTCAGCTTCGGCAAGGATCCGGACAAGTTCGACTTTGACTCGGCGTTTTCATCGGTCTTTCTTGACGAGGCTAACACAACTGGTAGTACCAATTATGCCAACACCATTTCCGGGTGTGGCGAAGCGGAGCTCCGCGCCATTCGGGCCGGGATGGCGGTGAGCAACAATCAGAATGGCTTTGCGCCGTACAAGAAGCTGCTGCACCGAAAACTGCAAGCGGCCAAGTTTCGCAAGAAAATCTGGAGCGAGCCCTGGGACAACAAGAAAAAACGCATCGAACAGACTTCCAAGTACGCAAAGCTGAAGTCCTGGTCTTATCCTGATTAAAAACGTCCCCACACCAGAGTCAAGATGGGAAATCTGCTAGACAAATCACACCGCTTTGGTTGCTTGGCATGACAAGTTTGCCCTCGTAGTGTCATCCTGTTTGGCTAGCTCAGAAGCATCACAGATCTACCATAGCATGCTGATCCTAGCTGCATCACAAATCCCAAAACACGAGTAGAAAATGCTTCTCATAGGGCTCCGCATGAGAAACTTTTTTGGCATGCAGAATGGCATGACAACTTTGGGGTGGGGATGTTTTTACACGGGATAGGTCTCTGCGGAGCATTATAGTGAAATCCGGCGACGACGTGCGACAGGAAGTGTTAGCCAGCCAGCTGATATGCATTGCAAAACGATCGTACTAGTATGAATTGCATTACAAGTTTTTAGCTCAGCATGACAAATTAAATTTGTAATGCGGATCTACCTTGACACGCACCTAGATTTTGATTTTGATTTGTAATGCATAGCTGCTATTGCTACGAGTACGATATTTTTGCGATTCATAGCTGATCTCCCAGTTCAAGTGGATTTTTGACCAGGCGCCCGGCCTGAACTTGTAGTTTAATTTAGGGCTGAAGTGATCTTTATCTTTTTGTATCTGTTTCAAAGTCGAGACCGGTTCTTCGTCCCGCTATTCTCCTGTGTAAAAAGCAAAGACATCAAGAGCGATCATGTGGGTTCAACATCTGCAAGCCCCGAGAGTGCGCCACCTGTTGTCGATCGGTGCAAGAACTCGATACTAGACAGAGTATGATGAAACACCAGTAAAACTAAGACTGTATCTTCGACTCCCTGTGATTTTATTTGCTCAGGTACCTCCGCCCGATCGAGGTTCTGATTACCGGCGCGCGCTCGGGGTTCATTGAGATGGTGCCGGACTCCATTTCGATTGACCGGCTCAAGCGGAAATTCCCGGACAAGTCACTGTCCGAAGTCTTCAACACGTATGAAAGCCTCAGGTTGGAAATCCTCAAAGCGGAAATAGTTTGTAATGCAAAAAACCAGTCCAGTTGAAGCGCCACTTTTAGGCGGCGCATGACAAATTTCCCGGGCACTCAAAGCATGTCTGTCATGCTGGTTAAGGCAAAAGGGTGCCCTTCTCTCGTGCTAATCAGCACTACAATTCTTCCCCCGTAGAAGGACAACAGTCGGCCTCCATTGCGTCCGCTGCAATACAGTCTTTTTTGCGTCGCATTTCATGCATCACAAATTATTTCCATTTTGAGGATTTCCATTCTGAGGCCTTCATAACACGGCTTTCGGCGACCGGCTGCTGCAGGCCAAGCGGGCCTTCACCGAGTCGACGGCGGCCTATTCGTTGGTGTGCTACTTTCTGCAGGTTCGGGACCGGCACAACGGGAACATGCTGCTCGACCGCACTATGGAACTGTCAGGATCGAAATTGACAGAGTTGAAATAGCCTGTGATGCATAAAATGCAACGTAAAAATTGCCACTATTGCAGAGGACGCAAGGGATGCAGATTGTAAGCCTGTTGGGGGGGTAGAAATTGAGCTACTAAAGTAGCATGACAAAAGGCGTCGTCCTTACCCAAACAGCATTACAAACTGGATTTCAGTTCTACGCAAAATTGTCATGCGCCACTTGAAAACTAGGCGCCAACGGGGATCCGTTTTATGCATCGCAAACTATTTCAACTTTGACGATTTCGATCCTGACACTTCCATACGCAACGGACACATCATCCACATCGATTTCGGTTTCATGCTGAGCAATTCCCCGGGCAACATCGCGTTCGAAACCTCGCCGTTCAAACTGACGCAGGAATTCCTGGACATTATGGACGGGGAAGAATCCGAGCAGTACCAGTACTTTTGTACGCTCCTGATTCGTATGCATTGCAAATATGTCTGGGTCTGGAAGAATGCGAGGCTTGCCATGCTCGGCTAGCATAGCTCTCAAGTCTGTTATGCACGTAGTTTCCCAAGACAGTCTCGCTTTTCTGTCATGCGGAAAGAACGCAATTTGTCATGCGGAATAGACCACTACACCTACCGACGGAGAGTTTTGTCATGCTGGGCTGGCAATTGCGGCACCCTCATGATTCGCCAAGAACCCGCATCACAAGTTTGTTCCAGACCCAGACATATTTGCAGTTGATAACTCGCGGCTTTCTGGAGGCGCGGCGGCACATCGAGCGCATTTCCACCCTGATCCAGTCCTTGGCGAACAGTAACCTGCCGTTATCAGAGTGAAAAATGCCCCCACGACCCCGAAAGTTTGAATAATTTGTGATGCGAAGTTTCCAAATGAGAACCTTTTGTCATGCATGAAAGGACTACGAATCTTCCTCTTCGTCTTCCTGATGCAGAGGCTAGTCGTATAGAGCATCCTCGCTTGCATGATGCGCGCCGCTCTTGCTGGGATCTTTTGCAGTGCAAATTTTTGCTATTCACGATTGAAAATCTGTGATGCTGATACATGCAAGACGGCGAGCGTTTCCATTGGAAAGCCTTGCAATACAAATGCTCCCAAGTAGTTCCGGGGTGGGGACGTTTTTCCTCACAATAACCGTGCTTCAGCGGAAAGCCGTGCTCGTTGATCATCACGGAGCTGGAAGAAAGGTTTTTCCGTGGCATTCCCGACGACGCCTGCATCGAACAAATTCATCTATGAATTGCAAGAAAAGTATCGCACTCGTCGTACAAATGCATATACAAACAACGTCCCCAGCGTGAGAAATTAAATTTGTAATGCGGTTTACCTCAAGAAAATAAATGAAAAAGACTTCGTAAGAATGTATGACTGCAATTACTACGAGTGCTGCGAAACTTTTGCGGTTCATATCATCACTTAATCGACAACTCCGTGAACAACTGGCGCACAATACCAAAAAGAAAAATCCCCCTCCCCATATCGAAAAGGACATCTGTGATGCTGGATTTGCGTACACAAATCAGATGCGTCTTGCAGTAGAGGACTGCACGCAGATCGCGAGGCTAGAGAGGGACCTTTTTGGTGTAGGCGCCTAGCATGGTAGACGGCTGCCCTGTAGTCCTTCCAGCATTACAAAGCGCCCGCATTATAGTGTGGCAGAGAGCCCGGCGCTGCCTTCTAGCAAGACAGACAGGATTTGTGGCCACAGATCTGCGTCACAAATTTCCAGCAGACAGCACGTTTTCAATATGAGGACGGGGGATTTTTCCTCGCAATACACCAGGCAGTACGACAACTACCAGCGCATCACGAACGGGATTTTGTGACAAAGAAGGAGAAGTACTATAACCGGTTGCTGAGGATGGAAAACAAATCAGCGTAGTGGTCCTCCCTGAAGATCCTCCTGATGATCACAGCCAGTGCCGTTAGATGACTTCTTAATCCACTTTCAGCAGCATTTTTGGGTCTTCTTGCCGTGGAGTAGAAGTTGTACCGTCTGGAGGATCCTTCTTCGATCTACTTCGATCAAGAGCTGCAACTACCCCGGCTGGGACGACGCTCCTGCACCAAGCCATCGTACGAGGTAAAGGACGAGCTCTTCATCCTCGGTGGAGCAGGACGAGTTGCCACAGACAAGCTACTAGCACCAAATGAAACACAAATATTAAGTAGAAGACGGCCATGATGCTGGGAATTATAAACAAGCTACTTTGAATATCCTGTGCAAAAGTATCGTACTCGTAGTAATCGCAGTCAGCACTGCAAATCTTTTTCTTAAGGGAAACCCGCACTACAAATTTTATTCGTCATGCTGAGGGAATTTGTCATGCGATTTATACTTAGTACGATGCTTTTGCATTTCATATTGAAAATACTTGTTAGTACCAAGGAGTAAACCAAGTAGAACCCGGCGTCGGCAGGAGTGCATCGTCGATCCTGGGCATCAATACCTACAGACTGTTTTCCAAGATTTTCGCCGGAGAAACTTTTTCAAAGAATGTGTGAGGTTTGCACCGCAAAGGAGTGTGAAAAACAAATACGTAATGAACCGAGCTCGAGCTAAAAATTACATGGTGCAAGAACTTGTACGACTTGGGGAAATATGCGTCCTTTTTTTCTTGATTCGGAAATTTGAAGTTATCGATTAATCGATTTTTTAGGATGTTGCCAGGCTTGGAGGTCGTGACCAGCAAGAACCACTAGAACAGATAGTGATAGAAGAAACTACGAATTATTTTTCAAAGGCACCACGAGTAGATATCATACTGCGGAAATAATTTTTCCGATTTAGGTCAGTGTCCTGTCAGTCGATTGATGAGGAGATGAAGACGACAGTCAGAACAAGGGGCGACACGAGAAGATAAAGTTCAAGGTCTGGTGGCTACTAACTAGGAGGTCGGTCCTCTCGCGTTCTACTTCATGATTGACGTTATAATCTCACCAGAACGAAGTACAAGCTCAAGCAGCGCCAGCGTTGTGGTGTTCTTCCTCTACTTCTTCGCCGTGTCTGATCGTGGAAATTCTACTTCGGTGTTGATCAGTGAAGTAGAATCCAAGTCAAAAATAGATTACATGATGCGACTACAACTCCTGCATAACGAAGTGCAACTAGCTAGCTGAACATGTGAAGATCATAATTTATTTGCAGCTTCGTGGTCTTGACAACTTTCCCGTCCTAGTTGGTGCTACTTACTTGTTACGTCCAGAGCAGGTAGAGGTATCTCGCGTTGAAGAAATATTATCCATGATCGGTTCTTGTGGTAAACAATAGTTGTGCGGACGCCGCTGCTTTTATAATATTCGGTTGGAAAGAACAAGCCCGCTGTCGAGAAAATATAGAAATACATCAATCAGTAGTTGTAGCTCCTGTAATGGATGTCCCCGAGGAAAAAAATATTTCATCGTAATTCGACCCTGAAGATACTCGGTTGCATGTCATGATCTAGTACGCCCCGTTTGGTGAAAAAAATCGGTGTTCTTGAGCATTTTTGCATGGTCAAGAAGTAGAGGGCCGCCGGCCTTCTAGTAGAGGAATGATCGGTTGCCGGCGCGCCGGATGTTGACTACAGCATTACTTCGGTTTTCGTCCTTCTAGATGTTCGTGCCCTGGAGAAGTAGTGTAAAAGAAAGGTGAAACGCAGACGAATGACTTATTTTGGCGTAGAAGTAGTTGTACAACCCTCTGCACGAATCATGTCGGTAGTTCGAACTCCAAAGCCTCCCGAAGATCGGTAATCCGTTCGTACATACTCCGAATAGAACGAAGTCATCGGTCGCACATCAATCGCTTTGCTATCGTCGGCATCGTACATATCTAGCTCGTGCGCACTTGCTACCTATCGTCGACGTAGTACACTAGTGCTAGCAGTATTATCTCTAATTCCGCATGCTGTCGTGACTACAACGCCCTCAACAAGGCAAGCGTGGCGTGGCCGAGTCTAACACTTCTAAGGCATTAAGGCATTATCTCGTGACTCTAATTTCGAGCTACTTACTTCAACAGAATGTCTGACATCTTCACGTCTTTTCGCAACACCTTCAGGAGAGCTGTCGTTCTATGTCGATAGTCCGACCCCCATTTCTCTCCTGATAACTTTAACTGCAGCAAAGTATATGAAATAACTCCACGTATCAAAAATTGCAAATTCTGACTACTTTTCTGTCAACAAATCAATAAAAATTTTTATCGTTAAATCAAGTTTATCTTCAACCTCATCTTCCACAACAAAAAATCTAAACTAACCTCTTCTTGCTACTTGCTTGTGAAAGAACACGCCATCCAAATCATTCACATCTCATTTCTATTTCACTACTCAACTACACCCTTGGTTCTGTCTCACAGGAGACAGACGTGTAGTCAGCACCGGAGTAACTAAGATGATGAAGATGCTGGACGTCTTTGACACAACGACGAACTACAAAGCCGTCTGCAGGGGCCGCGGGCTGCTGCGAAGGATGTTCCTACTGTTCTCGTTGCAAGGGGCGGCGAAGATCGTGTTGGCGACACTGTACACCATGAGCCCGCGGACGGTGCACAAGGAATGCCTGGAAGACTTTAAGGACGCGGGGAACTCGCGGCGAGTGTATTCCTGTATGTACCGGTGCGCGGATTATTACGTGAATTGCTTCGGGATGATGCGGAACAGCGACTCGTCGGTTGTGGGACTGCACGCGGGTGCCCAATTCGATCGCAGCAATTTTGGCAGCTACCTGTGCAAGCCCGGCTGCTTCGAGGCGTTCGCGGCCTACGAGAAGTGCGCCCGGATGTCCGGTATCAAATGCAAAAATGTCTGGGTCTGGAAACTTGTGATGCTGAATTGCGCATGATTGAAGCGGTTCCAATGGCAGCCAAGCATGACAAGTTTTTGAGTAGAGGCCTTCTGATGCCTAGCACGCATTACAAATTGCGTTTTTGCATGACAAAGAAAGCCGCTCTTTTGCTGCTCATGCAACACAGATTTTCCAGGAATGCACGACACGCATTACAAGCTCCACTTTTCCAGACCCAGACATTTTTACATTTGATATCCGGCGTGGACAATCGGGACGGGAACGGCGTTCGCACGAACCAGGAACTGGACGCGCTGTACAACAACCACTGTGCTTGGTACGATTCTACCAAAACGGAAACCGTGCTGCTCCTCAAGTACGGCCTGCACATGAATTTCATGGACTCGCATTACAACCAGGCCGGGGAGGTCACGGAGCCGGACATGTTTCTGATCGAGGACCAACTGCAAACGGACACGGCGGTGGACAACGTTTTGGGGCGGCCTTTGAAGGACGGCCTGCGCAGATACATGCAGGAGACCGACAACAATTACTACGCAATGCTGTCCGGGGGGGGATACGAGAAGCCCGCGTACTATGGATGTGTCAGAGTTGAAATCGACAAAGTTGAAATAATTTGTCATGCATAAAATGGATGCCAGTTGGAACCCTGTTTCCTTCCAAGTGGCGCATGACAAATTTCGGTGGTCCCTAGATCCAGTTTGTCATGCTGTTTAGGCAAAGAAGAGTGATTTTCTCATGCTACTTTAGCAGCTCGAGCTGTAACCCCAAACAGGCTCACAATCGACATCACTTGCCTGCTCTGCAACACACGCACCTCGGGCCATGCATTTTATGCATTACAAATATATTATTTCAACTTTGACGATTTCAAACCTGACGCTTCCATACGTACGACTACGGCCCGAGTGGAAACTTCACGAACAGTATCAAAAGTAAAAATGTCTGGGTCTGGAAGAATGCAAGATTTGTCATGCTTGTTTCGCATGACTCTTAAATCTGTCATGCACATTTTTACCCAAGAGAGAGAGACCCATTTTTCTGTCATGCAGAAAGGCAGTCTGTCATGCAGAATAGGCATAGCACCTAGAAGCTCAGATGAAACTTGTCATGCTGAGCCAGCACTTGTGGCCTCCTGATGAATGTTACGGCACCCAGCATTACAAGTTCTTTCCAGACATGATCCAGGGATAATATTTGCATTTGATAAACAGCGTGAAGATTACGGCCGCGAATTTCAACCTGGCCAAAAGCAATTACGAATTCCAAAATTCCCCTCAAGCCCAGGACAACCACCACGGCGTTCTGATGCAGGTGCGCAACCTGAGCGGTGCCAGCGAGGCCGAGGCGTTGCGCAGGTTTCTGAGTTTTGACGACTGGTCTTCGCATTGCGGGGACGTTTTTACCGGGACGATATCAAATGCAAAAATGTCTGGGTCGTCTGGAAACATGTAATAAACTTCTGATGCAGCGTATTTGAGACCAGAAAAAAATCTCTCACCCATGGACCGCAAAAGTTGCTCATTTCTTGCCACGACCATAACAAGAGGGCACTTGTCCTCCTCACGCGGAAGATTAGGCATCGCCTAACCTGCTCAAAACCTGTGCTGCAGCTAGGACTTGCATGCTAGACCTTCTGTGTCATGCACAAAAAGCCCCTTCGCACTTCTTTTCCAGACCGAGACTGTTCATGCACAAAAAGCTGCCCTGTACTGCTGCCGATGCGTAGATACTAATACAGCTAAACTGTCAATGTTGTCTCTGCTTGTTCAAAACCAAAAAACTGCTCTGCTACAGTGCTGCCGATGATTATACTACTTTGAATTGATGCGGTTTTACAGGTATTGCTTGGATCGATCTTTGATTAGGGAAGCGCGTGCGGAATGTAGTGGACGCGATTGATTTAAAACGATTAAGCTACTGTGTGGAGTTAGAACTGTGCTGCCTACTGATTTGTTGTTAGATGTGTGCTACGCTTGGGACCTGACTGCGTATTTTACTCCGCCAGAAACATGGTGATAAAAGCTAGCGCGCGCGCGCGCGTTTGAGGGCAATGGCGAATAATGCGCAGGATTGGAATGTGTATTACAATGACCGAAGGGCCGCATACGGGGCAGTGATGCCCGGCAGGCAGGGCGAGGGAGAATTTACAAGGACCGAACTGCAGCGCACTCTGGCTGCTGCTCACACGGAAACTCGCTCTCTATGGCCACTCTGTTTCTGCTAGCAGTCCGTTGGAATGCAGATGACCGAGCGACTGCCGACTGTTCATCGTCGTAGTGCGGCGCGTAGTGCGTCGTAGCGCGACCGCGGCTACGCGGAACGCTGCGGGGCTAGCGCGGAACCATACAAAACGACGGCGCAGAGGCATTGTAGGTCCCTTCGCGTCCGGGGGTACCGGGAAGTCCTGGGGGCCCCGTACCGGACGGTAGAACCAGTTTCGCAAGGGTCCGCCGGGAAAGCAGCGGACCATAAAACATACCAAATTTGTATGAGAAAGCGATTTATAGGCACGCTTTCTTCTAGGACAATTAGGGGCAGGCCCCTTCGTGTCCCGACATACAAATATAATATGGGGGGTCTCAGGAATACTGGTTCACATGCTAGACCTTCTGTGTCATGCACAAAAAGCCCCTTCGCACTTCTTTTCCAGACCGAGACCCAGACATACAAATTCTTCGTATTTTATGGTCCGCAGTTTTCCCTGCGGACCCTTGCGAAACTGGTTCTACCGTCCCGTACGGGGCCCCCAGGACTTCCCGGGCCCCCCGTGCGGGAAGGGACCTACAATGCCCCTGCGCCGTTGTTTTGTATGGTTCCGCGCTAGCCCCGCGGCGTTCCGCTTAGCGGCGGCCGCGCTACGCCGCACTACGACTACGCACAGTCCGCAGTCGCTCGGTCATCTGTATTCCCGCGGACTGCTAGCTAAAATACAGACGCCATTGAGAGCAAATGTCCATGTGAGCAGTGGCCAAAGAGCACTGCCGCTTCCTCGGTCATTGTGTGAGTGTTTTCCCTCGCCCTGCGTGCAGGGCTGCACTTCCTCAGGCGCGGCCTCTCGGTCGTTGTTGTATGCGTGCCGCGTATTATTTGCCCTTGCCCTCGAACTACGCGCGCGCGCGCGCTAGCTTCAGTCAACCTTTGTGCGAAGCAAGACGTCCCGCAGCCAGATCCCTTGTGCTGCGCGCGCGCGCGCGCGCGCTCCTGCTTGTGGTAACCGCAAAGCCGCAGCGCGCCGTTTCTGTACGAGTTTTTCTCATGCCACAATGAACATTCAATCACAGCCGCACCACTTTCGCTCCACATACAAACAAGCTGTATGTTCCGCGCAGCACAGACAAATACTGGGCGTTGTCAGACCAAGCTTTTCTGGTTATAGGTTTTGTTGTCTGTTTTCTAAGCTTTTTTCTGTTCTAGGTACCCTTCGCGTCCCGGGTGCCTTTCGTGTGCTGCTTCACATGCTAGACCTTCTGTGTCATGCACAAAAAGCCCCTTCGCACTTCTTTTCCAGACCGAGACCCAGACAAAACTGCGGCCTCCTTAGGCAGCGGCGACCCCAGAGGAACTGCCGGCGGGGCTTGTCCCAGGGCGGCGTAAATGGCTAGTTGGCCGGGCGTGAACCCGCGGCGGGATCGAAGGTAGCCCGCTACTTCGATCTCGCCCACGCCCTGCGCCAGTCGCTTCCTGCAGACGAAACCACCCGCCGCGGGTTTTGGGTTTGTCGTCAGTGGGACGCGACCGGCCTGCCCCCGCTGGCAGGCAGAGGCGTCCACGCCAGCAGTGTCAGCATACAGCTGCTGCCGCACCTGTTCGGCGGCTTCCCCGGGCGGTGCGCCAACCACATACCAGAATTGAAACTTTTGCGCACTGGTCTCGGTGACCAGCCGCGGCTCCCCGGCGCCGGCCGGGAAAACCGGGGGAGCCGGCGCCTAGATACTACTTGTGTATGAAATAATGCCTTTTCTTGACCTCCAGTGCCTGCTTTTAGTGTGTTTCTACCTTCCTTGTCTACGGGTGCGCGAATAAAATTATGCTTGATAGCTGTGGGGTGCGAGCTGTTGCTCTCTGATAACTGTGTGCTACGCTTGGGACCTGGCTGCGTTGTGTATTCCACCAGCAGAATTACGAACAAAACTAGCGGCGCGCGCGCGGTGAGGACCTATTGCGGATCGATATTTTGTTAGTGCAGGCCGATATTTTGTTAGTGCAGGCGGCGCTTCGAAAACATACAGGGACCGAGTTTGTTTCGCGTGCGCGCTTTGGTAGCTAACAGAACTTTCTCGCACCTGCTTAGCACTCTTGCTGCAGAGTCTACTGAAAGCGGAAAAGACCGAGGCGTAGTTCCTTTCTCAATGTTTTTCACTGAGTGGTTGTTTTGTTTTGGTTACGCAGCCACGTGTCGCAGTCGGACAAAACCAGGGCAATATAAAACGAGGGCGCATGCACAAAAAGCCCCTTCGCACTTCTTTTCCAGACCGAGACCCAGACAAAACTGCATTTGATAGATGGCCAACTACTGCAAGTCTTTTGTGGACTGGGCACTGCCCAGCTCGTGGGGCCATTTCCAACAGCTTACCTATGACCCGAATTTTTATTGAGAGGAAAAATCCCTATCCCCCCACGTCGACCCCAACATATGTATCGAAAAGGTATGTTTCCGAAAATTTGTGTTGCTGATTCGAGACCTCCGCAGATAGCGCGTGCCTTGGAAGAAGACAAGCGCAGTAGAGGCTTCCGCGCCATTATGGAAGCGATTTAGCATGCTGCTGGGGCTGGGCCACCTAGTAGACAGGAGCCGTTTGTAATGCTAAACAACTAGACCCACACGCCCCGACCTAGGCTGAGGATCTGGCTGCGATGCCGTACTGCACGACAGGGCGCGTTTTTTGTCTGTGTACGGAAATCCAGCATCAGAAACTGCGTCCCAGGAGTTGGCCTTGGCACTGCTGTCTCTGCTCTCGGTAGCGATCGCGCTGTCCAAAATTCTTTCATGACGCTTACCGGGTTGCACGTGGTTCAAGGTTTATAGCATGTTTCGTTACTGATACTGGGACGCCCTGCCCTTAGCCTTCCAAAATCAGAAACTTCGTCTCGATATGGGGAGCGGGGATTTTTCCTTTTGATAGCTTTCGGATTTTGCTTGGTTTTGACGGTGCGGTCGGGACATCCCGGCTGTCCAGAGCCATGACGCACGCCATCAACGCCGATGTGCCGTTATGCAAAAAAGAAACGTTGTTGGTGTTGGTGTAATAAATTTGTGATGCGTAACATGCAAGAATCAAGGTGCTTGCGTCTGTGGTCATGGTGGGCAAACATTGTAGAGCCCATAATTCAAGGGCGTTTTGTTCACGTTGTACTGACCGCGCATGACAGGTTTTTGCTGTCATGCCAGAGATATTGATTTGTATTGTAATGCTCGTCCTCCTATCTCTATCAAATGCAAATATGTCTGGGTCTGGAAACGACTTGTAATGCTGAACGGCCATGATTGAGCGCGCCTTTAAGAAGTGCAGTGCAGCATGACAAATGACAAAGCGTGCTCTGTCATGCGCTGGACGCATTGCAAACTGCGTTTTATTTGCATGACGAAAGAAGTGTGGTGCTTTTATAATTTGCTGCCTCTGCAATACAAATTTTTTAGCAGTGGTGCGAAACACGCAGTAGGTACACGCTCAATTACCTCCTTTCCAGACCCAGACACATTGATACTTGATGCATTTGATACCTCCAAATCCAAATCAAATAAAGTTACACCTACAAAAATCTTTTTTTCTTGGATAGCCGTGTTTCCGAATCGGATCCTCGACGGCTCCCTGCAGGTTCATGTACACCAACAAGCTGGATTATCCCACGAAGGAATGTTTCAACACTGTGATGATTTTGCAAGAACCGCATTACAAGTTTGTTAGTTACACATGTTGACACAGAAAATAAATTTGCCATGCACGTTTCCCAAGGGATGAAGACACGCTTGAAACTCCAATGTTCTATGCAGGTGTAGCAAGAAGACAAATAGTTGTGCGTTCCATTTTCTGCATCACAAGTTCACAGTGAAAGAACAGTTTTTTCTGGCGATATGGATTCCACCCACCGCATCACGAATCCCTTGCACATCCTCGGTGGGGACCATCCGTCATTTACCGACAAAGTGCCCGTGTACGGGATCACGGGAGTGATGCCCGGACAGACGGTCCGGTCTCCCGCTCCCCCGACCTACCAATACATGTACGCTTTTCGCCCGTCCGTCGCGAGCGACTGTGTGCACTGGATGAATTACTTCCCAGGAAAGGGTCACGCACTGCAAGCGGGAGAATATGTTCTCGGGACGCTTGTATGGATTGCAAGAGTGTCTGGGTCTGGAAGAATGCAACTTGTGACGCTGCATTTGGATTCCAAAAAAATCTGTATTGCATGAGTAGCAAAAGGAGTATGTATATAATTTTTGCTACAAGGATAGGGCATTTGTCATGCGGAATAAGCATCAAGGTGCCCTCAAAAGATCTGTGATGCTAGGGCGTGCATCACAGACATCATGGCTCACGCAAGACGTGCGTCACAAGTGGCGTGCCCGGGGAGTTTTGTAAAAACCGGACTTCGTCCGTCTCCGGGTGGCGTGCCCGGGGTTCAGTCTAAATGAATTTGCCCGGGAAAATAACACTCAGCGGGGCAATCAGGCTTACTCGTAGGCCAGTCGGGGTCTACCCTCTCTCCACGTCGTCACATGTGGTTGTTGGGTTTTGTTGGCGTGTGTCAGGGGATCCCTGTCTTTGGCATTTCCCGACTCCTCCCATGGGTTCACTTCGATGATTGCTGCCGGGGACGTTCTTTATGCAGTCGGCTGGATGATTGACTGTGACCTGGCTCGTACTGTGAACGCAGCTGGATGACTGTGACCTGGCTCGTCTTCGATGGGCAGGCGGATGACTGTGACCTGTCTCGCCCATCAAGATCCATAGTCCCGAGCTCCTAGACGTTGCCTGGCCCGCGAATGACTCCAGGGCAGCCGGATGGCCGTGACCTGGTTAGAAAGGGCTTCGTCGATCGATTGTGCCACTAGGGCCTTGAGTTCCGGCTACTCCGGATCGCAATCGATGGAGGGCGGGACCTGCACCGGCGACAGGCGCTATCCAACCAACCAACCAACCAAGTCTCAGAATCTTCCAGACCCAGACACTTTCGCATTTGATAGCTTGCGGGTGCGTTTTACACCTTCGAAGTCTGTTTGCAACGATTATTACAATGAAAAATGCCCTTGCCCCCCCACCTCAGATAGAATTATTTGCAAAAGTTTCTGATGCAAAGTTCTTTCCAAATGAAAACGCTTCGTCTTGTTGCATGAAAGGACCACCACTACGAGTCTCTCTGGTACAGAACCTAGGCGAGCAACAAGGCAATATCTTTTGTACAAGAGTAGATCCGGCCGGTGCCGGGCTCTTTGCAAAAAAAATTTCCTAGAGCCATTCAGTATGGGCAATTTTTTGTGATGCTGCTATATTATGCGAGACGGGGTGGAATGTTTCTATTGGAAAGGGTTGATGCGCATTACAAGTACATACAAATGTTCCCAAGTTCTGGATTGGGGGCATTTTTCATTCTAATAGCAATGCGCGAATGAGGCGAAATGCACCTTCTTCGTTTTCTATCCACAGTAAATTTATTGTTCCTGTATTACAACTACACACTGTACAAGATGAAATGCGGTTTGTTCTGCATGACAAGAAGACTTGATGCCTTCGATCCTAGTTTCTTAGCATGACAAAGGGCCGCTCCTGCAACATGACCACCTAAAAAATTGGCGAGATTTGTGATATTTGTACGTTGAGGACATCATCTTCATCAGTGTGCTGCGGAAAGTTAAGTGGCAATTTACTGTGTCGATATTTTCACAAACAGCACCTCAGTGCCGGAGTGTTCCCTTCGCAACAGTACTGCGCCGAATATGGGACTGTCAATTGTTACATCCTCAACTGGTACAACATGAATTTGTAATGCAAGAATAGCAAAACTCAAAGGGGGTGGACAAGAATGAATTGCGCCCCTAGCATTGCAAATTCCGCACAGAAGATTTTAAATGCTGTTTAGCCCTCGTCCGGGAATTTGTCATGTGAAGTCGCTTCACCCCGTGGATGTTGCATGACAAATCGTGTAAGAACAGTTGAGAACGTAACGTTTGAGAACGCCATACCGCGTATTCCCATGGTGTCTGATTCTACGAAAACCTTTGTGAAGATTATGACCTGCTCAAACGTTACAATCTCGAGCGTTACAATAGAGTCTGGATTTTGTGTTGCGGGATGAGCATGACAGACGTGGACAACAGCACGCCACTTTCTGCAATACAAATTTCGCCGGCTTGTTGTAGTGCGGTTTGGGACTCCGGAACTTGTCATGCGCAATCCTATGAGAGAGAGTCAGTTGGCTACATAATGCACCTCTTGCATCACAGATTTCGATATTCTATGGTAACCGATTTGAGATTGTTGTAACACCTGAGCAGGTTATAAAGATGACCGACCGATGCCGGGAGGACACCAAGAGTGGCATGATGGACGCGACAAGCCTCACGGTGTTACCCTGTGCAAAAGTATCGTACTCGTAGTAATAATTCGCGAACATGCATGACAAATCTTGCTCTTAAGATATTAAATCCGCATTACAAATTTTATTTTTCAGCATGCTGAGAAAGTGAAAATTTGTAATGCATTTATACGACGAGTACCACGATAGTACTTTCGCAATCCATAGGCGTTGAAGACGACCAATTACAACCAGGGGCTCGACTATCAAACAAAAAAAGTTCGTCACGATCACTCATGCGCGTTTTTGCAATACAAAACTTTCTGTCATGCGTAAAAATGCATCACAGCCAAACTTCATAAGGGATTTCCCTAGTATTTCTGCAATACAAGGAAAAGTTGGCATGCTGAAAAAATTTGCAATGCAAAACCTGCAAGGTAGTGACTGTGACAAACTTTTTTCTCGCCATATCGACACCAACCCGCTGTTCAAGACAGCACAAGTGGCGCGGGTGAGCACGGCGCCCTATGAGCCTGTGGACCTGTTTCAGCTGGACAAGAACCAGTTCGAGGTGACCAGTAACTGGGAGGTGCGCATGGGAATGAAGAACCTGACGGCGCGAACCGTTCCCAATACCGTAACGGAAAACGACCCCGTGTACGGCAGCGCTCGGGTACGCGGCGCTTACAGCAGCACGGACTTTATCAATGTAGGGAAGGGTTACTGTACCGGCGAGGGGATCAAGGGATCCGAGGAACAGTTGGCGGTGACGTATGATGACTGTGTTAGAAATATCAACCGCAAATAAAATGTCTGGGTCTGGAAGATTGCAACTTGTAATGCTGTTTCTGGACGGTAAAAAAATTTGCATTGCATGTGAACCAGCAAGAAGGGTAGGACTCTGAAAAGATAAAGATTTGCATTGCATGACCAGCAAGAGGGGTGCGATTTGGGCTACACGGACAGGGCATTTCTCATGCGGAAGGTGCATCAGGATTGGTTCTAAAAACCTGTGATGCTAGGGCATACATCACAGACAATCATGGGTCATGAGAAATATGCATGACAAATCTTGCACAGTGTGTCGCACTTCGGTTTAGCATGACAAATCTTGCAGTCTTCCAGACCCAGACATTTTTGCAGTGCATAAAAAGTTGTGAGGATCAGTCTATTCGGAAGAACGGCGGCTTTCCTATTGTGAGGCAAAGTGGTCCCCTCTCCCCATATTGAAAAGGTACCATGCACATGCTCCTCAAAATTTCTGACGCTGATTTGTGACCACAAATCCTGTCATCTCTCTTGCAAGTAGGAGGCAAATAATCCGAAGATGAATCCGCCGACTTTTTATGGAGGCGATTTCTTTGTAAAAATGCTGTCTCACGACCTGCTTCGTGGCAGCGCAGGAGGCCTCTGCTATTCTAAGCACCCACACCAGACCGCCCCTGCACAGGCTTTGGCTTTGCCTGCGATGCCTCGCTGCAAGACTAGAGAGCTGATTTGTGTACTACACAGAAGATCCACCAGAAGCAACCTGGCATCAAAGCCGATGAGTTCGGGCTGGGGGTTCTTGCGACGGGGGGTTATGGAACTGGCAAGAAAGCCGATGAGTTCGGGCTGCTGGCTGATGTTCCACTTCCTCTACTTAGCGGTACCAGTTTATTCTTCGCCCTTACCCACAAAGAACCCAGCAACAGAAATTTGCTTTTCAATATGGGAGGAATCATTTATTTTCATTTTGATATTTCCATGCATCGGGTTCATCTCGGAAGACACGCTGGCGATGTCTGGGGGGAGCTGCGTACGGTTTTTCGGGGAGGGCTCGCTGGTTGGAAAACAACATACCGGATTCTTGGGTATATGCATTGCAAAAGTATCGTACTAGTAGTAGTATAAATTGCATCACAAATAATTTCATTGGCAAGAAGAAAAGTGGAATTGGTAATGCTGTTTTACCTTAGGAAGGAGATTCGTCATGCATATAATTTGCAATTAGAAGTACGACTACGATACTTTTGCACACCAGCTGGATAGGGGACCAAGTGGAACAATCTTCCTTGCCAGCAGATCCTGATCACCACCTGGGGCTGCAACCAGGACTGCTTCGAAGCGCTGTGTTCCAAGGGCATGGCCAAAAATCTCGGGCCGCTGTTCATGGAAGGATTTCACAACTACCTCGCGAAAAACTGGGCCACGGACCCGGTGATATCCAAGAAAAAAATTGTGTTAGTGTAACTTTCTTTGGTTGACAGCATCACAAATTTGCTCTACATGACAGAGAAAGCCTGTCATGCGCGGCTTGTAAGGGAAAACACACGTGAAAAGAGGACTTCATGGTTGTCTGGCATGACAGGTGTAACTCTGATGCATGTTCTGCATTACAGAGCTACACTTACACAGTTTTTTTCTTGCATAGGTTACCGGAGCCAACCAGTGGCGCAGCACCGGGCTATCAAATGTAAAAATGTCTGGGTCTGGAAGGGTTGGAACTTGTGATGCAAACTCTGGAACACACAAAAATTTGTGTTGCATGAGCGCCAAAAGCTGTCCGTTTCTTGGCACGCAAGTAGGAAGTTCCTCATGCGGGACAGGCAACGTGAGGCGTGCTCAAACCTGTGATGCTTCTGCCTGCATCAGACGCCACTTGCGTGATCCGAAATATGCATGACAAATCTCAGAATCTTCCAGACCCAGACATTTTTACATTTGATACGGGCTGACTCTGAACCACTTCCGCATCAATTCCATGCAGTGCGGGTTCGCGCCAACAACGCCCGAAAGTCCGTCCGACTATCAAGTGTAAAGATGTCTGGGGCCGCTGGATGAAGATTGCGAGGTTTCTCATGCTTGTCTGGCATGACGCTATCTTAAATCTGTCATGCACGTTCTTACCCAAGAGCTCCGCTCTTCTGTGATGCAGAAGCGCAGTTTGTCTTCATGCAGAAACAGAATAGGCAACGCCTAGGAGCTCAGAAACCTTTCATGCTGAGCCAGCATTTGTAGCCCCATCATGATGACACGCCACCCAGCATCACAAGTTTCCAGACCCAGACATTTTTGCATTTGATACCGAAACAAGGATTACGATGCTCGCAAATGCAGCTTCGTCGGGGTGGAACGTCTATTACAATGAAAAATGCCGCCTCGACCCCATATCAAAACGGAAATCTGTGATGCAGATTTGTGGTCACAAATCAGCTTTGTGATGCTAGAAGGCAAAAGATGCGGACTGTAGTGCTGCCTAGCGTGGGACGAGAGCCTTGCAGCTCCAGGATGACAGGAGGCAACTGGAAGGGGGAATAAACTGCATGACAGATTACCTGCACGCCGCCCGCTTCTGCTTTCTGTTTCCTTACGTCTCCTTGTCCCTACCTTTCGCTTTGCTCGTGCCGAGACTCCTTTTCTCGGTGCCAGCACTTCACACCCTACGGGGCCTGAGGTTGCTACATGCCTGGTGATTACGTGTATGGGAGTCAGCATACACTTAGAGTTGTGATCTCCCTCGGGTCGGTTTTCTTCTTGTGTCGCTTTCTTTTGTGCCGCCGGCGTTCTTCAACAAGAAGACTTTCTCGCGCCTGATTGTCTGCTATGCATGTGAAAAATTTGTATGTCGATGTGGTTGCACGGGACTGAGACTGAACAGACGGCGAACGTTTTCAGTTTTGACGTGTGTCGGAACTGACACTACAGTGGCCAGCCCGAGTAGAGCTTGTTCGTTCCTTGTGGCTTTCGTGTTCCTCTGTCTGTGCCATGGGTCTATGAGAGACTTCGACGTAGAAGTAGTAACGGTAGTTTTGTAATCCACGTATTTTTCGCGTGGTTGTCCTAGGTGAGCTAGCACCCGTACCTATGGACAACCATCCAAGACGCGGAAAATAGAGAGCACTTTGGTCCTTGGCTTTCTCTTGTTTGGTCATGAATTTCGAGCCACTTCTTAGGGTGGTCGAGAAAGTCAGGCTAAAGACGGCACGGGCAGAAGTGGATCGGTTTAGACGCGCGCTAGTATGTAGTGCTAGTGCAGGAAAATTATATTGAGTTTAGCTTGGGTTAGATAGTTTCTTTCCCGTCTTGGGGTTTGTAATGTAGTTGCCCCGCCCTTGTTTTTTCGGGCGTGTTCCGACCTTTTGCATGATCTGATGCTGTCTCGGTCGGTGGCGTATGCGGTTCCATCTCTGCTCCCTCGGTTGCGGACGTTTTTGCATTTGTCCGCTGCGACAGTTCGCCTTGTTTGCGGCTGCTCGCCATGAAAGCAACTACATTATATCTTGTTTCACTTTTTAAGAGGGGTTTCTTCGTAGTTGGGACTGTGCCATAGTAGATCCTTTACCGCTTTTTTACCTTTCTTTTATCCCTCGGCGCTGGTGGGTCTGCCGGCAAAATTATCCCTACTCAGATAGCTACAAAGCTCGTCCCGCAGCCGTCCCAGGAGCTTTTGTAGCTGTCTCTCGGTAGAGATCGCTTTGTCCGTGCTTATTCCGCTCAGAGTCTGCTGAGTAGGTGGTTACCGTTTGTAGCTTTTATAAAGAAATGGGACGCCCTGCCCTTAGCCTTCCAACATGACAGATTACCTGCAAAAATTTATGGCGCAGCTACGTCTCTTGGCCTTCTAGCAATACAAAACGATAATTTGTGTACTCAAATACTTTACAGCATCACAAATTCATCGCGCATCTTCCGTTTCCGATATAATGGGGTCCTCGTGGGGGCTTTTTTCACTGTAATAACATCGACAGCTTCCTCAAGCACCCGCACAAACTCCAGTTTACCGTGCACAACGTCAAGGACCAAGCAACCGCGGACCGGATCAAAACGCTGCTGTCCGCCGCGGGGGCCTTTTCCTTCGGCGGACAGGAATCGACGGGGTTCCCTGTCAGCGTGCAGGCCGACGCTGCGCGCGACCTCGTGAACGAAGTGACAAACATGCTCTATGCCGGTCACCATTCGTACCAGGATCCGGGGACCACCGGCGCGTCGAACTTGCGGACGCACATGCGCAACGGACTGTACTTGTTGGAGGAAATGGTGGGAGAGAAAGCCGTGGGGGAGCCGGGGGCGTGGGACCTCGCTACAGGACGGTACTCCTCGCGGAAAAGGTACCAAACGGGGCCCATCATCCAGATGCTGGCGGCGCCTCTGAGTCCGGGTGTCCACAACGACTACAATGCTAGCAGCGCCTATGGGTGTGTCAGGATCGAAATCGCCAGAGTTGAAATAGTTTGCAATGCAGAAAATGCATGACGCGAGGTACGTGCGTTGCAGAGCAGACCAAAGTGGTTGTAGGCGCTTAGGGCGAACTATGTATGTAGCGCTTCGGGCCCTTCCGTGCGGCCATTTGTATGTCCCGCAACGGGGTTCGCCTAAGTCGGTCATTTGTATGCAGGGCGTTGGGTTACCCGGTCGGCAGAGCCGACCCACAACGAACGAAGAGCAGGCAAGTGAGGCAGATTGTAAGCCTGTTTGGCGTTAGAGCTCGAGCTGCTAAAGTAGCACGACAAAAGCAGTCTTCTGTGCCCAAACAGCATGGCAAACTGGATACAATAAGAACCACCAAAATTTGTCACGCGCTCCTTGGAAAATCAACTGGCATTCATTTTATGCATGGCAAATCATTTTAACTTTGTAATGAATTTCAAGCCTGACGGCTCCATAGCACCGCCGCCATGCTGGATTACCGAACCGGCGCGGAGTTCCTTGTGAAGCAGACCGTCGCCGTATCAAAATGAAAAATCCCCCCTCCCCATACCTCCAAAGCGGGACACTTCTGAAAATTTGGGTTACATTCCAAATCACGTTATCAACTTGGAATCACGTTAGTGGAATCGCGTTTGCAATAGAATCAAGTTAATGGAATCAAGTTAGCAGAGTCTGGGTTTAGGGTTTGGGGTCTAGGGTTCGGGGTTTCTGGTCGTCGGCCAGGGCAGCTGCCCTGGCCGGCGACTCTCTCCGCTGTCCCGTTGTTGTGCCCGCCGCTGTGGCCCCGCGCCCGGCCCTGCCCGCCCTTGGTTGTGGCTGTGTTAGTTGTCCGCCGTGGTTCTCGTTGCTTCCCTCGGTCAGCTCCTTGGTCGGCTGGGCGCAACATTGATTCCGGCGGACGTTTAGGCTGTAGACATTTCGTTGCCTAAGTTGTTTCGCTTCCTTCCAGTTGTATCAACTCGATTCGGCAAACGCGATCCCATAGCAAACCTGATTCCGTTAATTTGATTCGATTAGTAAACGTGATTCCTGATTTTGCCTAACGTGATACGGGTGACTTCCGAAAATTTGTGATGCTGATTTGAGGCCACAAATCGTCTCTGTATTGCAAGAAGGCAAAGCCAAAAAACTCGTCGCGTTCTGCAGGCAATTTGTCACGCTGTATGGCCTACGGGGGATATGCGAGCGTGCCGCGCTAGGCGCCTACACCATCAAAACGCTCCCACTCCGGCTTTGTATCTGCCTACAGTCCTCTACTACAGGGGAAAGCTGATTTGTGTACACAAATCCCGCAGCACAGATTGCCACTTTGATATGGGGAGGGGGGATTCGTTTTTCCTTTTGATACGCCGCGCCCACAGTCGCAGACATGAGAAAACTGATGAATGAAATGCAGCTGGCGCAGGGTTCGGACCCGCCCGCCATGTCCCTCGTTCCGACCGCGAAAAAGATCTCGGTGTACGTGCCCCTCGAGCTGTATGGCATTCTCAAGCGTTACACTCTCAACTGTTACATGAACTTGTCATGCAAAAGTACCATGATCATCCACAAGATCAAGCTGCTTCGCGTGACAAATTCGCGAAGGGCTAAACAGCACCAAAATCTGCGCAAAATTTGTATTGCAAAAGGCGCAACCTTCCTCCTTTCACTTTTTCCATTCTTGCATCACAAATTCATGTTGTAACAGTTGAGAATGTAACAGCTGAGAACGCCATAAGCTGAACTTCAATGCCACCCTGGACGGGACCGATTGCACAGAGCAAAAACTGTGGCAGGCGGGGGGCCTCGGCTACAAGGTGTTGGCGTCCCTTTACCACTTCCTCGTGGACGACATCGAGTATTTCGCGAAAAGCCGAACGGTATCAAATGCAAATATCGATCTCAGTCTGGAAGAATGCAATGTCATTTGTCATGCACGGCGACGGCTAGCATGGCTCGTCTCAAGTCTGTCATGCATTTCTTGCACGCCACCCAAAAGCCACGCTTCCCTGTCATGCAGATGAAACGCAGTTTGTCATCCAGATAGGCAAGAACACTTCTATACTTAAGCAACTTCAAAACTTGATGTCATGATTGGCTGTCAATGAAGGCGTCCAGCACTTGATGATTCGCCAAACAGCATCAACACAAGTTTCCAGACCCAGACATGTTTGCATTGCATAAGCGGCGAGCTCCTACGCAACTACATCTGCAGCGGACGGAAACAAGCCGCACCCCGTATCAAAATGAAAAATCCCCCCTCCCCATATTAAAACGGGGATTTGTGTAGCATGATTTGTGATCAAAAATCACGTTGTCATGCTAGAAGGGAAGTAGAGACGCGGACTCTAGTACTGGCTGGCTGTGGAAAGCCTTGCGTCTTCAGCATGACAGGAAGCAACTAGACAAGCGGCAAACAGCATGACAGACTAGTACCTGCAATAACGAGGCCGCAACTGCGTGGTCTCTTGGCCTCCTAGCAATACAATTCGATTTGTCTATATGCTTATGCAAATACAGCATCACAAATCTCCTTTTCGATATGGGGAGGCGGGGGCATTTTTCCTCTCAATACCTCGACATGTTCAAACTGCGTAGCGCGGTGTGCTACTACCGTTGCCCAGCGCGTGGGAGTCTTTTCAAGAAGAGCGAAGTCATGCCTGAGAGCGAAGGAAACGTTTACATGCAATTCATGTACCGCCTCTACAAAAACAAGGCCGACTATGGGAGTCGTGTCAGGATTGAAATCGTCAAAGTTGTTGAAAAGATTTGGAATGCATAAAGCCAATTATACCAGTAGTAGCCCACTCATCAAGTGGCGCATGACAAATTTTCTGAGCACCGGAATCCAATTTGTCTTTGTCATGCTATTTGGGAACACAAACAGAAGACTGCTTTTGTCATGCTCCTTCAGCAGCTCTATGCCAAACCGTTAACAGGCTTGCAATCGGCCTCACTTGCCATCCCAGCAAGACAGGCACTCCATGCGTTGCATCTTATGCATGACAAACTTTTTCAACTTTGGCGATTTCGATCCTGACACTCCCATACCGACTACTGCGCCGTGTACACAAGTGAAATATGCCCCCGCCCCCGGAAGTCAGCAATTCTGGGGTGCTTAGGAGGCGCCCCATCTGGTGATTAGGAAGCTACCCATCTGGTGCTTGAGAGGCATTCGTCTTGCAATATTTGGCACCCGAGTCGGGCTCCGGAAGCTTTTGGCGCGGTCATGCACAAAAACGAAATCTGGGAAAAGCTCGACAGGCGACTTCAATTATGAGTCGGTGAATGCAAGCGATCCGGCTGCCAAATGGGGGCGCATTTGACAACCGATCTGCCGGAATCCGGCGGCGCAGAAGGAGCCGGCTTTGTGGCTGCCGAATCGGGCCTGTAGCATGCGGATTCTCTTTAGAAAAGCCGCAATCTTTTTGAGCGCCAGATCCCGGCAGATCGGGTGTCAAATGCTCCCCCATTTGACACCTGGATCGCCGGACTTGCCGCATCGGGCGAGTGCAGCGCCCACCTTTTGGCGCCTGCATGCAAAAACTTCACATGCGTGCTGCAAAATGTCACAAATCCGGAGCCTGACTTGGGAGCCAAATAATGCAAGATGGTTGCCTCTTAGGCACCAGATGGGATGCTTCCGAAGCACCAGATGAGGTGCCTCCTAAGCACCCCAGAGTTGCTGACTTCCGGGGGCGGGGGCATATTTCACTTGTGTACCGTGAGTGAGGACACCAGATGGCACTGGACCGAAAAGTATGGAGTGCAAATATCTTACTTTCTGGATGTCTGGAAGAATGCAACTTTTGATGCTGCATTTGGATTCCAAAACAAGAATCTGCAGTGCATGAGCAGCAAAAGGATTTTCATTTTTGCTATACTGAGAGGTGGGAAATTTTGTCATGCGGAAAGATGGGCATCATCATCAAGAAGCCCTTCAAGAATCTGTGATGCTAGGGCATGCACCTTAGACATGATCATGGCTGACGATGGCTGACGCAAAACGTGAATGACAAAAGTCCCAGATGAATCTTCCTGACCCAGACACATTTGCATTTCATAAATATGGGACCCAAGTTGGGGTGTCGACGGGGAGCGACAACTATGCAATGCAAAAGTATAATCGTACTAGTATATTAAATTGCATTACAAATTCCACCCCCAGCATTACAAATTGAATTTGTAATGGTGATTTACTTTGACAAGTGGATTTGTAATGCATAAATGCAATTACTACGAGTGCGATACTTTTGCACAGGATAGCAACGGCGTCGCCAAACTCTGGTCGGACAAGTTTGGTTATGCAAGAAAAAAACTGTGTAAGTGTTATAAATGTATGCCCGGGTAGCAACAGGCTAGCGAGCCTGTGAGCCTAGGCTGAGGATGGTCGGGCGGTATTTTATGCCCGTGTCCGCCCTCAGCCCTTAGTTTACGGTAGCCAGGACTTGAGAAGATTAGTCAGGACAACCCACCGAATTTCGGGGTGGTATTTGTTCGCCTTCTCTTGTTCCCAGGGAGTAACGCCCCTGCCGTTGGTAGTAAGTCTCGTTTGTCCCGCTTTGCGGATGATCGTTAGTCCCGCTTTGCGGATGATCGTTAGTCCCGCTTTGCGGATGATTGGCCCGCTTTGCGGATGATTGGCCCGCTTTGCGGATGATCGTTAGTCCCGCTTTGCGGATGATTGTTTGGCCCGCTTTGCGGATGATTTGGCTTCCGCTTGTCGGAAATTTTGGCTTCCGCTTGTCGGAAATTTTGGCTTTCCGCTTGTCGGAAAATTTGGCTTCCGCTTGTCGGAAATTTTGGCTTCCGCTTTTTCGGAGCCTCGAACTTTGGCTTCCGCTTGTCGGGAAATTTGGCTTCCGCCTTTCGCAAGTTCTGGCTTTCGCTTGTCCGAAGGTCTAGCTTGGTCCGCTGTGCGGGAATTTTGGACTCCGAAGGTCGGAAACGTCTCGTTGCCAGCTATCTATGCGGGATAGGTGTTGTCTGGCCGTTCTGTCCTCGGGACGAGGAACGGCGGTCGGTCTCGCTTTGCGATGGGAGGAGGGGTCGTTTGGCACTGGCGGTTCGAACCCGTTACCCTTGCGAACTTTCTCCCTGACTAGAGCGCTGGACTTCGTTGGATCTGCTTTGAGATAAATATCCGGACTTCCCCTCCCATCGCTATGCGAGACCGAGACTCGTCCGATTGGTTTGTAATGGGGCTATGCTAAGCCTGGGCGATCGCGGTTTTTCGTTCTATTTGGCGGACCCTTCTGATAGGCCCGCGTCTTAGTCTATCGGCCCACTTTTCAGCCCGTCGTCGTTCGTTGCTACGCCTTCATCGATGGGGCGCACCGGTTTCCCAAATTCATCTACTGGCCGCAAGCGCCACAGCGGGTTCTTTGGGATGCTTCGGCGTATCCGGCCTCCGCCGGTGGGTCAGGTGCTCCATCTCCCTGGGCGCCTCGACGACGCGGTGGGGGACTGCTCCCACCGAGCGGCCATCCATTGGGTGGCCCGTCTGCGGTAACTGCATAAAATGTATGCCCGGGTAGCAACAGGCTAGCGAGCCTGTGAGCCTAGGCTGAGGATGGTCGGGCGGTATTTTATGCCCGTGTCCGCCCTCAGCCCTTAGTTTACGGTAGCCAGGACTTGAGAAGATTAGTCAGGACAGCCCACCGACTTTCGGGGTGGTATTTGTTTCGCCCGCCCCCCCTCCCATTTGCTTCTAGGTGGTTACGTTACCACGGATGGGCCGCTAAGACCTCGCGCCGCCCTTTTCTTACGGGGTGTGACAGAGGTCCATGTCTTCCATCGCGGGTCAGGTGCTCCATCTCCCTGGGCGCCTCGACGACGCGGTGGGGGACTGCTCCCACCGAGCGGCCATCCATTGGGTGGCCCGTCTGCGGTAACTGCATAAAATTATGTTACGAAACACGCACGGCATGCACCGAAAGTCGCTGAATTTTTGTCGTTCCAAAACGCGCAAAATGGTGTAAAAATCGACTCAAAAACTTCAAAACGATGGCAAAAGCCACGAAAAACGCTACAAATCGGATAAAATGCGACGAAAAAAAAGTCCGCGAATATTCGCCGAGATTTCGCAAATTGCCGCGGTTCGGGCCTGCGTTTTTGTAAATGAAATGGGACAAAATGCGCGCAAATTGAGTCAATAGCATGCGAAATCGCGCAAAATGACACCGGAAACGCACCAAATTAGTCAAAAACGCAACAAATGAGGCCAGTAGTATAGCAAGCGGGCAAAAGTGGCACCGTTTTGGCTTAGTACAATAACAAAAGCAGCAAAATGGCCGCAGAAGCGAATCAAAAAGCACGAAAACGCGCAAAGCTTGCCTTATTTTGCTACAAATGGATCAAAATGCGCGCAAATTGCGTCAATAATTTGCGAAACGGTGCAAAATGGCAGCGAAGTCGGGCTGTTTTGTTTCAAAACGCGCAAAATGGTGCAAAAATCAGACCAAAAACGGCAAAGCGATGGCAAAAACTACAAAAAGCGCTCCAATAAATCAAAGAAAACGCGCCCGCGTATATGCGCCACGTTTGTTCAAATTGTTACGGTTGTGGCTTGGTAAGCAAAACACAACAAAAAACCGGCGAGGCATCCTGGAACAGAGTCGCGCAAGGAAGAAGCAGCACGCGGGCGCGTGGGTTGCCGCGTTTGGAGTTTTGCTGTGTGCATCTCGGTGCATAAATCAGACGGGCTCGGTGTTGGCGCATCCACAACCATGGCCAGGGCGTGTGGCGTGACCTGACGCTTGCGAAAAAAGTCCAAGCGCGCCACGTTGCTGAGTAACTTGCTCCGCTCTTCATATATGAGCGACTCTGGCGCGAAGTCTATCACTCACGCGAGAAATTCCGGCCACGCTAGGCAAGCTTTTTCTGGCCTTCATGTTGGTAAGCTTTTCTGGCCTTTCATCATTGAGCGAAACCGTTGCAATTTGCGACGCGTCTTCAACTCGACCAGATACCACATAGCCCGTCCCATGCGTAAGCGCGTCGACATCTGAGCCATGCAACAACTCGCCTGATATTGTCACGCCTTGAACGGCGTGGAACGTCAGGCGGGAGCACCCCGGGCGGATTTTTTTTCTGAAATATGGCTAATTTTCCCGGTATTCCAAAAATTCCGGCCGCCCTTTGTGGGTGACCCCGTCCGTCCCCGTCCGGAGCCCGTCGGGTGAGGCCGGTCGGCCGGTCGTGTGTTGCGTCATTATCTGTCCGTGGTTAGCCTGCGCGCAGGCCAGAAGCCGCGGAAGCCAGGCGGCCTCCGCGGTTTCTAGGCTTTTAAAATTTAAAAATTTGGGTCGTTTTCCGGGGTAAAGCGGGCCGCGCAATTTGGTGGGCTCGCGTTGGTGTCTGGCGTGGTTGGTTTGCCGGCCATTTGTTGTTTCCTCTGGGTTACGTCGTTGGGGTTGTCTTTGCCTTGGATCCGCCGATCCGACATTGCGCATGATTCTGCGCGTTACCATTTCAGGTCGTGACGTCGTGTTGGTCTGTGTCTTTTTTGGGGAGAGGGAGAGGCTGTACATCAGGGACATGATGTTCGATATATGTCGAGCACCATCTCCCGACGTCGCCTGCAGTCAGAGATTTCAGGGCGCGAAATCTCTGACAGCCAAGTTCCGGAAGATCGGAAAGACCTGTTTTCGACCTTCTAAAACTGGTCAATCATGCTTCCGAAATGCCGGCCGCGGTCCTTCTAAAATCCGAAAACTCGGATTTTCCACGGGATTTTGCGCTACCGGGCATTTTAGAAGATTTTTAGAAGCCGGGCAGGTTCCCGGATTTTTCGTCTTCGGACGGAAAATTAAAAGTTTTTTAGAAGTGGCTTTTAGAAGCCATTTTTAGAAGGTCATTTTAGAAGTGGCTTTTAGAAGCCACTTTTAGAAGGTCATTTTAGAAGCCCATTTTAGAAGCCCATTTTAGAAGCGAAAATTAGAAGGTTTTTTAGAAGGAAAATTAAAAGCCACTCCAGAAGCGAAAACCTGCGGCAAGAAGTCATGTGGGGAGATGACTTCTAGGATTCGCTTCTGGAATGACGTCGCAGCCTGCGCTCTGATTTTCGCTCGGGGGCCGGGGCTCTGGGATCTTCTTTGGAGAGCGCCTGTGGGGTGTCTTGTGAATCGGGTTGGGTTGCGTGGGGTTTTCATTTATCGCAACCCCACCGAAGGGGCGGTGTTTGCATGGGTTGCGCAACACAGGGCAGTTGGGATCTTTATGATGCCGGTTTTTTTGCCAGCAGGCATTCGGGGTGGCCGCCGCGGTCACCCCTATTGCTTGCTGGCATTGTTGTTCCCCTCCCCATTCCCGACGGCGGCTTGCCGAAAAAAATGAAAAACCGGGAAAATTAGAAGTAGACTAGAAGGCGGAACCGCCCCGGGCCTTTCCGCCTGAGGAACGTTTTGCAATACGCTAACCGCAAGGGAAACTGCAAAGGCCGACGCTGTTCCCCATAAGCTTCGACCATCTGAATAGGCAGACGCGGCACGAGCAGCATGCTGGTGAGTGGCTCTGCGTCAAGTGCGTCGCTTTCGCCTTCGATTTCAACTTCGGGCGAGACGAAGTCACGCCCTACATCGCGCGCGATGCTTCTCGTGTGCTTCACGGCGGACCCATAACGCCGGCAAAATTCCACGCGAGACCCTTCGACGAGCTCCAAGGCGATGGGCGGGCAATCGTTTCCGGGTACTGTTTCGCAAATGCTTTCACGAGGAACACACCCGCGGCGCCCTTCCGCGCGATATGTCACTGCTTTAGCTCTGGGGCTAGACGCGCGATGCGTTTTGCGAGCGAGTTTGCTCCACCGACGGCACTGGCGATGCGTAGCGGCTGAAATTTGCGCGCGTGGTGATAAGACGACGCGCTCTGCGGCTGTTATTTTGTTAACGTGCTCAAACCTGTGCAAACCAATTTCCTGCGATTCCGTCGCCAAAGTTTCGACAAAATCGGCCCAGCTCTGTTCGGTGTTGGCGTTTTTTCGCCCTAATTTGTCCAATTGGTGAAGCCCTGCGAAGGGTTTTTTTCAAAAACGGAACCGCATGCAATGAATGGGTTAGCAGATCCGCGCGAGCGACTGGCAAATGTGGCCCGTAAACTGATGGCAAAAGCCACAGCAAAACGCTTCGAATCGGTGAAGACGCGACGGAAAAACGTCCGCGAATATTCGCCGCGATTTCTCAAATTGTCGCGGTTCGGGTTTGCGTTTTTGTGAATCAAATGGGACAAAATCAATGCGCGCGAATTAGGTCAGTAGTTTGCTAAATGGTGCAAAATGAAACCGAAAACGCACCAAATTAGTTAAAGCGGCTCGCTTGGCTTGGTACATTAGCAAACGGAGCAGAATAGCCGCAAAAGCGAAACAAAAGGCACAGAAACGCGAAAAATGACACAGAAACCAGACCAAAAACGCCAAAACGGTTGCCAAAGTCGCGCGCAGCGCACCAAATGGAAAAAAGTGCGACGGAAAAAAACCCGCAAACATGTGCCGGGATTTCTCGAATTGTCGCGGTTTCGGCTTGCTTACTTGTTAATCAAATGGGGAAAAATGCGCGCAACTCACGACAGTAGTTAGCAAAAGACCACAAACTGACAGCGCAAACTCCTCAAATTGATCAAAACAGAGCCAAGGCGACGCGAATGCGAGCCCAATCCCGCAAAACGGCAACGAATGCAGACAGTAGCTAATCAAATGAGCCACGAGCGCACTCGTTTGGCTTGGTACATTAGCACACGGAGCAAAGTGGGGGCACAAAGAAAATAAAGCAAGGGAAGTCGGCGCGGTTGATAATCAAACGAGCCCAAAGCGCAAGGATCTCGCCAAGTATAGCAGCAAGCGACGAAGGGGCAGAAAAACGTCCAAACAGCGCAACAGGCAGCGGAATGAGCTTGCATTGCAATCCAAACCACACCGGTGCCCCATGTTGGAGCGGTAGCAAAACAACTGGCCCACAGGCGCCGGCTAGGCCTAATACAGGCGCAAACGTGACGAAATGGGACGCAATCGCACGCGAAGAAGGCGGCAAGCGGGTGCGCGGGTTGCAGCGTTCAGCCCTTTGGCTTTGCATGCCTCTCGACGTTATTAGCCACATCGGTGCAAAACTTGCTTCGGGCATAGCACTGGCGTGCCCGGGGCCGATCGAAACCGAAGCAGCTGGCGCGAAATCATTCACGCAAGAAACCCCGGCCGCACTATTTTGGCGGACTTTTCCGGCCTTTCGTCATTGGGCGGCACCATTTCGATCTGCGACTCATCTTCGACCCGACCGAATACGACAGGGCAAGGCAAATTCTTTCCCGCGGGGCGGCGCGGCATGCAACTCAGAGCAACGAACCAACCAGCGAAAAGACGCAGCGGCCAGGCGAGCGAGGGCGCGGAAACTCCCTCGGCGCCCTCTACCATTGGCGCCCGGCCCGCTCGCCCAGGGCCAGGCAAATTCCCGTGGGGCGACGCGAAACGCAACTCAGAGACACGAACCAACCAAAGCAGCGACACAGCGGCCAGGCCAGAGCACGGAGACGCGGCGCCCCCTACCACTGGCGCCCGTCCCAATCGCCCAGGGCCAGGCGAATTCCCGTGGGGCGGCACGACATGCAACTCAGAGGCGAGCCAGCCAAGGCAAAAGCGCAGCGCCCAGGCAAGGGCGCGGAGACTCGACGCCCTCTACCACGGGCGTCCGGCCCGCTCGCCCAGGGCCACGCAAATTCCCGCGGGGCAGCGCGATAAATATGAAACGCGGAGCAACACAACGACGCAGCGGCCGCGGCACGGACACAAGGAAGATAGAACCGGCCGCGGCGGCCACCTTGCCTGCTATTTGTCACGGTCTGGGAGCGCAGGCGCCGGGAGGGCAGTCGCCGTCCCCAAGGCGCCGGCCTCTGATCGCTTCCCTGTCTTTCTTTTGCCAACCGCCCCGGCAAGCGTTCGCGTTTTATTTGAATCGATTTCGGGGAGCGCTGCGCGTTTCATTTTCGGGCCCCTTTCATGCAAATCAAGAAAGTTTCACTTTCTCGGGCCGTGCTCTTTCGCTCCCTCTGCGGGAGTAAGTCTGTGACGCAGAAAGTGCAAAACAGTTACACTTGTCATGCTGGACATGCGTCTGAAGCTCTCTTCGTACGTGTTTGCACGTACTAGGCGCGCGTGACAGGCTCTCTCTCTCATGCAGAGCAAATTTGTGATGCTATTCCTCCAAGAAAGTTACACTAACACAGTTTCTTTCTTGGATATTGGTGGCAAGGAATCCTATATGCATTGCAAATGTGTCTGGGTCTGGAAGAATGAAGCCTGTCATGCGAAGGCTGGATCACGAGAAAGTCTGTGTTGCATGATGAACGCCAACAGTTAACGAATTCTCGCTAGGTAAAACTAAAATAACGGGAATTTCTCATGCGGAAGAGGCATCCATGAGGAACACGAACAAGGTCTCAAAAAATCTGTGATGCTTCTGTCTGCATTCCAGACCATGTTGAGTGCTGTGGTCCGCGAGATGCATGACAAATCTTGCAACTTCTACTTTCCAGACCCAGACACTTTTGCATTTGATATCACTTCCCGGAGACAAACACAATCTGTGGCAAGGTACCTTGCTACAATTTCCCCAGCTCCCACTGGACGCGTTCCCCCAGTTTGCGACGGGCGCGGGTTTTTTTGTGGACATCTACGGAAATTTCGAGAATGGCGCGCCGCCGGACCTTATCAAATGCAAAACCAAAAGTGTCTGGGTCTGGGAGATTCCGAAATTTGTCATGCAGTTTTTTCCAGCTCCCCCACGTCTGGAATCATGCAAGGCCTAGCATCACAGGTTCTGCAGCAGCTCCATGGTGATAGATGCGTATTCTGCATGAGAAATGCCCTCTCAGCATGGCCCGCAGAACAGGTGGGCACCTTTGGCACGTTATGGTGCATCTTCACAGATCTTTGATGTAGTATGAGGATCCGAACAAATACGCCTCACAAGAAGTTCGGATCCTTCCAGACCCAGATCGATATTTGCAATGCATAGACTTGAACTACGCCACCATGCCGGCCCACCACCAGCGGCTACTCCAGCGCCGCTTCAACATATGACTGTGCACAACTCCCCCTCCCCCTCATTTGTCTTGCATGAACAGCAAAAATATTGCAGACACGCCCACCACCTGTGGCTGTAGATCCTGTGCATGTGACAACAAGTTCATGCGCCTAGTGTAAGTAAGTACTTACTTACTTACTACTGTTCAGGCCTCCACCACCGGAATCTGTCATGCAAACAGTACCACGCAGCGGCGCTTGGATTTGGTATTTTGCATGACAAATGAGGGGGGGGGGTTGTGCACTCTCATACAACGCGATGCTGAAGCGGAAAGCTGCCACCGACTACGACAATCCGTCTTTGGGCGCTTTGGTATGCAAGAAAAAAACTGTGTAAGAAGTGTAAGTCTGTGATGCAGAAAATGCGATGAAACAGTTACACTTTTCATGCTGGACATCATGCATCAGAAGCTCTCTACTTCGAACGTGTTTATTTCACGTACTAGCCACGCATGACCACAGGCTCTCTCTGTCATGCAGAGCTGCAAACTTGTGATGCTATTCCTCGTCCTCCAAGATGAAAGTTACACTAACACAGTTTTTTTCTTGGATATTTGGAACAAATTGTGCACTACCCTTACCACCCGGCACACCCGCGGTTCGGTTACGCAGCAAATGCTGAGAAGTACACCCCGACACATATCATTTGTAAAAATGTCCCCACCTCGACCTCCCCAGAGTTGTCATGCAATTCTGCATGCCAAAAAAGTTTCTTATGCGGAGCCATATGAGAAGCGTTTCCTGTTCGTGTTTTGGAATTTGTCATGCTAGAATCAGCATGCTTTGCTAGATCTGTGATGCTTCTGAACTAGCTAAACAGGATCACACTACGAGGACAAACTTGTCATGCCAAACAACCAAAGTAAGCTGGCTGATTTGTCTAGCAGATTCCCCATCTTGACTCCGTATACCCGCGCAATTCCTTACATGTGAATAGCATGGTGGGCGGGAGGGGTTCTTCACATTTTTGGAAACGCCCACCGCCCCGACTAGAATAGCTGAATGATGAAAAATTGGGGGCAGGGCAAAAAAAAACTCCCATCTTGACTCTGGTGTGGGGACGTTTTTACACAGGATAACACAAGGGTTGCATGAGGGCGACTTGACGCACGTCGCTCCCTCCATGGCTCCCCCCGTCTCGGTGGGTGGCGCGACCACGGTATCAGAATGAAAAATCACCCCTCCCCATAGATATCAAAACGAAGTTGGTGATGCTGGATTTGCGTACACAAATTAGATTTGTGTTGTTGGCGAGGACTGCAGACCCATATGCTGCATATGGGTGCGCTCCTCCTCAGGCTGCCTTGCAGCCTGAGGAGACAGGTTTCGGGCTAGGCGCTTTGTTTGCATGGATGCCAGACGTCCACGCTGTAAGGTACAACAGCATCACAAACCGCCCGTAGAATTATGTGGCGGAGCCTGTGGGGTGGTTGCCGTTGCCTTCATGCAACACGGAGACGATTTGTTGTCACAAATCAGCAACGCAGATTTTCGAAAACGTGCCTTGTAAACATGGGGAGGGGAGATTTTTCCTTTTGATAGAGGCTCCTGTTGCCAGCGCGGAACCCGGTCTACCAGGCGTTTCTGAGCAACACGGAGGCGGAGAGCACTACGGCATTCTCAACTGTTACATGAATTTGTCATGCAAGACTAAGTACCTGAAGCCGCGAGATGATCAAGTTGCTCCGCAGGACAAATCTCCGTGGCTGGTCCTGTGCCAGTCGCGGGGCATGTTCGGGTGCCAGTCGCATGACGCCCCTCCCTTGGCTCCCGCAGGACGCGGCGTAGAAAGTCCATAACGCCCGGGGAAAGAAATCTCCGATCTGTGTTGCGCACAAGCAACTTCGGGGCCGGATTTCCTTTCCAGGGCGGTATGGAATTTCTACGCCCCTGCCCTGGCTCCTGCAGGACGCGGCGTAGAAAGTCCATACCGCCCGGGGAAAGAAATCTCCGATCTGTGTTGCGCAAAAGCAACTTTGGGACCGGACTTCTTTTCCAGGGCGGTATGGCATTTCTACGCCCCTGCCTTGGCCCCCGCAGGACGCGGCGTAAGTAGGAATTCTTGACCAGTAACGTCCGCCCCTCGCCTCACACCAGGCGCGGCGCGCGTCGCTAGTGACTTAGTTTGCGGCGCGTTAGTGGGGGGAGGGTCTTTGCCTGTCGTGGCCACCTGCGTGCCGCAGACACCTGTCGCGGTCACCTCTCGCGGTCACCTGTCGCGGCCACCTGTCGCGGTCACCCTGTCGGGGGGTATGCGTTACCAGAACCCGGAAGGCTTCTCTATTTTTGAAAAATAGAGAGCTGCGCAACAAATTACTCTTTGCGCATGGCAAACAGGCTCGAAATAGCTTCGAACTTCTTCACTGCAGTGGAAGTCACTTTATGGCTTATTTCTGAGACGAAAAACAAAAAACCAATCTGACTAGACGCCCGGGCTCTGTAACTGTAATCAGACACCCCAGGCGACAGGGGGCGGCGACAGGTGGGGGCGACGGCGACAGGTGAGGCGGCGGGCAGAACGACAGGCGAAACGACGGGCGAAAGGACAGGCGGCGGCGACAGGCCAAAAGTGCCAACCTTTGACGTGGTTCCGCACCAGCAGCAGCAACAAAAAAAACCGAGAGCCCTTGTTATTTCCGGGAAGGAAAACGCAGCTCTTTTATCTTTATTCACACGCAAAGATATAGAACTCCTATTGCTGAGCGGGGGCATTTAAAACTTTGCGACGGGGAGGAAAATCGTCCACGCCGAAACTTTTTTCACACTTTTCAAACTTTCCAAAAATTTCGCGACTTGCGAAACCGCTCACCGCCCACCGCTCAACCCCCATCGCCCAATTCGCAAAGTCCATCTCCCATCGCCCAATTCGCAAATCCCATCGCCAAACCCGCCACCAACCCCATCGCTTAGCCCCCAACTCCCGCCACCCACTTACCAGCTCCCAACCTTCATCGCCCAACCCCCATCGCTCAACTCTCATCGCCCAACTATTTTGCAACGCAAAATATTTTGCGCCTCGCAATATTTTGCGAATCGAAATACTCTGCAACGCAAAATATTTTGCAACTCCAAATTTTTCGCAGCTCGAAATACTTTGCAACGCAAAATATTTTGGAAGTCGGAATATTTTGCAACTCCGAATATTTTCCAACCCTCGGGAAATATTCTGACCAGAAAATATTTCGCAACAACCCCCGAAAAAACCGCCTCCCCCGTTTTTGCAGCTTTGAAAGCGGGGGGCATGGGGAGAGCAGAAGACACGGGCTCCCAACTTCCGTCGCTCGATTGCCTGCCAACCTTCATCGCCCAACCCCCATCGCTTAGCTCGCAGCTATTTTGCAACGCAAAACGTTTTGCCAATTAAAATACTTTGCGCAGCGCAATACTCTGCGACGCAAAATATTTCGCAACTCAAAATATTTCGCAACTCGAAACATTTTGCAACGCAAAATATTTTGCAAGCCAAAAAATTTTGCAAGTCGAAACATTTTGCAAGTCGGAATATTTTGCAAGCCAAAAAATTTCGCAAGTCGAAGCATTTCGCAAGTCGAAATACTTTGCAGCCCTCGCAAAATATTATGGCCAGGAAATATCTCGCAACAACCTTCCAACGAAGCCGCTTCTTCCGTTTTTGCAGCTTTGAAAGCGGGGGGCACGGGGAGGGCGGGAAACACGGGGAAAACGGGAAGCACGGGGAAGGCTGGAAGCACAGGAAAAGCGGGATGCCCAGGAAAGGCGGGGAGCACAGGAAAAGCGGGAAGCACGGGGAAAACGGAAAGCACGGGGAAGACTGGAAGCACGGGGAAGACTGAAAGCCCAGCAAAAGCGGGAAGTACGAGGAACGCGGGAAGCACGGGGAAAGCGGGAAGCACGGGGAAAGCGGGAAGCACGGGGAAAGCGGGAAGCACGGGAAAACGGGAAGCGCGGGGAAGGCGGGAAGCATCAGCCCACGGGGAAAGCCGCCCGCCCGCGCCACAGCACCAGACGAGCAGCTGCCCACCACCCATCCCCGGCGCCCTCCCTCTGTTCACGAGGAGACCGGCAGAGGGCGCCGCCGTCCGCCGCCTCTTGGAGGCAGGCAAGCACGGGGAAAGCGGGAGCACGGGGAAAGCGGGGAACACGGGGGAAGCGGGAAGCACGGGGAAAACGGGAAGCACGGGGAAAGCGGGAAGCACGGGGAAGGCAGGGGGCACGGAGAAGGTGGGAAACACCGGGGAAGCGGCCGGGAAGCGCGGGGAAGCCGGGGGGCGCGGAGATGGTTGGAAAGCGAAAGCACCGGCCCAGGGGGAAAGCCGCGCCCAAGCACCAGGCGAGCAGCTGCCCACCACCCTCCCCCGGCGCCGTCCCACTGTTCACGACGAGACGGGCAGACCGAGGGCGCCGCCGCCCGCCGCCCCTTGGAGCGAGGCTGGCTGGCTGCGCGCGAGAAGAGGCGGGGGCGGAAGAGATTGCGCGCGAGCTAACGTGTGGGGCGCCGCTGTTGTCCGGGGGTGCGGGGAGAGGGTGGCGGGCCCCTGCGCCTGGAGAGTTGGCTAGAAATGCCCCGCCCCGGCGCCCGCCCTCTATCCACGCGCGTGGCAGGGGCCACAGCGAGCCAGTCAGCCTCTGTTCTGCAAGGCTGCGCGCGGGAGAAGAAGGGGCGGCGGCGCCAAGGCGTGCAGGAGCGGGGCGCACCGGCAGGCTTCACGGACGCGCCCACACAACAGACGCGCGGGCGGGGCGTCACGCGCCAGCGCCGTGCATTGCGCGGGCTGTTTTCCTGCTTCCTTCCCCCGTCCTCTGGCGCCCGCCCGCTGCCACGCTTTGCGTAGCGTTGTTGGGCCTAAGGCTTGCCGCCTCAGAAACGCGCGCCCAATGCGGGCGGGGTCCTCGCGCTCGCACAACGACGGGAACCACGGGCGCCATGGCGCTCCGCCTTCGTTCTTTCAGCACGAAGCGGCGCAGGGGCTTGGCCCCACCCTGCATCAAAAATCTTTTCCCTTGCCCACCCTCTGACGTTTTTCTTTCCCCCCTGTCAACTCGTTCGCCCCCCCGCTGCGCGACATAAGCTGCGGCCTTGTAATTATCATGCTTCGGATATGAGTAAATTGATTTATTTTGTGCACATGAATATTGAAAATAAAAGGGTTGCGTTTTTCTTCTCGGAAATAAATGACTCTTTGCTTTTTTTTTGTTGCTGCGTGCTGCTGGTTCTGAACCGCGTGAGAAGTTGCCTTTTTTGGCCTGTCGTCGTCGCCTGTCGTTTCGCCTCTCCTTTCGCCTGTCGTTTCGCCTCTCCTTTCGCCTGTCGTTTGGCCTCTCCTTTCACCTGTCGCTTCGCCTGTCGCCGTCACCTCATGGCGTCACCTGTCGCCGTCACCTGTCGTGCGTCTGGGGTGTGTGATCACAGAGGGAGCCCGGAAGTCAGGCAATATAAATATTATTCTCCGAAGCTGGTCCGGTGCCAGTCGCGGGGCGTGTTCGGGTGTTCCGGGCGTTGGAATGTGCACCCCTCGGATCCCGCACCCCCCCGGGCTCGGTAGCGCAGTCTGTTAAGCATGACAAATGATCTCCGAGAGCAGCCTGAACAGCATCTAAATATGTGCCAAATCTGTGATGCGAAAGGTGAAAGCAGCAAGCTTAGCTTGCCCCTATGACCGTTGCCATTCTTGCATCTTCACAAATCCAGGTTGTAAAAACAATAGAGAACAATGTAAAAACAGTTGAGAACACTATAAGCACCGAACTCACTTCGGAAAACTCGCACGGGGTGCGTTTCGCGGTCGCACTCGGGCTTACCATGAAAAACTGCTATCCAAATGAAGAATTCCCCCTCCCCACATCCACATCAAAACGAAATTTCTGATCATGCATGCTGGATTTATTGCGCACACAAATCAGATGTGTCTTGCAGTAGAGGACTGCAGGCCCATTATACCATGCCAATGTAGAGTAGAGAGGTTTTGGCCTCCTGGGCACTTGGCATGAGGGACGTCTATGCTGTAGGTGGTCCAATAGCATCACAAACCGCCTGCATAATGGGGCGGAGCATATTATTTCTTGCAAGACAGACACGTCGACTTGCGGTCAGCACAAAGAAATCAGCATCGCAAACTCTGCTCTGAGGCGTGCCTTTTTGATAAGTATTTTTATGGCGAGGGGGGATTTAGATTTTTCTTTACGATAACTGCACCTCGGCCTTCATCAAGAATCAGCTGGGCCCGGCGGTGCGCTACCTGGTGTACCATCACCTGAAGGAAGCTGGCAAGAATCCCGCCCTCGAGACCGAGAACCTCTACGGGCAACTGGATCGCTATGGAAGTGTCAGAATCGAAATTGACAAAATCGAAAAACTTGTGATGCACAAAATCGATGCCAGTTAGACCCACAGTTTCTTTGTAGTCGGCGCATGACAAATTCTCCTCGTCCTGGAAGCGAATCTGTCACGCGGTTTAGTGCAAAGGAGCTGCCTTCTGTCATGCTAGTCAGCGGCCCAACACTTAGACTTAACCCCTACCAGGACTACAATCCGCCTTCCTTGCATCCTCTGCAATACAGTCGCTTTTTGCGTAGCATCTCATGCATTACAGATCATTCCGATTTTGTCGATTTCGATCCTGACACTCCCATAATCGCTTTTCGTACTGGAACCCGGACGACGACATGAGGGCCGCAGCCTGTTCGGATGGCCGCACAAACATGTGCGGCCGGTCCACGCCCGCGAAAAGCCTGAAACTTTTCTTGCAGCGCGAGCTGTCCCTGAAGCACGTGAAAGTCCTCGATGGGAATTGCGGCGGATGGCTGGCCCGGTACAGAAACGAGCCCGAGTCGGACCGTGACTGCAGTGCGGTGTGCCGATTTTCGTCGTCTGTGCAAAATACAAAATGTGTTTGTCGAGAAAACACCTGCAGCTTGCAATTCGGCTGCTTCCCCCCGAACAGCGCGGGCTACGGGGGCTTCAAGCACCCCCTTTTTAGCAAATCCGCGACCCCGTTTACGTCCGATGGCACCGAACAGAGGAACCTCCGCATGGAAATTGTGGGCCTCAACTCCATATGCAATGCAAAAGCATCGTATAACAGTAGAAATTGCATTACAAATTTTTGACTTAACATTTTCACAAATTAAGTTTGTAATGCGGCTTTGTCTACTAGAGAAAAAGATGACTTGTATTACAAGTCATTGCGTATATATGCATTAAATGCATATATACGCAAAAACTATTGCTATTGGTACTTCTACTTTTGCGCTGCATACTCCACGGAGGAGGCGTTTGCGCTGGCCACTCTGTTGGAGTACGTCACGAAGGGGGTGGAGCTGGAGTTCCAGGGGCGACTGAGTGACACTATCCTGTGTAAAAACGTCCCACCCGCCCATAGTCAACGTCGGAAATCTGCTAGACAAACCAACAAGCTTCGGCTGTTGCGCATGACAAGTTCTTTGGCGACGTCGTAGCGTGTACATAATATGTAGTGAGGTCACCGAACGGTTCTAACCTGGTAGTTTTCTTGCCATGAAGTGCCAAAAACGACTGGCAGTTTTGAAGCCTGTAAAGCGTTTTCTTGTATGAAAAAGCTCGCAGCGTGCAAGCCTGTTTGGCTTTGTTATCAACGAATCGCCTGCGGAAACTATCGGTCGCCGCTTGATAAAACGACGCAGGGGCGCCGGCAAAAGAGGCGCCCTTCTGAGGCGCCCACCGCCTTAGTTTCTGGCGATTTGGGGTGCCCAAAAGGGCGCCCGAAAAAAACGCGCCAAAAATCAGAACAGCGAAACCGCATGGCACGGCCGCGATTTCGGAGCATTTTTGGCGGCCGCGAAAGCGGCCGCCTTTTCGCCCGTTTCTAAGCGGGAGAAGCTTTGCAAAAAGCGCCAGCGCGAAAAAAAAAAACGCAAAAAAGAAAAAGCGCGCCGGACGCGCGAAGCCAATCCGCATGCTATGGGCCCGGTTTTTCTTTGGTTTTTGGGCGCCCCCCGTGGCGTCAGAATCGGGCCCATAGCGTGGGGATTGGCTTTCTTAAGGGAATTCCGAAAATTTGCCAAAAATCTGTTATGTTTTTCAACCGGCCGCCATACCGCGCGGCATAACCTTACCCACGGTGGCACGGAGGGCCCACAAAAAGCAGGCGCCCTTCCGGCTCGCGGCGGGCCAAGGTTTGGGCAAGAAAGCGCCACCGACCTCACTACCTCCGCCATGGCGGCTATATTTGGTATGTCCGGTTTAGCTAATTCGCCAGCATCGTAAAGCTAGCGTACCAGGCTGATTGGAGAATGAATGACAAACACCGAAACAGCACGGAGAAAAAATGCTTCTCATGTTGTTGGGGCTCCGCATGAAAATCGCAAACGTCCGCAGCATGCGACGTTGAGTTACAGCTAGGGGGTGGGGACCTTTTTACTTGGGATAGACGCCGCGGATCCGCAACCCCTCGACCCGGGTTTCCGTTTCGTCATGAACACTGACCTCGGACAGGGAGTGGCCCTGCACACCTATCGTAAGGAAAAATCCCCCCTCCCCATATCTAAAAGGTACTCCTCAGAAAATTTGTAATGCTGATTTGTGACCACAAATCTTTTTGTCTTGCACGTTGCAACTCTACAGTCCACTCCGCCGCATTATGCGGACGGTTTGTGATGCAGCTGCTTGAGCTTTCGCTATGGCATAGATATTTGCGATGCGAGGTTGAGACACTGGCTGCCAGCTATTTACAAACAGGAACATAGTTAGTATGGCAAACAGTTACTCGGCGCTCGCCTGAAGAAGCGAGCACACAATAGATATTTGCGATGTTAAGCGTGGCCCACGTCGGAAGCTCTGCACTCAGGCACGGCACATACCTGCAGAAGTCCTCTACTGCAAGACAGCTCTGATCTTCTGTGTACGGAAATCCAGCGTCAGGAGCTTCGTTTTGATATGGATTTTTCCTTTTGATAGCACCAATCTCAATGATTTCTTCCGGGAAATCACCGGCAAGGATGGGTACAAAAGTACCGGGACCCCCGCGCTCTATCAAACGCAAAAGTGTCGGGGTCTGGAACAACGCCACTTGTCATGCTGAATCTGAATCATGTAAAAATCTGCGTTGCGACATGGCTCGCCCGAGTCATTGACGAACCGGGAAGACGGGAGGCGGGGTCTACCGTTTTCAGACCGGCCAGCCGCCGTGAGTGGTTGCCACCTCTGTTATTGAGGGAGCGCGTGTCTTCCTCGACTGAGTTGCGTGCGCGGCCCATCCGTGTTCCGCGTAAATCTCTACAGGAGAGGGCGCGCCCCGTCGAAGGGCTCCCTTCCGGACAGAGCGCCCCGAAAGCTTTTTAGCGCACCTTTATGATGGCCTTACTGTTATAAGATTTTGGATCAGTTTGTAGAACCCAAACGGTTCATCTTTATGCTAGCAAAGGGCCAGTGCGTTGTGAACCCCTTGGACCAGGTTGACCCAGCCCCGACCGAAGTGGTAGGCGCTTCGGGTGAACTATGTATGTAGAAATAGGGCCCTTCCGTGCGGCCATTTGTATGTCCCAAAACGGGGCTCGCCTAAGTCGGTCACTTGTATGCGAGGCGTTGGGTTACCCGGTCGGCAGAGCCGATCCACAACGAGCGAGCGAATGATTGCCAAAAGCTGCCCACTTTTGACCTAATCGAGAGGCGGTTTCTACTCGCGCAGCTGTAGGCATGATAGAACTCTCACAGAATGATCTGTCATGCTACGTCCTACATACCAGACGAGGCCGGATGGGTGAGGAAAAACCTGCATGGCAAGTCTGGCATTCTTCTAGACGACCCAGACATTTTTGCACTTGATACGCTCCTCCCAGACCCCATTCTGACCGCCAACGCAGGGTCCCAGCGACTGTTTTTCAGCACGACTACGCAGTTCCTGCTGGCCCGTCACTTGGCCAATCCCGATTACTACAACCCGTCGCGTTACTACGCCGGCTTCGAGGCCCCCGTGTCTACTATGTCTGAAAAAAACGTTATCCTGAGTAAAAACGTACCCACACCAGAGTTGTAATGCAGATTTGCAATGACAGGAAGACTCGTAATGCGCATCCGCATGAGAGCCAATTCCAATCGTGTTTTGGAATTTGTGATGCTGTGAACAGGATGACCAGATGAATCTGTGACGCGGCTGCACTTGCTAACGTGCACTACACTGCAGAGCGCAACTTGTCATGCGTGACTCACAAAACTCCTAGGTTTGTGTTGCAAAATCCTCATCCTGACTCTGGTGTGGGTACGTTTTTACTCAGGATAAACGTTTACAGGGTTCCGCTCGGTGCGCTTCCCGCCTCGGATGCCCAAGACCAGCACTTCACGCCACTGGCCGCTCTGCCCGGTGGACAGCGCCAGCTCGCGCACGGTTATGATTCGAGGGGTCGCGGCTACGGCGGCATGGTTATGTTCGTGGACGGAGTGCACCAGTGGATGGAATACGGTCAAGGAAGTTACAAAAAATTTCTCCCGCCGGCTATTACAATGAAAAATTATGCCCCCACAACGAGGACCCGAGAACTTTAAGGCAATAACTTCCCGTCTTGCATCTACCAGCATCACAAATTCATTTCCATGCTAAATAGCTCGATTTTTTGCTGCAAAGGAGCCCAAGAACAGCAGCCGGATCTGTTATGGAAAGGATATCACCTTGCGCACCTAGAAGTAGATTCTGCATCAGCAAGGCTCGTGCTAGTCCTTTCATGCATAGAAGTAGACATAATTACGAGCTCTGTATTTGAGAGCCTTCTGCATGAGAAACAAACTTTCGCATATTCCGGGGTCGTCGTAGGGCCATTGTTTTTCATTGTGATAGCGAAGGAAACTTTTGGGGGCCCCCCTTACTCGGGCGTGCGGATCGGCGGGCCCCTGGCAGCCATCACGGTCGGACCCCCGGCCCCGCCGAGCGATCAGGTATGAACTGCAAATTATATGTCTGGGTCCTCTGGAGAATGTGAATGCAACAAACACAAACTTGTGATGCGCATTTCAGAGCACAGAAAAATCTCTCATGCATAGGCAGCAAAAGTTCCCACTTTCTGGCACCAAAATGGGGCGACATTTGTCCTGCGGATTCGGCATTGCAGACGCTTCTCGAATATTAAACCTGTGATGCTAGAGCTTCCATGCCAGACCTTCTGTGTCATGGAAAAACAGCATGACAAGACCCAAACGCTTTTGCATTTGATATCAGGAAGACGGCGACAACTTTTTCGGACTGGGGATCGGGGTCGGGATCGGCATCTTCGTTGGCGTGGGCTTGTGTCTCTGCGGTTGCTGCTTCGCCGCTTTTATGCACTGCAAAAATATCGTATTCGTATAAATGCATTACAAATTTCCTCAGCATGAGAAATAAAATTTGTAATGCAGATTTACCTTAACAAAAAGGATTTGCAATGCATGACTGCAATACGAGTACGATACTTTTGCACAGGATAGCCTTTTACCTCTTTCACCAGCACGGCCACGCCCAGGAGCGGGTGTCCCTATGGATTGTAAAAATGTCTGGATCCTCTGGAAGGTTGGGACTTGTAATGCTAGCTTTCCATACCTAGAAAGTCTGTATTGCGTAACGAACAAAAGTCGCAGCCTCTTTTGTCATGCAAAGTCGCAGTTTCTCATGCGGATTGCCTGTGAGAAAGCGTTAGCGTTTATTTGGGAAGTTGTCATGCCGGATTTCATTCGGAAGTGATGTTTTCATCATGCACATTTTAGCATCACAAGTTTCCAGACCCAGACACTTTTACAGTTGATAGTCCCAGCTGGAAGACCACGTGCGGGCGACCACGGGTGACCACCCGCCGCCGCCGCCGGAGAAAAAGTCCGTCGTGGCGACGGCGATCGAGCTGGTCACCAAGCCCGTCGAGTCGGTTTCGGGCACTGTCGCCGGGGTCTCGGTACGAACTGAGAAAACCGATATCGTACTAGTATCAATTGCATTGCAAATTTCCTGAGCTGCGTGAAAAATGAAATTCGTAATGCTGATTTGCCTTTAAGAGATGAGATTTGTAATGCATGGCTGCAATTAGAATTACTACGAGTGCGATACTTTTGTAATTCATACTCGGCGTCGCGGTCCTCCCAGTTCGACGGCGGCGAGATGGTTTATGGAAGCGTCAGGTTTGAAATCGACAAAGTTGAAAGAATTTGCCATGCATAAAATGGATACCAGTTGGAAGCCCAGTGTCCAAGCGGCGCATGACAAATTTTCGGAGTACGGGAATCCAATTTGTCATGCTGTTTACTTAGGCACAGAAGGAGAAGACTGCTTTTGCCATGCTCCTTTGGCAGCTCTATCCCAAATCCTGAATAGGCTCGCAATGAATCTGCCTCACTTGCCATCCCGGCAAGACAGGCACTTCATGCCTTGCATTTTATGCATTACAAACTACCAGCCATGCTCCGGCTACCGCCGGAGCGCAAGGCTGTTGTGCTGGGGTTTGACTATTTGCGGATCGGGCCGCGACGCAAGAGCCTTGGGCACAGCGTGACGGACCGAGGGAACTTCAGGCGCCATTTTGCGCGAGGTCAACCCGCAAGGCCTCCTGCGCGCTTCCCGCGCCTTTAGGCGCTATGCGCAGGGGGCAGCTGCAGTAAACTTTGGGGGCGAAGAGATGCCGCCCCGGCGTAGGTGCGTGCCGAAAGAATCAGACAGAGGCCGGCGCTGCTCTTTGTTTATCACCGCCCCGCGCCCGCCCACCTGATTCCCCGCGGAAATAAAACTGTTGGCGCGAGAGGGTGGCGCAAGAGGGTGGCGCGAGAGGGTGCGCGAGAGGGTGGCGCGAGAGGGTTCGGGCTTTTGCATGAAAGGGCCGCAAAAAATTCAGCCCTGTGCCGGGCGGATTCGGGTTTTTTTACCCCTCTCGCAGACCCTCTTTTTCACCTCTTCCGAGAGGTTTTGCTAATAATCCGGCTATACTCGCCGGTAGAGGTCTACAAAGGTGGCCGAGAGGTGGCCCAGAGGGTGCGCGAGAGGTCTCCCCTTATTCGCGCAACATCTCGGCACCTCTGCCCACCTCTCGCTTGCCCTCTTTTTTACCTCTCGGCCACCTCCGTGCCGCTTAGCGGCCCTAAAGGGCGACCGGTTCGGCGGGCTATACTCGCGCCCCCTCTCGGCCACCCTCTCGAATTACCTCCCGCGCCACCTCTCCACCTCTGTCGACCTCTTTTGTACCTCTTTTGGCCTCTTTTTGGCCTCCCTGCCACCTCTCGTTTACCCTCTCTAGACCAATATTTTCGCATGAATATAATAGATAGTAATTTATTCAACTTTGACGATTCCAATCCTGACGCTTCCATATGGTTGTGGTGACAGACCCGGTTTTTGTGGAGAAAAAGCTGTCGGTTTACGACGACATATCAAATGCAAAAATGTCCGGGTAGTCTAGGAGGATTCGAATTTGTGATGCGAAGTCCTACATCATGAGAAAATCTGTCATGCATGGCTAGCAAAAGGCCGCGCCTTTTGTTTATTCCGAGAGAGGGGATTTGTCCTGCGGATTAGGCATTCTTGGGATACCCGCTCAGAATCTGTGATGCGAAAGCTTGCATGCCAGACGATCTGGCTCATGCAAATACTGCATGACAGATCTCGCATTCTTCCAGACCCAGACATATTTGCATTTGATACGACACTCAGAGTCGCAAGTCCCGCCGGTCGTCGCGCGCGAATATCAAATGCAAATATGTCATCTGGGTCTGGAAGAATGCAACTGCAACTTGTGATGCTGTCTCTGCATTTAAAAAAATAAAACTGTATTGCATCATGACCAGCAAGAGGATTTCACAACTTTGTGCAGCTACATGGAGACAATATAATTTCTCATGCGGAATAGTCTTAGGCATCAGGAAGCTGTCTAGAAAAAAAAATCTGTGATGCTAGGTCACGCACGACTACAGGCGTCATGGGTCTTCATCATGTAAAATTTGCATGACAAGTCTTGCACTGTTCCAGACGGAGACATTTTTGCACTCCATAGCGAACAAGTCGATGCAATCTGTGCCGGACGACGAGGCCGGCGGCACGGCGATCGTGCCCTCCAGCAGTGCCAAGCCGCGCCGAAGCTCGAGGCGGCAGGATGCGGAAGCCGCACCGCCCCGGCGAAGCTCGCGGCGCGAATCCCGGATGAAGAGCATCCAAGATGACGCTGACCTCCCTGGTGCCGAGGAGCCGGACGCCATTCCGGCGGAAGTGTAGGTATTTACTACGAGGACCACGTCGAGTCGAGTATTTATCTTCACTAGTGAGCTAATAGCAGCCCAGCCTTTCATTTGCAGCGTGATTATATCAGGAGGTGCATGTAGTCACATTGATGTCTATGTCTATCCTGAAAAATGTATTCATTTCGTCAGGTCTACTCGAGCTTGCGCCGTGCCTTCTCCGTCCAAGTCCCGTGGCCGAGGGAGAAAGGGACTATTATCATGGGGTTTGTTTTACAGGGTTTTGTTTAGGGTTCCTAGTATCTAGGTGGTGGTCATGAAGGTATCTACTATCCATTTCGATCTTGTTCAGCATAAGCATTCGGCACTAATCTCGTACGAAAAAAATCGCAAAGTACTACTGCAGCATCTGTCACGTTTTGTTTACTTTTGAAGGATCTAGATCTACGCGTCGTGGTCTAGGTCCCGTACTGAAGTCTATGAATTTACGCATCGTAGTACCGTTTTATATATTCCTTTGTTTAGTTTTGATTTTGAAGGATCTACGCATCGATCTTCCCGTACTGTCTATGAGTTATCCCTCCACGACGCACGAAGAAATGGGACGACTTCTGATCAGTTCGCGAGTTGGCGTACAGGACCGGAGGTGTAGTACCGAATGGCATCGGGATTTGTCCTCTTTCTCTTTTTCTTTGACATGATTCAGCTCGAGTTATTCACCTTGGACTTAGTTGGTTGTACACAACATCAAGACTAATTACTTAGGTGCTGGAGAAAAATGCAAAAAAAATTACATATGAAAAAAACACAAAAAAATACACAGTTGTCACGAAACGCAAAAAGATACGTAATATCTTCAACACAGCACCACACGGCAGGGTAGGAAGTTGTTTAAAGTATGAAGAGCAGGAGCAGTAGCTCCGTAAGAAGTAGATGATTGCTACAACTTCCAAGACTTCCCAACTCCTATAGTGTAAGTGCATTTTTTGTTATCATGATCGATCTATTTTCACCTGTTATTCTCATTGATTTTCTATTTCTTGTTTGTTCATCTTCATTCACAGTTTTACCCATTATGAGTCTGCTAACAAATACATAATTCTCGATCCATTTCATCACGCAGCATTCATTTGTAAATTTCATCAGTACTCCCCAATCACTTTCGAACTTTTTATAAGAAAGAGCTTTTTCTCGTCCTCAGCAGCAGTTCCTTCTTGGCAGCTAAAAAGCCTCAACTTATCCCTGCTTGCCAAAAATACTACGGGTAGTGTTTAATTAAGTTGATACTGATAGATTCACGCTAAGACTCAGAATTCACTCTTCGTTAGCATTTAGATTGGCAGCTAAAAAGCCTCAATTTATCCCTGCTTGCCAAAAATACTACGGGTAGTGTTTAATTAAGTTAAATGCTTATCATTTTTCACCAGTCTCTCTCTCTCTCTCTCTCTCAGCAGCAGTTCCTTCTAGTTTTTCTAAGGTTGGAGCCAAAGCAGCTCCACCAAGTTGTCCTCTTTTTGTTGAAGTAGCGCTAGACACATGTGAAGAAAGAACAACTTTCAAGCGGTTCCATGTGACCACTCTCAACAAACAAACAAACATTTGTAAATTACAAAACTTTTCACTTATAATTTTTGTATATGAGGAATTTCCCCATTCCAACCTTGACCTTTACAGTGTTTTGTTTTACGTTTTCATGTTTTATCTGTGTCCTAGTGTCATCAAGCTACTGCACATAAGTATTCTTTACCATGTAGATGTGCGATTTACTTATCGATGTATTTGTATAATATTTTTCTTTTTGTTTGTGTATGGCGCTCGGCGGATAATTTCGCATACCCGCAGAGCACTAGTGCCCTGAGGTCAGGCTCCGGCCGGTTGTTTTGTAGTCCTGTTCGACACGACCTGGTAGCTACCGGAGGCGAAGGGGCCGCTGCCGGGTGGTTGGGTCGTCGGGGGTTAGGACTAGTGCCATGCGTGAGGAGGTAATATTAAATGGCGCTCGTTCTTGAATGCTATTGCTAGCGGCAAGAGGCGACGCCGCAGGCAAACTCCCCCCGGGTGGCCAGTCACTGCTAAAACCATGGTGGTGAAACGTCATCGGGGGTTATCCTACGTAAAAACGTCGCCACACCATAGTCAAGATGGGAAATCTGCAACACAAATCTCCAAGTTTTGGGAGTTCTGCATGACAAGTTTCCATGTGCAGTGTAATGCTGGTTGGCAAGGAAAGCCGCATGAGAAAGCCATTTACTCATTCTGTTTACAGCATTACAAGTTCCAAAACACGACTGGAAATGCCTCTCAAGGAGATGTGCATTACAAACGTTCCTGTCATTGCACATTTGCATGACAACTCTGGGGTGGGGACTTTTTTACACAGGATAGGGGTGCGGCGGTGTACGTCACCACTTCACAAGCATTCACCTTCAGGTATGGAGTTCTCAAATGTTACATTCTCAACTGTTGCATGAATTTGTAATGCAAGACTGGCAAAAGTGAAAGGAGGAAGATTGCGCCTTTTGCATTACAAGTTTGGCGCAGATTTAGATGCTGTCTAGCCCTTCCGAAATTTGTCATGCGAAGCAGCTCGATCATCTGCCGGCTCAAGGTACTTTTGCATGACAAATTCATGTAACAGTTGAGAATGTCACAGTTGAGAATGCCATATCAGGGATCTACATTACAGTATGTGGAAGGCTTGTCCGCTCACGACCTTGAGAAGCGCATATGCAATTCCATTCCTTTATTATTGTGTCTCACCCTAGTACTCGTACTCAGTCTCACCCAGCACAATTATAGTCGATGCTAAGAAGTAGTAGATGTAGATGAAGAAGAACGGCAGCAGGGGGAGAAAACAAAAAGTCAGGAGGTACGAACTACATGTGGAGCTGTTCTTTGTTGTTTGTTGCGGTGTAGTCGAAATAAATGGAGGAGAACAGCTCCTCCTGCAGCTGCTTCATCATGGAGGAGATGAACCTGAACCCCGTTGACTATAATGCGTGCTTTAAATTTAAGATTAAAAAGACTAAAAAAATTATCCGGCCAAATATGTCGCTTCAGGGACCACGCGACTGCTCTCGTCGTTCTTGTCGCCCTACAAGAGACAACTCCAACCATGGCATTAAAAAGATGTTCAGTATAAAAATGCGAACTTTCTTCAAAGTCGGTTTAAGCGAGTAGAGTTTCCGTTTCCTGTTCTTTCCCGTGAAGTAGATCTTCGGCGAAGTTGTGTTTTGCGATCCAATATGGTGAAAGGGGATATTAGCATGGCAGCAATGTTGATGGGTAACGTGCGTCTGCTGGCTTGATTCTGTGATCGATGATGAAGGATACATAGTCCGGATGATCAATGTCTGTGTGTTCTCGTCGCAAAAAAGAATTATAAACTCGCAATGACGAAATAATTATAAATTTCGTTGTACACAACAATCGTGATAAACCTTCAGCCCCTGTGGCGGCGAGGAGTCCACAAGCGTGAAGCAGAGGTGCAACGAGCAGCGGTAAAGCAGAAAATAAACCTGGGAAAGAACACAACGAGAAAGGATGCGACGTGTAAAAACAACAAGTAGAAGCTTGTTGTATGACGATGGAGTAGCTCTAGTACCTCTAGCTGCAACTACTCCTGCATCAGAAGCTGCCAGCAGACGGTGGTCGTGTGGTCGTTGGTGCAGTACTTCTGTGCTTTCAGTGCCAGCAGCACACCAGGCACGAGGAAACGAACTACGCAGTGGTGCTCGTCCGCCAGGAGATCTTCATGGAGGAGATCTTCGCAGGTGTAGTTCTTCTTGTCGAACCACAAGGTTGTTCAACGTCGGCACAAGAACTTTCACAGCCACCTCATCTGCTTCTACACGTCGACCAGTTAGAGTTGTCAGCCCCCTCCATGTTGGTTCTTGTGCAAAAGAACAAGTTCTTGTACCCGCATCATCATCTGCATCTGCTGCGATGAAACATCCTTCCGGGCGGCGCCATCAAACTGGTTGTATATTAGTACGAGAAGATCCTGATCCTGATCCGGCCGTCGACACTGCAGCTGGTGGACGTCGTGCAGGAACTTCTACCAATGTTGATCTACTGGGGGCTCATGATCTTGCACTGGTATCTTCAAACTACCCTGAGGAAGACCGGCGCATGTTGCTGAAGATGCACGACGTTATCGTTGGAGCTAGAACATCAAAACCCGGTCCCCGAAAGGGCGGAACGAATCGTATCGAAGTGAAGGAATCGTCGGTGAAGATTCTCACTTCACAACGAACTACATCTACTTCGAGTTCTACTACTCTTGCTTCGACCAACATGTCGTCGAGCTTCTATGCAACAACACCCGAGCAGCACCCAGCTGCCGCTTCGCAGCACGACCATGTTGTTGAAGAAACGACGGGCTCGTGCACAAGAAAGTCATTTGACAGCAAGATGAACCAGCAGCACTCCTACATCCACAGTCTCCAGTGGATCCTGAAACCGAAAGTGTCTGCTTCTCGTCCTGGTGGCGCCGAGGACCGAAACGGTACTAAAACGACGACGACTTCATCTGCGACTGCGCAAGAACAAATGAAAAAGACTTCTAATCCGTCCTTCATGACCCGCGGGCTCGGGAAGACCGCCGACCTCGCGAGAACCAGTGCGGTGGAGCAGATGCTGAAGAAAGTGAATTTGATAAATTCGGAGATAAGCTTGCTCGACCGCCAGAAAGGAGCGCAGATCCGGGCTCTGTGTAAGAAGGAAGAGGACCGAGGGACGGATACCATTTTTGCCGGGGCAACAAGGCAGCGTGTTGACAGGATGTTGATCGCACAAAAAATGCGCCACGCTGCACGACAGGGCGACGAGGTGGAGAATATGAACCGAGAACGTACTAGATTAGTTTCCAACTTTGAGAGAATTCTCAAGTCTGCAGAAAAGTGGATTGCGACTTTTCAGGAGCAGGATCGGCCGGCGCCTGGAGGTACCTCTGCCACTGAAGCTGTTCAACTACAGAAGAGGTCCGCGGGTTTCCTTTCTCTCTGCCTACCCGAAATTTGGAGCCTGGCGAAGCGGTGTGACGAGGTTGCCGCGCTTTACCATCATAGATGTAGGACTTCTGCCGGAGAGGGAGGCGGAGGTTCTACTTTGGAGGCCAATGTCTTCAACGAAAACAGGGCCAATATGATGTCCTCAGCAGAAGCTTACAACCCAACATCGTGCAGGGAGAAGGTGCTGCGGGACTTAGTATTACAGCAAGAAGACGACGATGAGTTGTGCCGACGGCGGACAAGAAAGACAGCGACATCAAGCTCCGACCGACCAGATTCTGCTGATGTGTCACGAAGTACAATAGCCTTGGATCCGAGCACGTGGGAAATGTTGTTAGAAGACGTTGTATCTCGTCCTGAGACTGTGACTGCTGCTCGTAGTTCTTCTTCTTCTTCTTATTTTGATATGGGTAGCTCTTCTAGTTCTAGTGCCCCCGATATAGAGAAGATCACGAACCCGCCGCGTGACGCCGAGAAACAAGATCATGGCAAGGACGTAAGCGACTCCTCCTTCGGGAAGTCCTGCAACGACCCTTCCGTCGCTGTACTGCTTCCACTGCTGCGCAGCGCCAACCTGCTCGTGACAGAGTTCGAGAACGAGGCAGCGATGGAATACTTCCGAAAGTTTCGGGTTTTGGCAGCGCTGGAAAGGAAAACTGGACTGGACTTGGCGTTGCAGGCCAAAATGGGCGTTGCACTACAACGAGTTTTGACACACGACGAGGAGGACCCGAGAAGATCTGGTGCTCTTTCACTTTCAAGAAACTCAGCGGTAGAAGTTGCGTGCGAGGACGAAGATGATCATCTGGTCGGAGGTGATTCATCCATGACAGGAGGAGTCGTTGTGCAGACTTCGGTCGGCGAGTTTGTATCCCCATTTCTCTCCCTGAACGTTTTGCCTCAGGAGGAGGAAGGCAGCTTCGGAAAGCCGGGGGACGTCGAGGACAACGATCCGCAAACCAATACGCCTTATTCCTTTCCTGAAAATCAGTTCCAGAAAAACGACATTGTGTTGCTGCGCGTGGTCAGAAATTGTATGGTCGAGGAAAGTACAGAGGGGCCTCTTGTCCCCAGGACGCCAGCACCACTTACAAATTCGCCTTGCAGGAGCCCCTCTGCGTCATCATCAAGGAGTGCTGGGACCACAACCAACAGCATGTGCATAAATGTTTTAGCACGCGTACTGCGGAAAGAAAATGCAACATCAGGAGGGATTTCAGGTACAGTAAATGCTGATCGAGGGGTCGCCGTGTCCAGGAACAAGTCTGCACACGTCGCAGGTGGTGTCAACATGTTGCCACAGAACATCAGAACCGGTAGGCTCTACGTGCAGTTGCTAGATGAATCTTCTTCGCACCAAGACCACGTTCTTCTGAAAGGTCACAGAAGCCGAGATAATACGGAAGTTTTACATGAGCACAGAACCCCCGGATTACAACTACAACTCCCGGTAGAAGAAGCAAATAGTTCTTTATCCCTCGACCAGATATTATCCTCCGCTGCTGCACAGGGAGATGAAATTAGCGACGAGGAGGAGGAGGATCGAATATCGCTTTTCGGCAGCTCGTGCTTTTCCGACACAGCAGTAGACACGCAAAAAATTAGAATACAACATACCCCATCAAAAGGTACTACCGTAAGAGTCGAGGTCCACCCTCTTTCGTCGGAAACCACGGCCGCGCGACAGGTGGCTGCGCTGCGCGCCGCGTGTTTGAACGTGCAAAGCTACAAGCGAATGACACTGGAAATGAGTTGCGTAGGTTGGGGAGGGGGCTCGTCCGGTGGGGGTTCAGCAGGTGTAGGACCAGGAGTTGCGGAGCACGATAAATGCAGTGCGGGAGCTTTACTTTCGTCGTCCAGGAATACGAGGGCTACACTCCCGTTCGCGGAACAGCAAAATTTGATGCAACTCCAATACGATCGCCGGTTTTTGCACGAGGTAATGTTCTTGCGTCAAAGCAATAACTACAGTGTATCAGAGGAACACAGTGCGCCTGATGGTTCATTAAGAACTCCTGCTGCCGGGACGGGGACCACAGGGAATAAAGACGAAGAAGCAAATGCAAAAAATAAAGCCTGCGGAGGTCGTTTCTCACCGCACTTGAAGACGTCGTCTCGCAAGCCAGACCGGTCATCAAGTTGTAGGGTGCGAAAGGTGTTTGGACCGCCCGGAACGGGAAAAACCTGGACAGCGTGCACGACTGTGCAGGAATGGAAAAATCAAGATCTTCAAGAAGGATTCGGACAAAACCTACAACCGGATAACATAGACCACTACCAAGTATCGCCTGCCGGCGAAAGAGGACACCAGCAGAGAAACAACAAGAAGATTCTGTGCGTCGCCGACAGCAACGTTGCGGCCGACAACTTTTACCACCACTTGCGAACCCATCACAACATCGGGGCATTGCGGTTTCGCTCCATCAACTCGGCGCCGGAAGAACTACAGCAAGCGGTTTTGGTTTTACCTGACAAGAAGCACAAGGGTGCATCCCAGGCGAGTTCCACGATGCGACTCAGCTCCTTTCCTCGCAAAATAAATGCAAAAAATAAGTCCTACGCCCAGAAGCTGCAGGAGTGGCGGAATGAAATCGAAAACGTCCAGGTCATTGTGACCACTTGCTGCGGAGTCGGACACCCGGTTTTTGCAAATGTGTCTTTTCCGCGTGTGATCATCGACGAAGCCACGCAGTTATCCTGTGCAAAAGTATCGTACTCGTAGTAATTGCATTTATGCATTACAAATCTCGTTCTCAAGGTAAATCAGCATTACAAATCAAATTTGTAATGCTGGGCTGATTTGTAATGCAATTTATACTAGTACGATACTTTTGCAGTTCATAGCAGTCCACGGAGCTGTCCACCCTGATTGCGCTGGGTAGAAATTGCAACGATCTGGTTCTGATCGGAGACCCGATGCAGTTGCCACCGACCGTCTTGCTGCAAGAAAATGTCGTTGTTTCTGAGCAGCTGCAGCCAGCTTCGCCGCGCAGAGGAGGGGCAGGAGTTGTATCCGACAGACTTAGCCTCGCGACGACTCTTTTCGACAGACTTGTGGCGGTAGAACATGAACGACCGGCCGGGTCTACTAGAAGTAGTAGTGCCCGTTCTGGAGAAATAGATTTTTCCTCCGCTGGTTGTAATGATACTGCGCCGCGAGGACCTTCTGTTGAAGTGACGGAACTAGTGACGCAGAGACGCATGCACCCGGACATCCTGAAGTTTCCAAACCAGTGCTTCTACGGAGGAAGCCTGAGGTCAGCTGAAGATGTTGATGACAAGGGTAGTTGTAATCCTGATGTGCTAGGAGCAACAAGCAGCTGCTGCCAGGACGAACTTTTAGAGCCTCAGGATGTTGACGAGCCTCAGGATACTAGTAGCACAAGTGAGAATAAAACGGCGCAAGTGCTGGCGCTTCCGACAACCACGTCGTGTAGTTCATCTTCCATCAGCGACGCGGACGACTGCAAAATGTACTGCGACATGAAAGAACCGCCTTTGAAGATGAAACGAGGTGACCTACCTGATGAAACGACATCAAGAACGACCGGCACGTTTTTACAACGACCTGAGGTGCAAGAGCAATCTCTTATTAACCGTGTGGCCTTTGTGGACTCCTGCTCTTCGTGTGAAAAATTTTTTTCTCGAAAGGACATCAACGGCGACACCGGCAGCGATAATGTAGTTGAGACTACAACTTTTGGTTTTATTGCTTCTCGGAAAAGCGAGCGCAAAAAACTACAAAAAGCCGACCCTGACTGCAAAGAGACGGAGGACGCGACGACGACCTTGTTCCAAGAATCCGTCGACCTCTATGGCGTTCTCAACTGTTACATTCTCAACTGTTACACGGATTTGCCATGCAAAACTACCTAAAACCTCCAGATGATCCAGCGGCCACGCATGACAAACCTCCGAAGGGCTAAACAGGAACTAAATCTCTGCCAAATCTGTGATGCGAAAGCAGCAATCTTGCCTCTTCGGTTGTTGCTGTTCTTGCATGACAAATTTCATGTAACAGTTGAGAATGTAACGTTTGAGAACGCCATAACCTCCACACAGGCAGTAAGAAAAACCAAGGCGAAGCACGGATAGTCGTGCAATACGCCAGACTGTTGGTGGAGAGAATGGACGAACTTGGACTTGTTACAGCGGTTGCTGGTAGAATCGCGATTCTCACCCCTTACGTAGCACAGCAGCAGTTGATTCAAGGTCTCCTGCTGCGTGAAGAGCAAGAAGCTGCAGAAGAAGTACCGAAAAACAAGAAAACGAAGATCTCGTCAAAAATCACCTGCTCCACCATCGACGGCTTTCAGGGCTCGGAAGCAGACATCGTCTTGCTTTCTCTCGTGCGTACGAAAAGATTGGGATTTCTGACGGACATATCGCAAGAAAAAACTGTTTCACTGTGAACTTGTGATGCAGAGAACGAAGCACCAAGGTGTTCGTCTTGCTACACCTGCATAGAACATTGGAGTTTCAAGCGTGTTTTATTCCCTTCGGAAGCGCGCATGGCAAGTTTTCCGCGTCATGTGTAGCAAACTTGTGATGCAGATATTGCAAAATCATCACAGTGAAACAGTTTTTTCGTGGGATAGGACAAAAGAAGGATGAACGTGGCTCTGACAAGGGCGAAGGAGATGGTGGTCGTGTTTGGGAACAGAGCATTGTTGATGGGGAAGAATGAAGACACTGTGCGCGGTTGCGTGGTGGAACAAGAGTCTGACAACGGTGAAGCCGAAGAAAAAGAAGCTACGAGCAGCTGCACCTCGGCCTCCACTACGGCGCCGTGGCGAGAGTGGGTTGCTCAGTATGGCGACTGCCGGCCGCCGTTCTTGCAGGATTAGTAGCTACGAGTTGCATGCAACGTTCCACAAAAATATTTTCAACAGGTTGATAAATTGATAAACATGAGCGTGGTCGTTTCTGTGCTTTTTGTTTTCGACTTTTAAGTAGGCCAGCACAGAGATGTAAACTTCGAGGAATATTTCGGATGCGTGGCTCTATTGGTAATTCTGAAAACCAAGAACCTGTATGATAATGATTCGAGTAGGACGACCAACACAATGAATGGAGGTTGTAAATCAATAAACGTAGTAGAGCTTCTAAATGAATAAAACAGAATTAGCAGACCTGCAGCACCACCGTTCTTGCCTTGAGTTGTGGCTCAAAGTCGTCGTGCTGCTCAATTGGAGTTCAGGTTCTCGAACGACCTAGAACTCTTCTACCGTGGTGGAAGTCTCTCTCAATATGCGCCGTAGGTCACCAGGAGCAAAGATCTTCACATTTCTTCCGCATGAAGATCAAGATCTCCTTTATTTCCTCGTGGCAGCGTACCGTGAATCTCAATCTTCATTGTAGTTTCATCACTTTTGGTTTTGAGAAAACGATCAATCTTCTCATACGAAGCAAGATCGCGACCAGGGCGGTTTACTTTTTTTTCCGATGCAGGATCCTACGCGCTACTCTTTTACGTATATTATAAATTGCGAATTTTCAATTTTGATGAAGATATGCCGGCGAAAGGAAGGGCAGGTGCTGCCGCGCGATCATGTAGTTGGGTCTAGCTCCAGGCTCTGTTTAAAAACTGGAAACACGAAGATCCTGGTATTAGTCAGTTTGTATTGACGAATCGTGGTACAAGTATTGCTACTAACTCGTACAATACAACATACAAACAGTGCTAGATCCTTGTGTCCACGCGGGTTCTTTTTGTCGCTGCGTGCTGCATTCTCAACATTGAAACAAGAATCTGTAGGCGACAAAGAGAAATCTTTAGACTCTTGTCTTTCTGGTAGTCGAGGAAGTGTCAGCCAGGTCAGTCCAACTTCTGTATAATTCGTACATTATTTATTGTCTACTTTTTCGCGACCGACGCCGACCGATTTCGACCTATCGAAGTCTATGATCTATGATCACTGTATACTAGTAGGTACGACGACCTCGTCGTGCCTGCCTTATGGAAAAGGAATCCTTGTAGTACATCGCAGCAAGGGCAAGGCGGAATCAGGTTGTTACGATGTTTCTGCACAAGCACCAGGCGGGCGTGGATACGAGTTGTAGTACTACCGAAGGAAATTATCTGAAACTATGTAATCTCCGCATCACACACGGAACGGCAAAAAGGACAGGGGTCATGTTGACCAGAAAACCAAAACAACTTCTTCCAAGGTCGCAAATTATGAACCGTCAACACCTTTCGTATGCTAGCCGCGCACGATTAACTGCATCTATTCCACCGGTTTTACAAAAATTACATCCGGTCCTCCTGCTCTCGTCCGTTCAAAAACGAAAACCGCGCTACCGAGGCCTGCTGGAGGAGTTTCTTTAACGGATCGTGAAGATCTGGGTGATGAAGGGGAACCGAGATACGAAGCCGACTCGTCAAGGTCCAGCCAGCTCCATCTTAGTTGCGACTTCTATCTTGTGAGGTCGCACCAGAGGGTACGTAGTCCGTCGTGCTAGGAGATAGCACTACCTTTACAGAAGCACAGAAGCGCTTCGTCTGCTGGAAGTCATTTGCTTGTCCACCTCAATTCTACCGCCCCATTGCCTGCGGTGCGGCAGAAAAAGAGGGAGCCAATTGAGTTGCGAACGCAGTATAACGAGGGCGGAGGCGCTAGTGCATCACTTCCTCATCATCTTCTACAAACCGCAGGAAGAGGCCTCGCACCTGGGAAGATCTTCATACGAAGAGGGAGCAAATCGACGACCAAAAAAATGCTGCTCTCGTCGTCCGCAAAAATGCAGACGAAGGAGCCAGTAAGGCTAGACAGGTCCTCGCGGATCGTCGACCGAAACTCGAATCCAATTTGTGCTGCCAACATAGCGCCGGGACGAACAAAGCCGGATTTAGTGGTTGACCACCTCCTGCCCCTGGGCGCGCGGAAAAAGCACAAGCGCAGGCAGAGGTTTCACCAGTGGAGAAAGAGACTGGGCTTGCTGTGTCTCGCGCTCGGAGGTGGGGGAGGAAATGGTGGTGGCGCAGGGTCGTTGTCGTTGCTATCGAGTGTGATTTTCGATTATACGAGAAACATCGTTAACAAGAACGACCAGCGAAAAATAAGTGCGAGCGCTAGAACTACAGCCAGAACAGCGTCTTCAATGAGAAGCACGCGTCGAAGCTTTTCAGACGAAGACGATAATTTTAATTTCGTCGAACTAGCGGGATTAGAGGATGACCTGCCACCAGAAGTAGAGTCAGTCGAGGGCGGCGCAAGATCTTCCTCTTCCCGTGCGACTTCACGCTCTTTTTCTGGTGGTATTGTGTTCGCGCGCGCCATGTGGTTCGGGAGGTCCTCTCCGCGAGCCGCGACAGCGAAAGCCACAGCTGAAGCAGGTGTCTCTACTGCTTCCAACCACAGCACAGGCGAAGAACAACTACATGATCTACAGCAAACATCGTCATCAGCCTCTGCCCCCGGCGACCAGACCGTGCCCACCAGCGGCGGACAGGCCCAGATGCGCGCGGCCCCCGCGCAACACCCGCGTGGAGCGCGCAAAACAGACGACGGCACTACGTCGACCACGCCCGAGTTCGGGGGGGCTCCACCAGGAGGTGCGGGTGGTGCGTCCAGTGCCTCGAACGGAGTAAACCAGAAGCTGGACGTCGGGTGTAGTAGGCGGGAGGCAGCAGCGAGTTCTTCAAAAGTACTGGTGGTGAACGGGGTTGAGAAATCACCACTTCGTGGTACCGGTGTAGGTATGGCTTCAGCTAGTAGTACTGCTGGCGCGGGAAAAATTCCGATAGACCCGTTGGATTGGTCTTCCACTACGTTGGGTCCGAACGAGTCCACCCGCGCACTCACCGCCAGCTCGAACAGTCTGTGCAACAGCGGGATCAGCGGTACGGCCGCGAATTCGTGTTCGGCAAGTTACCTTCAAACGGATCAACGAGAAGGTGGATCATGTAGTTCGCACAACGGCCGCAGCGTGAACTCCGGCGGGGGCGGCCCGTTGCGACTCCACCACCACCCGAACGGAAGTGGTGGTCTGCTGAGTGGCAGTTGTGGGGACGAGCTAAGTAGTCGTGGCACGACAGCTATGAACTGCAAAGGTATCGTACTCGTATAAATGCAATACAAATTTCCTTAGCATCAGAAATAAAATTTGTAATGCGGATTTACCTAAAGAACAAGATTGAGCGCAATTACTACGAGTACGATATTACTTTTGCACAGGATAACAGCCGGAGTAGATCCTGTGCTGTCGAGAAGCAGTGGCGCGTCGCCAAGGAGCAGACGGGGGGATCAGCAGCAGCAGGCACGAGAACTACAGCTAGAAAGTGGGCTGGTGGGGCATCAACTACAAGGTGCTAGTATACATCAACAGCTCCTCCAAGGGCAAGGTGCCGCTGGTGAACAAGCGTCCCCCTTGAGGCTGACGCGGCAGCAGTCGGGGCAGTCGCAGGCAACCTGCGTGGACAGTCTGATAGACACGCTACACCGATCGCCGCTAGAGATTGTCGCCGGAGGTGGAGGTGGTCAACAGGACTACACCCCTGGCGGGGAACATGCGGGCGACCAAACAGCATCCAGAACCTCTGGCGTCCCAACCCGAGGCGGAAGCCGCGATTTATCGTCCGCGATAGAAAACATGCATTTAGATGATGACCACCGAGACCCCAGACGGCGGCAGGCAGCCACTGGAGGTGCTAGTACTTCTAGCGCAGGAGGAGCTCCAGGATTTTTAGCAGACGCCGGCTCGTCGTTGGCCGCGCAGCAAAGTCGTCATCATGCAGCGCAAGTGCAGCACAGCGCACCACAAGATCTTGGAGATCGTGGTGGGGGTACCGCAACAGGTGGGACAACTACGACGTCCAACGCGCATGGCGGAGAGAATTCGGACAGTTTGGTAACGCCTCTGGTTCTATCAAATGCAAAAATGTCTGGGTCTGGAAGATTGCAAGGTTTGTCATGCTAGTCTTGCATGACTCTGCACTCTGTATTGCGTGGCCACCAAGTAGAGGCCCTCTTGCCTGTCATGCAAAGGCGCAGTTTCTCATGCGAAATACGCAGCACAAGAGCACGAAAAAACTTGTCATGCTTGGCGTTGCATTACCGGGCACTTACTTTTCACGGACTTGCGTCACAAGTTTCCAGACCCAGACACTTTTGCATTTGATAGGTTCTTTCCTCTGCGGCGAGCGAGAACCGACCCGCGGCGGGACCAAGGCGACTGTCTATCCAGGAAAAAAACGTTGTTAGTGTAGATTTGTGATGCGCAACATGCTAGATGATTGCGTCTGTCATGCTTGGCCCGCATTGTAGGGCTCATTAAAGGGCGTTTTTCCGTACTATCTGCGCATGACAGGTTTTTCCTGTCATGCCAGACAGATTACTATTGAAACTGCAGCAACTAGCCAAAAATGGCATTCCTACCCTGGTTCCAGGGTAGGTTCCAGGGTAGGTTTTGGGGTAGGTAACACGAGGGGACAGTGGATTTAACACGGGGGGGGGTACAGCCTACCCAGGAACCGACCCAGGAACCGACTCAACCCGACTCCTCAGCCGACCGATACAGCTCGGGTAAAGAAACAAACACGAGCTGTGGAGTCGGGTGAAGAGTCGGGCAAAAGTCGGGTCCAGGGTAGGTTTTGAGTCGGGTAAAGTCGGGCACATAGCCCGGGAGAGGCAAAGCGACCTTACCCGACTCTACCCGACTCCAGCCGATGCGATATCCTTTGCCGATGTGTGTCTGTGGGTCTGGAAGAGGCCAAGTCTGTCATGCATATTTTGCGTGATCCACTATAATGCAAGCTATTACCTATTGAAACTGCAGCAACTGCCCAAGTCTGAGTTTCCTACCCCGGGCCCAGGGTAGGTTCCAGGGTAGGTAACAGGGCGAGATACTGGATTTAACAGGTAGGGGGGCACAGCCTACCCAGGAACCGACCGGACCCAGGAACCGACTCCACCCGACTCCCCAAACGACCGAGACAGGTCGGGGAAAAAAACGAGCCCGACCTGTTGAGTCGGGTGGGGAGCCGGGTAAAAGTCGGGCCCAGGGTAGGTTTTGAGTCGGGTAAAGTCGGGCAAATAGGTCGCGAAAGCCAAACCGGATAAATATGAAAGCCCGAAACCCACCGCGAAAGACGAGCCCCAACCCAAGTCCGAGACCTTCTTTGCCACCAATCGCAAAAATGGCAAAAGAAACACAAGCGGGATGCGAAATCTAGAAACACTACAAAACAGCCCTAATTTTTAAATTTTAAATCCCCCCCGCCTTCCCATTGGAAAATCACAAGGGGCCGATGGCGGGACACGGAAAAAATCCGGCCCCCCGGGCGCGGCTGAATCACGCGGGGACCTGCGGGGCCGGCCCCCTCCCAGGCCCGAGGAGAAACCCCGTCGCCCTCCCGGCGGGCGTCGGAGAAATCCCGCAGAAAATAGCTGCGATTTAGTGGGCAAAACGGCTCGCGGGCTCTCTGACTGGGACACGGAGCAGAGCCGCGGCCAGAGCCTCCGCTTCCGCCGCACTGGCACACGGAGCAAAACCGCTCCCCCCCCCCCAAAATTGGGTGGGGGCGGCGCCCGGTTTCTCGCGCAAACTGGCACGGGGACACGGAGCAAAGCCGCGGCCAGAGCCGTAGCGTCCGCCGCACTGGCGCACGGAGCAAAGCCGCTCCCTCCCCAGAATTGGGCGAGGGCGGTGCCCGGTTTCTCGCGCAAACTGGCACGGGGACACGGAGCAAA